TGGTCAAAGTATCGGTGATTATGAATTAGAAAATATTCAACTTGAATATGAAACTATTGATAACCAAGAAATTGCAGATGAGATAACAAATTTATATTCTATAGGTAGAAGCCTATTTTACCATCATATAACCCTCTTAAAAAAGGAAAAATGGGATAAATCAAGCACATTACAGAATATTAATGTTAATGTGCCTCGTAAAAGTATGAAAGGTATTGTACTACTATTCACAGAAAATTCAGTTAGTGATAGTGAAAATTTTATATATCCCAATATCGATTCAGTTAAAATCACTATTGAAGGTTTACCAAATTGTATTTTCGCTCAAGGCATGGATAAAAAAAGTATTTTATGAAGAAGCAAGACGGTTTTTTGATAAAACTAACCCAATAGATTGCTTCATGACAATTGAAAAATTCTATAAGGATAAATTTGCATTAGTTATCGATCTACGCACCTTTCAAGAAAAATATATTGCTGGTAATGGTAAAAAAATCATTAATACTCAAAACGGTATTTTACTTGAGGTTAAAAAAAGAGCATATACAAAAGATTTAAACTGTTACATCTATGTTATCAGTGATGCTCTTGTTCAATTTGTTAATAATGATTTACAAAGTATTCAATACTAGAATAACCAGTAATATATAAATGAACACACCCTTTAATATGATTATATTAGGTATGACAGCTTGCGGTAAAACCTTCTTTCTTTTAAGAATGTTAGAAGAAAACTTTAATAGACATTTTGATTATATTATTTTATTATGCCCAACGCTATCATATAATAAAACCTATCAAGAATGGAAATATATAAATGATTCTGATTTAATTAAAGTAGAATGTGACCAAGATCAGGTAGATATTGTTTTAAAATATGTTAGTGATGTATATAAAGGTACAAATAGTCTTATTATTCTCGATGATTGCGCAAGTGGATTAGACATTAAAAATAGGACATCTGAATTAGTTCGTTTAGCATTCAGTGCTCGTCATTATGGACTTTCTACTATTGTGGTTACACAACAATTGACAAGTATTGCCAAACCTTATCGTGAAAATATAAGTTATTTAGTTGTATTTTATAATACAAACCGCAATAATATGAAAACCATATTTGATGATTATCTTTATGGTGTTGAGAAAGATGATATAGAAGAAATAACAAAAAAATTGAAAAATAATAAATTTGCTCATCTATTTATTCAACTAATATATCCATACCAATGGAAAATTGTTATTCCGCAATAAAATATGTGTTAATATATATATGCCAAAGCGTAAAGAGCCTGAAACAATTGATGATATAATTAATGAGATTGATTCCGCAAATGATACTATCAAAGATGCTGTATGTGATGATAATATACAAGATAAACCGCAAGAGGGTTTTAATAAAAGAGATCAACTACTTAAACTAGCTGAAGATGGTGATTTAGACAAGTCAGTTGCTTACATTAAAAAAGCTAGTCAAAAAATTATTGATAAATTATACATTGAATACGAGAAAAACGATTACAAAAGCTAATGAGTTTTTAACTGATTTAGTTATATCAAAATTTTCAGATATATTAAAAGGGTTTGATGCTATTGAAGACTCAAAAGAATTAACAAAACAGCTTAAATCAGACGACCTTTTAAAACGAGATGTTTATAGTTTAGTAGAAAAAATATCACCCCTATTACCTTTTCTAGGTTTTTTATCTGGTGGTATAATAACCGTTAAACATGTTTATGAACATAAAAATAATAAACAGGATATAAAATCTGAGGAATAATATAAATGAGCTTATTTTATGGGCATGATAAAACAGATATTAATGTAAATATACAAGGACCTGTAGATAAAACACATCTATCAGATAACTACTATACAAAAAATGAAACAGATTCCAAGTATGCTTTGACCTCTAATTTATCCAAATTCTATACAAAGAATGAAACAGATTCTAAGTATGCTTTAAGTTCTAATTTAAATAAATATTATACAAAGAATGAAACAGATGGTAAGTATGCTTTAAGTTCTAATTTAAATAAATATTATACAAAGAATGAAACAGATTCCAAGTATGCTTTGACCTCTAATTTATCCAAATTCTATACAAAGAATGAAACAGATTCTAAGTATGCTTTAAGTTCTAATTTAAATAAATATTATACAAAGAATGAAACAGATGGTAAGTATGCTTTAAGTTCTAATTTAAATAAATATTATACAAAGAATGAAACAGATTCCAAGTATGCTTTGACCTCTAATTTAAATAAATATTATACAAAGAATGAAACAGATTCTAAGTATGCTTTAAGTTCTAATTTAAATAAATATTATACAAAGAATGAAACAGATGGTAAGTATGCTTTGACTTCTAATTTAAATAACTATTATACAAAGAATGAAACAGATGGTAAGTATGCTTTGACTTCTAATTTAACTAACTATTATACAAAGAATGAGATTGATAGCAGAGTAAATGGTAAAGTAGTACACCATAGCAATCAATTAAATTATAAAAATTTTAATACCCGACAAGATATTATCAGAATTTATTTTAAAAATGTTAAATTTATTGAATTTACACTTTTATTAATAAATCCATCTGATAACTCTAAAACAATTAAATTAGATATGATGGTAGATAAGATTAAAAAAAAATTTATCATTAAAGTAACAAATGATAATGAAAAAAAGATAGTTAATGCATTACTAGATTTATATCACGTATACTGTGTTGATGATAAAGATAATAATATTTTATTAATTATTGAACCAACAAAATCTTCAGTTTCACTAGGTTATGATGAATGGAAAAGAAAATGGCTGGCAGCATTTAATGGATTAACCAAAATTCAAGTTTATTCACAACATCAATCTACATTATCTATGTCATTTAATGGTTTTCACAAAATTTACTACTATAGAAGATAATATTCTATCAACTAAAAATTTGTAAATGATGAAATCGAAAAATTAAAAAATTTATTAAAAATAACTATCAAGCTAAAACTTAAGATGAAGAATAATCCTCATGTTTGACTACATATCACATAACTGTTTGTAATAAGTAATTAATACAAAAGCGATATACAAAAGATTCAAAATCCTGAAACAATTATTAAAACACTTTTAACAAAAATTATATGACACTCGCTTGACAGACAAATTAAAAAAACATATAGATTCCATATTTTGTACAACATTGTATTATTATACATGCGCTGATGAAATGTGCTGGTTACATTAAACAACCATTGTTGAAAAACATGCACTAAGACACGCGCCTGACAGCCTCCTGGAAGGGCCTTGTTAACACTTGATTTCTAAAGATAGTTTTTAAAATTTAAACGCACCTATATATTTCAAAAACATATAGATTCCATATTTTTAAACGATAGATTGTAAAAGAGCATTTTTTAAGCCTCTGTTATTCTCGAATATTCTTCGAATATTCTTCGAATCCACGGGGAGGCGACCCCAATTTTTCACTTCGTGAAAAATTTTCCCACTGTCGCCTAGAATTCTCGAGGGCTCCATCCCCTGCTCAATTTTAGCTACGCTAAAATTTGCGCTGCCGAGCCCCCTCCGAACCGATGCTTTATTAACAATTAATTCTTAAAGACGGTTTTTTGAAGAGCATTTTAAGCCTCTGTTATTCTCGAATATTCTTCGAATATTCTTCGAATGTAGGGCCTCGAATTTCACTTCGTGAAAATTTTCCCCACTGTCGTTTAGAATTCTCGGGGCTCCATTCCTGCTCAATTTTAGCTACGCTAAAATTTGCGCTGCCGAGCCCCCTCCGAACCGATGCTTGTTAACATTTGTTTGTAAAGACCGTTTTAAAACATATAGATTCCAAATTTTACCCTTTGAAACAATGACTTTTTCATACAGCTTTCTTACATGACCTTTTACTGAGGGACGCCTTTTGAACCATGGTCTTATTTTATGCTGTTATAAAGAAAGTTTTTACTACTATATTGAAACAAACAATTTTTTACACAGCTTTTTTACATGACACTTTTACCAGAGGGACGTCTTTGAACCATGGTCTTATTTTAAGCTGTTATAAAATAGTTTTACCTGATCATAGTAGTACATGGATTATAGCACTTTTCGTGCGCTAGAACCCCCATGTACTATACTACTGGTATTAATGTCCATAAAACACATCCCTTCTTGCACAGATGATTTCTCGTTGTGCAACAGCACTCGCTGCTCGAAATATTTAAGAAACGGTGGAGTAAATACATACATATCTGTATCTGAACACGTTGTTCTTTCATTTACAATTGTCGAATCTTACATGTGACTTGTGTGAAACTATGAAGAGTTCTATTATACAACGTTTTTACTAAATAGTGATCATTTTTATAGGTGACCTGAAACTTCTTCCAAGTATTGAATAGCATTTTAATTTTCTGTGAAATCGTCTGCCAGAGACCACACTACGTCGATATTTCTGCGTTAATTTCCTAGCAAGAATTGCTTTGTTATATTTTCTTTACAATGAGAATGATCCTTTCCTATTTTTTTCGATTCTTTTGCTAATGGAACCCATGTTTTTCCAATCTTTCTTGGTACTTATTTTCGTGTGATTCGTATTGGAAAACTTCTATGTATTATTATATTTTGCAATTATGATTTTTAGATTATTTTCACAGAACTCATAAAGAAACGACAAAATCTTGAGTATTTTTCGTAGCATTTCACTAGCAGTTAAAAAATGCTACTTACATACTAATAAAGCTTATCAAGACAAATGCACTGTATCTCAACAATTTGATTGGTATTTAACTTTTACTAACAAACATGGAGAAAGTGTACAACAACAACTTTAAAAGTTTGTTGCCAGCGATATTCGTTGATAACAAAAAAGTAGGGAAGCTTCATTTTAATGGGAATCTATGGCAATCGTTTACTTTGTTTTTGAACTTTATGTCGCCCTATCTGCAAAGTAGTGTGAGTTTAACCTTTTTTCAAAATGGATTTTACATTTGTTTAGATAGCTCGTGCCTTGGTGATTTTTAATATTGATGAGGTGATAGTGTTCAGCGAGTCTTGTCGAAATACGGCTTACGTCGACCCAACATTTCGCGGCGCTGGAAACAAATCTGATCCGAATATATTATTAGGCAGGATATTACAATATCTGGAGTGTCCTCAATATCTAAGGAAGTCGTTCTTTCCTAAGCATCCGGATTTGCAATATGCAGGTACAGTGTGAAATCTATATAGAATTACATTGTATATGCTCGATAAAATACAATAAAGTTAGAGCAACAAACTTTACATGGTATGTATGAACTGAATTACAACGCCAAACCATTTGCTACATTCCATCATCTCATTGCCTTTGACTAAGGAGTTGCTTACATGATCCCGGGTAGCCGGGATTCAGCGAAGCGTTAAATGATTTTGGCAAATGGAAACGATTCAATACTTATCATCAGATAAATCTTCTTCAGCAATTTCATAATATTCTGATTTTATAAATACGCGAGCATTTAAAATGAAAACAACTAATTTGGCCTAATTTCAGTTTTACCATTGGAATAACTTGTGGCACTTTACGAACAGTTGTAATTTTTCCGCTAAAAATTTTGCTTCCTTTCAATGACTCAAAATCGTCTCACGACTCACTGAATCCTAGTTAGCCGGGATCATGTAAACAGCCTCTTAGTCAATCTTGGGCTTGTGACCAGTATGGCCAGTTTAACAGGTGAAAAGAGCAAAAAAACAAATTCAAAAAAACTAGTCATCTTAAGATGATCTTTTAACACTTGCAGAACGTCTTTCTATTGTCAGGTTTACTGAATCCTCTGGATTGTCCTCACCATATGCGAGCGAGTGATCGACTGCCATTCAGAGAAGGAGTAGTCGTGAACAGGCCGGTAAAAGAAGGTCGTGGCTCGTTAGTTAATGTTGGCTTGCAAAAAGACGTGCAAATTGATAAACGCTTAAAGCCTGGGACGAGGGTTACAGTGAAGATTACGTATAAAGAGCGAGGTGAGAGATACGTCATTTAGTTTATGGTAAATGTCGGATTTCAATGTTCTTACAAATTAAAGGAAGGCGTCATGAAAACGACATCTTCCGGAAAATTATATTTCTCTCTGTTAAATCGGAAAATTTGCAACTTGCGACAATATAGCGGAAACATTTCAATGGCTTCCATCACGATATATATGATAAAAAACTGAATTGCAACTGCATAAGGAAATCAGGCGTTTCTAGCAATGTGATCACGTAAGCTTTTCCCAAATAACAGTACACAATACACTGCTGTTTTTTGCCACATTTATAACTGGTTAGTTACATAAATTCTTCGACATCATGTTGTTGTTTATTACATATGTGTTGTGTCGCAGATTGGCTGATAATACTTAAACAACAATGGTAAACTGAAATGTTTGAAAACTGGATCTTAATGTTTTATTGTCTACAATATTGATTGAAATAAAAACACTAAATTGGAAATAAGAACTTTTGTGTGTTTAAGTGATGTTTTTGTCGGGGGTATTAGTGCTTGCGTTTCCTTTTGTGCATGACCAATGCACCGCTTGTATGTTATGTTTTGCTTAAAGTTGTTCAAGTATGATCCTATAAATCATGACGCTTTATGTAGTTATAAGCTGCTGTATCTGCTGAAACCAGTTTCTTATACATAAACTCTTAAAATATTATATGAGGGTTGGAATGGGGTGGGAGTATAAATAGACTGATGATTTATGTATGATTTCATTTGTATATGAGTTGTGGGCTGAAGACGTCGTGCATGTCTAATAAGGCCTTTGTTTTACTGTTCTTATTCCTAGAAACCGATGTACCTGATGCTAGCGTAGTACCCCCTAGTCAACCACGTGTAGAGTCTGGCTTGTACTGGGGATATACTGTGAGACTCGCCCATACATTCGGCGCTGTGTTTACACAATCACCATATGAAAATGGCTACGATGTAAGCGTTGGTACATCTGAAAAGGCGACTCAGTTGATAAAATTGTTTTGCCGAAATTTCGGTAGGTTCTTTTATTTTTCAATATAAGAATGACACATTTCTTAAAACTTTACATCCTATTATTGAATTGCTTTTAAAGAGATCTCAAAAATCTTTGACGTAAAGGCATTGGTGGCAAGTAATTTATATTCAGTTGGTTGCAAAAGTTCGGGTTCCCAAAAATGAAATTAGCTACCGATTTTGCTTTTTTCAGGAATTTTAGGACATTCATCAAAACTGTGTTCAAAGCACTGCAAGTATTATTTTACTCAACAAAAATATTATTTCCACAAAGAATTCACACCGCGTTATGCCTACTTTTTATTTACATGCATTGCAAAAGTTTAGGCACCCGTGTTTGGTATCTTTTTCCTTGTGAATACATTCGATCGTGTGCGGATAATCTTGCCCCACAATACGTGCATTTTAATGTGACTCTACAATCATGCAACAACTTAGTCATTTTTTGTGTAAGTTCTGTCCATTCCAGGAAAATTGATTTGAAGTGATTTTCTCTTTTATGTTGAAGATAAGATTTTTAAGGCATATGTCTGATGGCCTAAAAAGTAAAATAATTAAATTCAATGCAGCTGGAGAAGGTTACAAGAATCTTTCCAGTCGTTTATTCGTGTTACAATGTCAAGAGTTCGAAACATTTAAGAACACAATGTTAAGAAATAAAAAGAAAGAGGTATACTGGAAAGTTGAAGGGTATGAATTATAGACCTAGAATATGCAAAATCGTGAATTTCCTTCCTGGGTGCCCAAAATATAACATACAGCATTAATCGTGTTTATATCCTGAGAATTTCACATATCTTTGAATCGTTTTTCCTGAATTTTAAATTAGTGTTAAAACGAAGTATTCAAATCATACATTTATAATTTCTACGTTAAGTTATTTTTTGATATATTTTAAGTTTAAATCAAAAGTAATGCAATCGTTGTTTTTTTGTCCTTGCAAAAATTTTAATTTGTTTATTTCTTTGGACTCAAATCAGCATGTAATACGGGTGCATAAACCACGAATGAATTGAGTTTCAAAAGGTACAACAACAAAACTAAGAAAAGGACAAATGTATACATGACCAATGTAACCTAAACCTAACCAGTTTCACGCAAAATGCGTGGAACTCGCAAAATAAAGCTTGTACTGGCGATTCTTTATTTTTTATAACTCACGAATAGTAACATTGTAACTCATACATATAAACTTTCTTAAAAGATGTTATGTTGCCCATTTTCGTACAGTTCGAAGTGTTTTCGTTTTTTCTGAAATTACTTTTATCCAATTACGCTGTAATTCAACAAGGTGTAAACTAAAATACATAGTGTGCATACTGTATACAAGTGGGGAAAAAAAAATTAGAAAATGTAAAATAAGACACGGTCACACACGTTAAGACGCGGTGAACTTAATGCTTTTCGCCCTACAGAGCTCAAACTGTCATGATAGTTTCATTTCTTCAAATTAAATTATATATATTGTGTTCTCATTTCCCTTGCGCAAGCGTTTAAAATTGAAGTTTTCACAAACTGCTCTCCCGCTTTTCGCTATTTATTTTTCTGATGGTTTATACTTTACGTTCGTGGCGTCCACATTTTATCTGTAGAAGGAAACAGAGTTATAATCATGGTTTTTTTAACTGCGCATACAATTATGTAATCATTGTTTTCAACGTAAATGTTGGCTATTATTTTTAACAGTCGCAGATTCAGTGAAATGTCATTCGATGGGTCCTCCACAGAAAATTTTCTCTATTTACTATAATTCAAACTGTTTCAGGCATTTGCTCATTGTATTTGGTGGCCTTCAAGGTCTGGAAGCTAGCCTAGAGTCAGACGAGTCACTTAACATGATGGATCCTCGTTGTCTCTTTCATCACTATATAAATACTTGCCCTCAACAAGGAAGTCGCACAATACGAACCGAAGAAGCGTTGTTCATCACCATGGCTGCACTTCGACCCCATATCAATGCAGCACGTGTGTAAATGTATAATGGAAGGTAACTTCACGCTCTAGTTTTTGGTTGAGCTGTTAATAAAAGCTTATGAACCTGATAGTAATGTTTTGGAAATTCAAACTTGTTTTTTCAAGATATATTCAATTTGCTGAGTTCGTCGGTCGTATTAATATTCCTGATTTTTTTTACGTAATGTCATCAAACTTTTCAGGCAATACTCAAAAATTTATAATTATAAGCAATTGTAATTATTCTATAGCAAGTTTCCTTCCAAGGATTGATTTCTATAAAGAAGAGGTCTGCAAGAGGTCTGGGAACTCAACTGTTGTCCAAAACATGTATGCATGGAATGGCGGATTTCTTGTGGTCAAACTTTTACTTTGAAAATTATTTTTGATATTCACTCCCTCCTGATTTAATGTACTACTGTTTGTATAGAAATGACAACGAAAGAAATCAAAAAGCATAACGTTTTCAATTGAAAGAAATTCCATAGCGACTCGTATAGTACTCACACTAAATACGAAAAAAATCGACGGTCAAGGAACATTTGTTATACGTAAATATGGACTCAATCGAAAATGACACTTGACGACATTCTACGCCAATGAAATAGGCGTATTATTTCCAGAGAATGACTAATATCAAAAGGAATCATCCTGGCATAGCAGAATATGACAATTCCACTCGTGTGTTTCACATCTACTATAGATTATTTTTCACAAGCACTAAAGCAGCTTTCATAACCATAGTACTCTATCCATCAACTGCTTGGACTGTTGTACACCCATACATCACCAACTTTTCTTTTTGATCCAAATGAAGTTTGTGTCCAAAATAGTATGCACTTTACGGCACTGGACTCGATAAATTTGCAGTGTTTGCTCTATTTTCTGTGTAGTTTGGTGCAATTTTCTCTGTTATGTTTGCTGCCTTAGGCTTGCATTTCACTATCTTAGGACCATATGTTAAGCCATAGATTATATGTGTTTCACGAGGGAATTTCATGTGATCACATGTGGCTTATGCGTGATTACATGCGTTTTTCATATGGATATTTGTCTCTTATGAGGTTCACGTCTGTGAGAGTGCAACTCACATGTTTTCCACATGGGCTCACATCAGTGAAGTGAAGCATTGATCAATCCAGATATACTTTAAAAACTACTGTTCACTATTGCACGCGACACTTAATATAAAGTACTACTAGGGTAGTTAAAAATGAAAATACCCATTGATAGGAAGACCCTAAACACTGGGTTATTTAAGAATATTTTTTAATCGTGAGAAAATGTCAAATCTCATTTTAACAATATCTGCGTTTTACCCTTTTGGGTGAAAAAAAAACATGGATGAGCCTAGAAAAAACGTGAAGGTCACACTTGCCAAAAAATACGAATGAACCTTGAACTTCACGTTTTGTGCGAATTAAGCTCATCCATCCATCCGCGAATGTCATCATTCCGTAATTGTTCATACGCAATGATCTTCCGCCCGTCCGTTACCGCGTTTTCCCCTACCCACCTCGGTACGATGTTTCGTCTGAAGTTGATTTATATGCTGCAAATGTGCGTCACGATTTTTTCTGGCTTGAAGAGCTCATTTGCTATGAACAAATTTAAGGGACCTATTCCTAAAGACAAAGATGTTTATCGTAATGTGGTGAGTCAATTGTGCCGGTTTATGAGTCATATCTTAAAATTCAATCAGCCGTAGTTTAAGTTCATCAGGTTGATTGTTACCTTCGCTGACTTTGTAATTCGATCAACTGACCACATAAGAACGTAGTTTTTTGTTATGCCCATTGTCACACCGCAAATATATACAAACCAATAATTCCAAACTTGAAGAGCTCATGAAGCTGTTGTTATTGTTATTGTGATCTTAAATGTGAATAATTATTTACATGTGATGATATATCGATACATAGTTAATACATATGATGTTTACATGGCTTATACTATTTATAGCTTTGGATGATATTTGATATGTTAATTATGAATTATTTGATATATGGCGTATGAATTACAAACGATGGAAGCGAAGGCTATCAATAATTTCGATATTATTTATTTACTAATTAAAAGAGGTGCTTATGTGTTAAATGAAATGAAATATACCAAACAGATTTTTGTTTTCATTAGGTTAAAACTTACGACTGCCATAAAGCATATTTAGTCAGTGGGAAATTACCCCACAACGAAAGTTTTACGGAAAAATTCTACAATCGGCGAATTTTCTTATTTCAAAGAACTTTTCTGGCAATTCATTTATTTTTCATAAATTAAGAATAATATGTTTTATCTACAAAATCATATTTTTCTGTGTGGGGATTAATTCATTTTTTGACCGTAGAGTCAATTGATAAAATCCAAAGGATATCCGTGCCAGGAACACTTTGTTTTAACGGCGGACAATTTCATCTTGAATATTCAACGTATTCCTCATGGAATCATACAACGTCAAGATTACAAACGACAGCGAAGGCCAGTTGTGTTTTTGCAGCACGGTTTGTTGGCAGATAGTGCCTGTTGGGTGTGGAATTACTTTCCTCAGAGCAGCCTTGCTTACGTGTTAGCGGATAAAGGATTTGACGTTTGGCTTGGAAATTCTCGTGGTAATCGATACGCGAGGAGGAATCTAAACTTGTCCCCGAATTGCTGTAAATTTTGGCAGTGGTCGTAAGTTACTTGCTTAATATATAGGGATAGCATTGTAGGATATGATAGGATAGGATAGCATTGTCCTGTTATTGAAATTATTTCTTTTACACTTCAAAACAACTGAAAGGTACAGAATAGAAAATGGGCTAACGGCTCACTCAAGGGTTCATAGTGTGCCAAGTTTTCAGCCGACTGCTGTGGCTGCCACGTTGAGAGAGCTTCGGTAGTCATCATGCTTGAGTTATATTAGGGGGGGGGGAGATTTTTACAAGTGGAAATGTTTTAGCTGCTGAAATGTGCGTAAGAGTTCAGTTTTACTGTTCACATTGCTTAAATTAACTGTGTGCATTTGATTAAACTTTTGTACAAACGAAAGTACAAACGATGGATTTTTTTCGGCTCTTTGAAATTGCATTATTTCGGCAGTTTGAATGTGCTTATTTTTACTTTTTATTTTCATTGTGCGTGCAATTTCAATTGTTATTGGCTAAAAGATAACTCTCAATGTTTTGCCTCCTTCAAAACATTGAAAATCTTTGTATATTTGTGACAACTGACAAGATGAAAAGTATCATGCATGGCGGAATCTTTCTCGACGTGAAAGACATTTCAAAAACACGACATTAACGACATATCAAAAAGATGACGTGAACGACATTACAAAAAGACGACATGTGTTTTACAAAGCAGTCAATTTTGGTAAATCTCAGCAAAAATAGCTCCATTCCACTTTGTTTTATGCGTCGTGCACTTCAACGCCTATGATCGAGAATGAGAAATTCGCTCCAGTTAAATAGAACTCAATAGAAGCGAACTACGCATGCACAAAAACTTTGTATAGGTTCACCAATCATCAAATTGTGACCAAGTCAACTTGCCACATTTTTCAAAATTCACTTTTTATGATTAAAGTAAAACAAAATAAAATTGTCATTTACCACAAGTTTCCTTATGATAAAAATTTCTCTCTTACCAGTTTTGATGAAATGGCAAAATATGATTTGCCGTCAACGATCGATTACATTCTACAGAAAACAGGAGAGGAACAGTTGGTGTATATCGGTCATTCCCAGGGCTCGGAAATTGGATTTGGTGCATTTTCGACCGATAAAAATTTGGCAAAAAAGATAAAATTGTTTATTGCTCTCGCTCCAATTACCGTCATTGGCCATATAATGATACGTCCTTTACGATATCTTGCTGAGATCATAACGTCTATTGAGGTTATCATTGTTTTGTTAGTATGAATGCGTTCAATTTCAAATTATAAACAAACATTTTTCCTCTTAATGAAATGCATAAAAAAATTCTCAATTCTGATTGCTTGATCGTAAATTCCAGTACAAAAATAGGAATCACCTGTGCAAATTTCTTTTTAAAATTGCTCCTGATTGGTTAGTCAACAAAGAAGTAATGTAAGAGCCAATCAAAGCAAAACATTCTAAAGCCAGGAAAGTTAAGTATTGTAAACAAAAGCAATTACATGCTATGGTTAGCGTAAGTTTTGGGTAGATTTTCTTAGGCAAACGAGTCTATAGTTCAGCATTTGCAAGGCATTTACGGCCACAACACAAACTGCTAAAAGTATAGATATCTTGTTTCTGCTGCGTGTGTGGAAGCTATGATGTTGCAAAAAAAATACCGACAGAATGAAAAATACGAGCAAGTTTATATTAATTACTTCACTTGCCGGCTGAAATGTACGCGGAATGTTTCATTTACATTATTAATAAGCAATAGTGTAATTGCTCTTGCAATTTGGAAAACAAGCTCTCGTAAGTTTTTCAAAGTCTTCGAATTGCAGTCGTTCTTCGGACTCGAGCAATGACCATTAATATACTTTGAGACATTCCTTGAGAGTGATTGGTTGATTGCAGTGTAGTTTATCGGTAATTGCACTATGAAAATGCGTAATTGCCCAGTAAATGCATTAATTTGAGTGGCTAAAAATCAGTGAAAGCCAGACAAACTTCTTCTCAGTTTAAAAGCAAACATGCGACATCTAAACGAAGATTTCCACAAATGTAATTATGTGAAATTCATGACTTACAAAACAGTGCAAAGAGTATAAACACAACTGCAAGTAATTTTTTCGCAATTGACCCTCCTCCCCGGAATAGATTTTCGACAAATCTCTTGGGAAATAATAACACGAAGTCTTGTATTTTGAAAATTCTATTGTAACACAAATCTGCTGCGATAGTATCATAAGATTATACTATATTGTTTTTAAAAGTTCAGCCATGAAAGTTGATGCAACAAGGCTTTTTGAAACGATAGACAGTTACGAAGCAAAGTAGACGGCGTTTTGCGAATTATAGTTTCGAGTACAAGAATTACGGAAAGACATTGTCCATTATACGATATGTTTCGTTTGTGCTTCTTAAAGGAGGTAGCACCTCAAATCGATGGACCTTTTCTGCTAGGAGATATCTGGAGGACGCAATACGTTTACAAAGGATATTGTAACGGACTGGAAGAGGCAAGATTTTGTTATAAAATTGCGAACTTACTGTTTGGCAATGACCCAACTAACGTTAACTACGTAAGTACAAATAAAGCAAAGATAAGCAATGCTAGCGCAACAATGTTAAAAGTTAATTTTTCCTATTTTTCATTGGTCGAGAGTGCGTCAGATGATAGTGAAGAAATTAAGCTGTTTCCTCGCAAGGAGCTCGAGAGTACGGGCTCTTTTCCACTCATCGCAAAACGTACTCGCAAGCTCGCAGCGAGAACATTTTGCGATGAGTGGAAAAGAGCCTTAAGATGATGAATGATACAAAAATCATGTCCGTCGTCATGTGAAAGTGACCTTAGCCCGACTTTGGTCAGCATCTGATCTCGACAAAAAAAGCGCGGAAATTTTTTCAGAATATTTTTTAATGTTTTATTTATGTACGTCTTGAAAAGTAGATATTTGCTTTATATACGTTGTCGTTGTCGTCTCAGAAAATTGGTATAAGATTAAGCACTTATTGACTGAAATCTCGGGACACTGTGCATTTTTACCCTTGACCGGCACTCAATCAATAGATGACATGCCTGGTTTACATTTTGCTGGCAGGCAGAATGTAAGTCAACCGCTTTTAGACAACACTATAGCAACAACGCTTTAACTCCTTTGAGATTAATCTGCCAGCTAGCGAAATTTAAACAAAGCAAGTCATCTATAAGTGATAACTGTCTGTTTCTAAGTATTGCCTATGTCGTGTTGATTTCTACTTCTCGCTAATTGTAGAGTCGCATTCCAGTGTATCTAAGTAACTTTCCTTCTGGAACCTCTATAAGAAATATCATTCATTTTGCTCAAGTAAGTTACTATACTTACATATACAGAATAGTGAAGCTAAGTATGCTCTTTACTTCTACAATTCAAATATCTTTTGTTTTTAATTAGTATTGGAAAAACAATGAGGTTAACTTTATAAAGAAATGAATAGTTACATTGTTGAATTTTGTTACATTTGGAGACATTTTTATATCTTCTTTCTGCAGTTGATTGAGTCGGGAAAATTTCAAATGTATGATTACGGATTTTTTAAGAACTTCATCAAATATGGACAGGTAAGCTGGAAAAATTACTGTCGTCCCGAGTGTCGCCCCACCTCCGCATTTACCATCAACCATTTTATCGTGAAATTAAAATTGCTTCTGTAACAGATCTTTGTCTTGTCTTTTCATCGATCAAATATGAAATAGGTTGGATATGTTATGTGCATAAACATAAGGGAAGTGAACTTACGTTATTTACCTTTCTATCTAGTGGAAACCACCACAGTACAACGTCACCAACATTCCAGTGCCCATCGCAATTTTCTCGGGCGCTCACGATGGACTATCTGACCCAGTAGATGTCAAACTGTTGCTACCGAAGCTAAAAAAACTCGTTTTCTTTGATGTTCTCCAAGAATTTAATCATGTTGATTTTGTCGTGGGTTTAAACTCGCCAACAGTCTTGTTTCCAAATATTATCGAACTTCTCATCCAATATACTCAAGAATAGACGATGCTTAAACACACGCAATGAGCATTATATTGGTGCAGTCTATATCGTGATTAGCTAAGAGCCCACAAATAATTGTCAATATCTCGCCAATCACACGACTATGAAAATTAACAGGCGATGACGAAATTTATTTTGTTAATTTAATTCCGACAAACAATTTAGTAAGTGTTAATACTAAATTGGTCTTCTCTGGAAGCAAGAATTCGTTACTGAACGAACACATTACTAATTCAAGCACACACGTAATCAGATCAATGCAGCTTAATCATAAGCTACCATTTTAACAGAATGAGATAACATTCGTAATAGTCAGATTTAGACTTGGGGATAAGTCATTCATTCGAAGAATTATATAGAAGTGGAACAATCCGGGGAGTGCAAAGGGGTTGAATTGGTCTGCATAACATTAACATTTACATTTCATTTTCTTGACGTTTATACTGTTTTGCTTTTGCATAATCGGAAGAGAAAGGTGTGAAACCTAGACTCTTGCACAAATATACGTAAACAACAGAAGAGATATGATACTTATACAGCATGATTCACAAGCAACTTTTACTTTTTTTAATTTTCAAAATTTTACACGATGAAATCGTACGTATCCATGACCATTACGCGCGCGTAACTTGCCATACTCTTATAACGTTGTCCGTGTATCCGGCAAACAATGTCTGCCCGTCGGCGGACCACGCAAGCGACATACAGTCGGGTGCAAGAATTTTACCACTCGCCCCAACAACATCCTGAGTGAGCTCATCAACCACAGATTTCCCTTCCAAATCCTAAAAAACACCGAAGTCCTGAATTTTTACTACTACCACTGAAATCAGTTCTAGTTAACTGAGTTTAGAAACGTACAGCAGGATACAATTAGACGCAAAAAATAAGAAGAAATTTCTCATAATCAGTTTGTTCTTGTAGCGCTTCGAAATGTTTGAACCTTAGCACAGACTGAAATTGGACTTTCATTAAAACTTTAAACACGCTATGACAAAAAAGCACAGTGGACGAAAAAAGAAAGGCATGAAAGTAAATGTCCTCAAATATGTGCATTAGGATGGGGCGAATAGAAAACTTTGAAAAGTCTTAAATCAAGAAAAAGTGACGTCACTGTGACGGTTGTGTGTTTATCCCCCCAAAAAACATTGATTTAAAAGGAAAAGAGATGAACCTGAACAGGAGTATATTATCCCTCTAACCTATCAAGCTGGCTGCCAACAAAAGAAATTATTAAGATTTTGTCAAGCACAACTTGTCCAAGCAAGAAAATTTGTTTCATACATATAGTAAATGTATATATGAAAAAAACGTGGACGGTTTATAACCTAAGTGCGTAAAATGGTATCTTCATACATAATATACGAATTTGTGATTATGTCTAGACCACTAAGACCCAGGCGTCGATATTGAATAATGGCCAGATTCCACAAATGGAAGTGAAATTTTTAACAAATTTTCGCGTAAAACAATTGTGCGCATGCGCGACAAGAGACATCTTGCGAAAATAATTCTAGAGAACGAAGCAAACACGACCGTTAAGACTCTAATACGAAATTTTACCACTTTCAATCCGTCAGAAATAAGTTGTACGGAACGTCATGTAAAAACCGAAAACGTTTAGCAATTCCTGAAGATCCCTATTTTAAAACCCATCGGCTGAGAAACTTACCCAGATTTTTATGGTTGATCCCGTAGCAGCACACAACCAATAACGGTTAGGGCTGAAGCACATAGCATTAATGATATTACCGCCTTCCAAGGTGTAAAGATGTTTTCCTTCGTTCAAATCCCATAACATCGCACTACCATCCTAAGAAGGAAAGCATTTAAAGTTGGGCTATTAATTATAAATATTATAAAAGATGATACGTACAATGACATAACAAATAAGCAATTATCGAGGTTTCACATTGGTTAGTAGACTTTGATATTTGTAGATAAGCACGAGTTGCTAATTTCACCTCAACTTCAAGGCTAAGCAATCCTACTAAAAAGTTATGTTCTCTTAAAACCTATGATAAGTAGTAACCCTACGCATATGAAAGAAACGCTCGAGAAACCCAAGAGCAACTCAGACAGAGTCTATTACTCATGTTAGCCTCGTAAACAAAAAAAGGTTAATGTCTCGTCACCGTTCAGACATTTTCATGCTAATAGCTGGTATTGCGTGTTGGCAAAAGTTTCTTCTTACTGCCGTGCTTCAAGTGCAGTGTTAAAGTACGTACGTAGTGTTGAGCCGATTGCCACTATTTACCAATTACAGCAATCGGCAAAACTGACGATTGCTTAATATATAAACAAAACCGCTGATGCACGTGACGTGACATCACGTAAACATGTTCTCCAACAATGAGACATTTCCCGATGATGTACGTGACTTGACATCACGTAAACATGTTCTCGAGCAATGCGACATTTCCCGATGATGTACGTGACTGGACATCACGTAAACATGTTCTCGAGCAATGCGACAATTCCCGCTATGTACGAGACTTGTCATCACGTAAACATGTTCTCGAACAATGACACATTTCCCAATGATGTAGGTGACTTGACATCACGTAAATATGTTCTCGAGCAATGCGACAATTCCCGCTGATGTACGAGACTTGACATCACGTAAACATGTTCTAAAACAATGCGACATTTCCCACTAATGTACGAGACTTGACATCACGTAAACATGTTCTCGAACAATGCGACATTTCTCGACATCAAGATATCCATAGCACAACACAACCAACACGCAAGTTAGCCATTCCCGTGTACATATTCTATTATTATAACAATTACATTATACAAATATTGTTGCAATTGCTGATGAGTTAAACTCACCTTTCCTCCCGATGCACACAGTGATCCGTCAGGTGAGACAGTTACACAATTAAGATAGCCATTGTGACCAATGTGGTTCGTTTTTAGACGACAGTTAGTCAAGTTCCAAACTTTTACAAGCTTGTCCCAGCCACACGAGACAATGATAGGGTTCTGCGTGTTTGGTGAAAAACGTACGCAGCTCACCCAATCAGTGTGTCCTTCATCCTGATAAAAAAAACAATATTGAAGTCAGTTGTACTAAAGTTGTTAAATATCTGTACAGTATGCAATTTTTGAGAGTGAAATTACGCTTGAAAATTTGAACATAGCTGAGGAAACACGCCATAACAGTTTAAAGAATAAACAAAAAAGTTTCCAAAACCGAAGCTATTTAATAAGAAAGGTTATGGGATTTTATGGATTTCTGGAGCTAACGACCATCCTTATCATCTGTTTTCAAAAACCAAATTGATGACCTCCCACTTTCACCTAATTGGTCATGAATACATCTCTATGATATGTGAACACAAGAGGAAACATAGGTTGTTACCTGAATGGTGTACTTGCAAACCCCAAGTGTATTCCATAACTTTATTGTTTTATCCCGTGAACCAGAAACAATTTGTCTGTTATCAGCAGAGAATGCCACACTGATGACATCATGTGTGTGACCAACAAATCTTCGAGTAGTCTTACATCTACAACACACGTGTATTTAAGACAATATGAATAAATCATGGTCAGTTCACATCGTCAAAGATATTATATAAATAGTACGTATGAAACAAAATTAATAACTCTGACCATTAAAGAAATCTTGTAAATTCAAGAAATAGCAATATGACAAGTGTAAGTGATAGTGCAATTTCAACTCTTGGCCATGTTAAGGTTTTCTTCGCCCCTAGGCACATAGCGAGTTTGGGGGCCCCATATCGTTTTTGCATACTAGCTGATTCTACTCTTGGTCCATATGTTCATGGGTAGTTGCAGTTGTATTTATCAATTATGATAGATTACATCTATCTAAACAGCAGTTGTTTTTGTACAGTATCATTGTTTTTTAAACTTAATCTCACAATCAAAATAAAATTTTTGGGTCCATTGGTTAATGCTGCACTGAACCCCACAGTTATCATCAAACTGCCAATTATCTATGTGTTCCTACACAAATTTCAACACTGTAATTAAGATTAAAAAATAGTAAAAATAACACATTCACTAAAATACGTAGCTTACGCATTCAAATCCCATAGTCGAAGAGTTTTATCCCATGAGCCAGAAAGAGCAAATTGTCCATCAGATGAGATGACAACGTCAGAGACAAAGTGATTATGTCCTGTGAGAGCATGTTCTGCATGCCCATAATTTGTCTCCTCTTTTGTCAAACGCCAAATAATAATGCTCTTGTCTGTAAAAGATAACAACGTATAATTTTAAAAAAATTTTCAAGTTGAAGTCTTTAAACATGTGTCATCTTTTCTAGCTGATCTAACAGCTAGTTTTGCTATTTGCAATGAATGCAGGTACTAGCTTCTGATATAACAAAATCGAAAGTCCGATTTCCTTACATGGACTGATTCTATTTGCATCAAAGTGGAGAAAAAGGGGTTTGTTTCATTGAGTGGCTAAAACTTGACTGTTTTAAGATTCTAACTATGTGCAAGTTTAAATATCACTCAGTACCACTGAATTAATACAAGAATTTAAACATCCGCCCTTTTGAAAATTGAATTTAATGAACAAATGAACAAAGAAAGGAATTACACATTATTCAAACATTATGCACAAACTTTATTTAAAATATGTGAAAAAAGTTACCTTTAATATGTCCCCAGAATGGAAATTATGTAACCCCACACCCAAGATTTAAAATTTACATGCATAAACGAGTACTTTTTTCTTAATTGGGCACTCAACATCTTGGGTGTGTAGTACAAATTTTCCAATCTGGACAGCAAGAACATGCTTGAATAAATTTTTCAGCACGACTTATTTCCACAAATTAAAAGGCTTCTTCTATGTTACAGCTTGGGAGCTCAAATGACTAACCAATCTGCTACTTATTCATTTACAATTGGGATTCTTCAAAGCCAAAGATCCCTGTTGAAGTCCAAGTCCTGAGACCATTACTACAACTACCTAATGCCACTGCTAGCTTCACTGACTGAATACAGAACTAAGGCCTGATGGCCACTTTATAATTGCAATTTTAGAACATAGGTTTGTGTGAGACGGCGAAAGAATACAATGAAGCACATCGAAAAACAAAAGTGTCGATCTAAACAGCTTCTATCTACTTCTGGGAGATTATTAAAAGTGAATTGGAGAAGCTAGATGTACTAACCCCGAGAACTCGATAAAATCATATCTGGGCGCTGCGGAGTTGTGGCAATTTGAGTTACCCAGCCATTGTGTCCTTTCAGGGTGCCACGAAGAGTCATTTGTTCAGCCATGTTGGCAAAATCTGACGGCTTGATTGAAAGGGATAAATTTATTTCACCTTATAATCGCAAAGAGTTGCGGAGAAAGAGACAGACGGGAAAAGTTTGCGGGCTGAACAACCCAAAACATTGCAAGCCTTAGAGTCGGGCTATGAGATAATTAGCATTATAATTAGCATAAATTAGGTTTCGATTGTTGCTATAACGACCTGTTTAAAGCTCCATGATGTCCTAATCAAAGATCTCAAATTCGAAAAGTCATCTAATTGCTCAAAATTGCTAAAAGCATTTCTCGATTGACGATTCGTGTGAAATAATCATTTAAAAAGGTAATAGGTTCACCCGGTAAGTCACGAACTTTAAATTGAAGTACAACATATTATATTGTGACATTGCGATGTGCAAGACTAAAGTCAATTAAGACATCAAGTTGTGTGAGACCTTTAAACTCACATGAGCCAAACTCATAACTTGTAGTCTACTACCTGCAATTTTCAATACTAATACTTGTGTCATAAGCCATAATAGTTCATTCAGAAAAAAATCTATCTGTACTTTCTGTTCTATGATGAAAAGATTTGAAAGGATTAAGGAGACCTTGTCAAATCACAGAATAGGAAATGAAATGATTGAACAGAAATTGAGGTGGCTAATAGCTGTACAGTAAGACAGTTACATTACACATTGGTAAAGACTTGACTTTTTTAAATTTAAGATAGTGATTTGCAAGATAAGCAAATTTGAAGTCTAAAGTTCACCCCACATGCACTAAAATTCACTTTGTCAGTTTCAAAATTTTTGATTGAACAACTACTGTGTACTTGTAAGAAAAAAAGTGTAAGCAACGTTTTTATTTAGCTTGAGGATCAATTAAAAGGCAACATGACAACCAAATGCCATTCCTTTGGCCCACCAACAAAACACGTGCTGCAAAGCCATGGTGCTGACTGTGATTTACACAAATTTTACATCACTGAATATTCCACCAATTATGCACTAGAAGATTATGTCCCTTCTTGTGGTAAACATTATGGTACTGGTTATAAATCCAACTTTCGACCTGGTGCTTATTACAATAGATGCTTGGATGAATTAGATAATCCCACAATCGGGTAAAAGAATTTTTTTGTGTTTTCTATCAGTCTTTTTTCACTTTATCCACCGTCCTGTGTTACCTCTGTATGTTTCATACTATTGTATTTGCTTTGGTTGTTTCTATGTATACTCTACTAAAGTGTGCGTCCCTTGTTTCAACTGGTTCATGTGATCAGATGTTTCCAAGGGCTTTTTCTAACAAATGAATCTTCTCAGCTACTATAATAAGTTGTTATATTGAAATATCATCAACTTTGTGTTTTTCACAAACCAGGATAGCATGTAATGCAGTCACTTGTTAGATTCATGTTCCTCTATTCATTCACTTGAAAGGGTTTACTCTTAAAAGAAAGTGACTTAAAGTGGGATAAAAGAACAGTGTTTCCCATATCTCACATCGTACTTTCTGAAGAGCATTTTGAGACTTTCAAAATATGTCAAAGGAAAAACTGATGTGTGTGAATTCTATCAATGGTGGAGTTTTGGCTTAGCGGTTTTTACTATCACCTTAGAAATTTCCTGCTGTAGAACTCGAAAAGGAAACTAACCTTACACTAATAATGTACATGCTCATATTCGCACCGCTGTCATTTAAAGACCTCGTCTGGGAAAATCTAGTGCGGTGCTTAACACTTAACTCCCCAAGTCTTTTTTGGTCCTTTGAGTTTTTTGAGGGTCTCCTTGATGTTACCATAGAACAACCCTGGGAGAAAAGGTGTTATTCGGAAGAAACATAGAGTCAAAAATAAGCGTGAAATATATTAATTTCGGCTATTGCGGAGTTGTCTTGACGCACTTTAACAACCCACAATCATGTCCTGATTTGGCTATTAGGCCGTATTCTCTGTGCCTGTAGCCGATTTTCGTTCAGTTTCATTCATTTCTAAATGAAGTTTTTTCGACAATCCGCCGTTAAGGCAAGCTTCGAAGAGGAAGCTTTCGATGGCGCTTGACAGTGTTTTGAGCAAGAATTTTAAACTTTTCAAACTGTACTAAAAAGAAAACATGCACTTACACCCATTTAAGACATTTTAGACTATTTCTGCTCTAGGAAGAAAATTTTTTTGGAAAATCTGGAACGTGTTGTCTCCCATTTTACGGCAACGCCTTCCGGGGTAAAGCGAACACTTGTGTTAGTTCTGAACACTATAATTCTGAAATTCTTCGAGCCATTGATTTTTTTATGTTTATTTAAGCTGAAAAAGACGCCTCAAAACTTGGCAGACAACAAACTATGGAATGTTACCCCGAAAGAGAATTGTTCTAGTTCCACATTATATGAATTGTAAAACCTTACAAATTGCCAACTATAGCATGTTCTGCCTGGCGTTTATGTCTTTTATGTACTTAAAACACGAGAGAAACTTTTAATATTTAAGTATGGTATACGGATTAACAGTAAAATATGAAATATCGATCCCAGCTTTTTAATCTACATTGAGTCAATCTATTCGCGTTGTAATTGATATCTAGCACTAGAATCATCATCATCGTCATTTCAAAGGTGCATTCAAGCAATTAATAGAGGAGCACAAATAGCTCCATTTGAAATTAGCCCTTTTGCATGGTCGAGCGTTCATTCTTACAACACTTACTCCCAGGATAAGGATTCAAAGGTTGAGGAGCCAGTAGAATGCCATTTAAGTTATAGCGGTCCTCTATAATCAAACTGCCAACCATGACCAATCGGTGAGAGAAGGTCTATTTGTCCATATCGACAATACATTGTATGTGTAAGTTGGACTTGGCTATTTCATGTTGCAGGCAATACATCATCAAAATATTAGCACAGCATGAAAAGAGCATATCTTGAGTCATCTACTCTTGTTTGAATCTAGATGTTAAGTGTAATTATAAGAATTTATGCTCGACCATGTGTTTGCATAAAGATTGACTAAAAATTATCCTATTTGTATTTTGCTATGATTGCCAGAGTACAGTATGTGAAGATGATGACGATGAAAAGGGTTGTAAAAACATGATGACGATATATTTAGTGGATTTGATCTTTGATCTTCATCTTGGATATGATGAAAATCTTAATTTTGGGAAACTAGATGTTACCTAAAGCTCTAGTGGAATGGCGCCACCGCTGAGTTCAATATTGTATACTTGACAGTTTATATCTACTCCCAGTGGCATGTTGGCAGAGGGGCAGTTTGCCATTGCTCCCCTACCTATTGTTCTTTTGAAGATTAAAAAGGGAATACGGGACGTGGAATTTTTTTGTAATGGGTTAATAAAACCTATTTGAAATGACACATATAATTTCATCTGCCAAAGTCATCGAAATCACGTTTTATGTCTTCTTAATTTAAAAACATTCTAAGGAAGCATTCCTTCGGACCCCCTTGGTATAACTCGAACCTATTTAGCGTGGTTCTAATATACTTCTCAGAACCTCACTGCCTAATTTATACTAAATGGCTAAGAGTTGGGCCATATACCTCAAAGTATATTTAAATTTGTTATACAGTATATTCAGTAAATTAACATTAGGTTGGTATTAATATATGGTTTCCAATGTGTCCTGTGTTTTATATTTATAAAGGAGATAACGCCAGAACATGCTATAGTTGGCTATTTGTAAGGTTTTACAAATGATATAAAGTGGAATTAGAACAATTCTTTTTGGGGGTAATATTATTTTTTTAATTGGGTAACATAGTTTGTTGTCTGCCAAGTTTTGCGTCTTTTTCAGCTTAAATAAACATAAAAAAATCAATGGCTCGAAGAATTTCAGAATTATAGTGTTCAGAACTAACACAAGTGTCCGCTTTTCCCCGGAAGGCGTTGCCGTAAAATGGGAGACAACACGTTCCAGATTTTCCAAAAAAATTTTCTTCCTAGAGCAGAAATAGTGTAAAATATCTTAAATGGGTGTAAGTGCATGTTTTCTTTTTAGTCCTGTTTGAACACTTTAAAGTTCTTGCTCAAAACACTGTCAAGCGCCATGGAAAGCTTCCTCATTGAAGCTTGCCTGAACAGTGGATTGTCGCTAAACTTCATTTAGAAATGAGTGTAAAACTGCAGAATCTGCATTTATGTCGTATCCTACATCAAGTATCCCTGAAACTACGTAATCAAAATGGCGTTGATCGATTGTAAAAGACATCAAATTATTGAAATTTTAATGGTGAAATACTCAAAAACTGCTCTTCTTTGAAGGTGGAAACAAGTGAATTATCACTTTCTATGATATATTCTACTTATCTATCGTGTTAAAATGTAGTAGCCGATGGGGTGCAACGAAAGTCGTTTTCTAAGCGACTTTTTGTGCCACAGAATACGGCCGATATTTGTAGATAGCGATTAATACGACGAGAATATGGATGCTCTGCTATTTGAGTTTAAAAAAGGCTGTAAAGTACCTTTTTTTTATATATCTGCAGCTAAGTGACATTGGGCTCGTTGACACTTTGTTTAAATGCTTTTACATGGTAGCTCTCTTCGTCAAGGTGTAATAATCGTACTCAAAATCGGATAGTCTAATAAGGGCTGCAGTCCTGCAGTGCTAAAACGCGCATCTACAATTCCATGTCGATAGGGTTTAATTAATGAGAAAACTTGGAGTTAATAAAATACTTTGAGAATTTTTCGACTGTGATTGGTTGATTGCAGCGCAGTTTATCTGTAATTGCACTGTTTATATACTTTAACATGATTGGCTGAAAACAGTGAAAGCCTACGTAACTTCTTTTCAATTCAGAAAATAATATGGCGGCAGTGGTAAGTAAACCAAGTAAACAAAGATTTCCGCAATTATAATTGTTTCAAATTCCAAAATTGCAAAAGAACGTAAAGATAAAAACAAAACAGCAAGTACTGTTTTGGGGGTGAATGTTTTTAAGTGTTAAGCCGTGTAACGAGGCTTCTTTGAAGCGATATAGTGTAACGAAGCAAGACATAGTTAGACGGGCGCTGTCAAGAAATATTTCAAAGTATATAATTATTTAGTAATAGTATAGTTTCTCATGCAATTACAGCTAAACATGTATACGTAATCTATACTTACACATTAAAGTGACACGTTCTGTAGTATGTTTTAGCCTGTAGTACGTAGTAAATGTAGCGATAACAACTATTCATATACTCTAATGCTTCTGTTATTCCAAAACATTAATTTCATTGTATTAGTGCCATTGTTGTTGCACATTTAAAGTCCATACAATGCAAAGCTGGGGGGGTGGTCGGTACTTTTGTCTACCATAAAATGAATTGGTTTCAAGCGAAATCACTGCTACCTCCATTTGAAAATCCGGCGTACAGGCTGGTCCATGTTTTAGAAGTCCTGCTGAAGTTTGTAGTGATTGATGTTTCCATCTGCTTGACGGTAGTCAACATTTTTTGTACTTTTTGACGTAAGGGATAACCTAATGTCATGAGAAAGATGTTTAGACATCGTTCATATCTTAACATATCAGGCTTGCACTCCTTCAAAGGACCTCATTCAACTTTAAAAAATTCAAGACAATTAAGATTTTTGACTTTTAATTTAGCTTTAAAGATAAATTTTACCATTGTTTTCAAGTTTTTGTGAAGAAATGTTTTTGATAGGCGTCTCGTGGCAGATAACTATTCATCAGTGACGAAGAAACACTTTCTTCCCGTGTGTGGTTCAGATGGTCGTGATCCGTTTACGCGAGATATGGTAATGCGTTCATCCGGATTTATTAAAGATATTCCCACTACTATTCTTAGATCAAAAGAGGTGAGATGTTTTAAACAGTTACTTTTTGCACATTGCATTTACCTGTTGTACTTAGTCCTCTCGACGAAAGTAACTTAAAACATACTTGGCCAGGTTCACTTTGATATCAAATTTATTGATTTGTTTTTTACATTTAAATAATTCGTCAGTGAAACTATTTGTAAACATACAGTTTACTGTAATACGTTTAAACAGGTCTCGAGTGCTTTTATAAACAAAGCAAAATACGGCATTGTGTATCCTAAAGAGAAACCATTGCTGCAAAAAATCCAAGCTAAAGACCCAATATCCATGGAAAACTCTGGTCATGTAAGGAAACGTAGCTTTAAAGCTTTGTGCGTGTTATCCTTGAATATGTGTACTTTATGTAATTAATTTAAGTTAAAACGAGTTAATTAGAAACTTTAATTTTTTTAAAGATATAAGGGGCATGTTCATGTTGCGCTGGATTTAACGGAGGGGTGCGCTGGTAGGCGCCACTTCTAGCGTTGGCTAAAAGGGGTGCAGGGGGGGAATGAATTTCCCAGCGAAGTATTAATACAACAATAAACCTCAATAAACCTCACACACCACCACCACCACGCCATTCATCAATTTTTGAAGTCCTTCGACTAGCGACAACGACTTGACCCTAATTATTGCGATTCGTCATAATATGAATTGAAATGCGAAACGGCTTCCGAAGCGTTTTCACAGCTTTGTTTTTGTTATTTATGAAGTCTCTTGTCGAGCAAATTTCCAGGAAGCTTCTTCCCAAGCTCATCATAAAGTATATAAACATAAAAAATGATGAAACTTCTTCATGCATATTGAGAATAAAAATAATTTTGTTTAAGTGTGATAACAGTTCACAGAGTCCTGGAAAGCCTTGGGTATCTGGGTGCGCAGAACACGTAATTTTTAGAGTACACTTGCATGATGTACTAGAACTGCAGAAATTCATCAAACGTCCGTTGTCTCTTCAAAAGAATTCTTCCATAAAATAAATACGTCCGCTATTTACGACTCGTTTATAAATGAATCGTGTAGCTATATATTTGTCGCTAGACAAATTTTCATCGTTTTTTCATGTTTAAGGGACCTTTGTATATGGAAACGGAATCACAAGCAAAATACTCTTTGTTGCCATTTGTGCACGGTAAGTTGTTTCTTTCCCCGATAGCCCAACAGTATATTGCGACGAAAATTTTCTTTTATTGCTTTTCTGCTCATTCTCCAGAACTATTTGTAATAAGAATAACTTTTGCTTGGATGACGAACATTTTTTTGGAAATCATGCAATAGTATGTGAAAGTGCCAGCTTTAGTTCTTCAAGTTTTACGTACATGTTCAGGGATGAAGAATTTATAGTTTAACAACTTTTGATTTGGAAGTCGGTGTATGAAATTTAAATTTCTGCTTCTCTCGAAGCTCCTTGCAAAGTGCTATTCATATTTTTGCGACGTTTTTTTGCTATCGTGTTAACACCATGAAAATTTATTTCAGTGGATTCTTCAAAAAAGACGTTTGGTCACAAAGAAGGATCGGGGTTCACGCATGCATGCAATGATGAACCAATCACATACCGACCTAGCAATTGTCATGATGTTTTCGATCAAGTAAGTTGGTTTGTGTTGTATTTTCAGCAGTGCGCTGTTGAATTTCATGGATATACTAAGAGGGCTAAAATGAACAACTTACAACCTTAGGATTGTGCACAAATGAATGATCATACCCAATGAATGATCTTACTACAATTACCTAATATTATGAGACTTTATTTTTTGACTATATATTTTTAATACAATTATGACAAAGTCTAGCAACTAATGAAGTAGGAAATCGTTTTGAAAACAACGGACCAAACTGTAAATCTTTGGAAAGAAGCATAGATATAATAAATTCTGTGATATGCTTTGCATGTCTTCGTAATTCTGTAGAAATCAATGGTTACGATTCCTGAATGGTGCTATGCATGGATGCCGTCTTAAAAACCAAACACAACGAGAGCTTATTTGAGTATTTATGATTAAGAAAGATGATTGCATGAGCAAATTAAGTCTTTGAAACAAGTTTTAATGACATTTTAAGAAACCAATTTCATAGAATAATATACGAGTATGAGACATGAGACAGCATAACGCTTATCTATTCATCTATAATCACTTGTATAATTTTTCTCACTACCAGAATGTAATTTCTTATAGATAGTCACCTTGCCAAGATCAACTGCTCAAAGCGTGATGAAGTCGTCATTTCAGCCAAGGGTTACTACAGACGTATGTTGATGATGTTTTTTAGATTTGGTTGTGGTGAGAACTGCTTTGAATAGCATATTTGCCATGGTAAATGAAGACTTGGTAGTTCTAAAAAGAACTTTTTAAGAGCAGGATAATTTTTCATGGCTTCAACATTTCCTTTTAGAACTACCAAAGACGTTATCATGAGCTGTGTTTGCATAAGCCTGTGCAAACACTGTAAACATCTTTTATTTCTTAACTTTTTATATGCAATCTAACACTAAAATTGCGGGCTGTGTAAATCATTTTCCTGTATTAAAAGCGCGTATATTTGGTTTTGGAAAATCCATCAACGAAACATAACATACGATTTTGAACAAGTATTATTTGCCTTTTAGCAACGTCACTGATTATTTCGTTTTTGCGTTACTTTGAAGCCTTTGAAAGCTCGCGAAAGGCCAAATGACTTTTGTGGAGCCAACTTTGTTTAAGTATCACACATTAGTTGAATAAACAAATAGTCAATAACGTCCTTAACCATAGGTTAATAATTATTTGCGACTGGAAAAATCGTCAATTGCATGTAGGGCTACGAGAAGTTGCCATCGTTACCAGGAAGAGCAGAACGTTATACAGGTTTCACCCGAGAAGCTATGGGAAAGCCAAAATTCTGTTTTCCAAACAGGCAAAAGGTCAGTGTAAATGTAACATTTATGATTATTGCCCAGCCATAGGCAGAATGTGCACTTAGTAGACCTCGAACTTCTTAAAATACCTTTTTTATGGAACGCCTTGAGAAAAACTCCTTTCAACAATAATATGACTGTTTTTCATTCGACATACGAATTTTTTTAGCTTTGCTTTTCTTGTCGCATAAGTCGACTGTTAAACAGTTTTCTGGTCTTGTTTTTCTAAAGAAAACCTGTTGTTTTGGAACATTAATCATTATTTTCTTATTCCATTAGCCACTAGTAATATTATCTCTAGGATACTTCAGCTAATTCTACTCAATCCTCTTGTTTTGCTTTCCTTCTTTTCTTTTTCAAGTTTAAGATAATATTTTCATATTTCTTTTAATTCTTAGATTTTTACTGAACTTAACGACCTTCCGTTATTAACGCAAAACCGAATCAAGGCCCAAGATCCTACGGAGTATATAAATTTGACTAATCCAGACAACAGATCCAGGTAATTAAGTTAAAATTTAAATGGATTGTTTTGTAGAAACTTTGATGAAATTGAAATACTACAGGCATTTTTTTTTTTTGTAATTTAAAACAGCTTTAAGTTTACTTTGAGGTTTATAATTTCCATTCAATGTGATATTTATGAAAAAATGGTTGTGTTATCGTCTTTATGCTGTTTCGATTGCTGAACATTATGTCGTCTCTGTTTCTGTTTGTATTACAATTATTTTTTACAATTATTTTCAGTCTTTCCAGCAAAATTTTTGCCGGTGATCAACAAAAGCAACCAAATTTAGCTCAACAACTTCAAAAGAGCTATATAGGAAATAAGGTATCGTTTAAGAAAGGCGACGTTCTTATACTCTTACAAAGAAACTTGTTTATTGAAGGCAATGAAAATCACTATGCCATAAACACATCATAATTGGTCATATGTGTTATGTTCACTAGGAACCTACAGGCTTTACGGAGAACAATTGTCAACATTTTGAAACTTTCGAGACACCTGCTATTTTGAGCCGTTTTAACACACATTACACATCACAGTAAGTGTAATAAATATGAATTGACACTTTGTAATGTAAAGTGCGTGCGATGCTAAAAGTGCTTAACGCGTTATCTATTCTAAAGTTTTCAGGACAGGAATCCTAAAAACGATGCCAGGCAGGGTCGAATTATTGGTCACGTAATGCCATTGTTACCCAATGGCTTCACCAAATCGAGTAAAGTTGAGAAGTTGGGTCAATCATTTAGCTTATCTAGACAGTTACATAACTGTAATTCCTATGTGGCAAGGTAAACTCGTTTCTATTTTATACACAAAAAATTTCCTCAATTCTGGCTAATTTATACAACAGATCAATTTTTAATAAATACCAGTGCCAAAAATAATAAGTATACCATGCAGTGCCAAATGAAGGAAATATTTCTAAACGTGCTCATGATTGGTTACTCAAATAGTGAACCAATCATAAGAGCCAATCAAATACCTCATTTCGCGCATATGGTAAATTTAAATTATTGTAAACAAAAGCAGCAGCAATAGCCAGCGTAAGTTTTAAATAAGTATGTTTTCTGTGATCACCAAATATACAATTTCACCCTTTAATACACTTTCAAAAATGCAAAGACTGTATAAAGTGCCTTTTTTGGCTGTGCGTGTGGAAGTAATGGTGTGTAAAAAAATATCTGACAAAATTGAAAGCTACCAGCTGGTCGATTTTAACAATTTGCTGAATTTTTTTTAAACTGAAGTTAGATATTAACGTAACTGAGAAGTTTTTGAAAGCGGTAATTGCACTGTAGAAAAGTGTAACTGCACTATAAATACTGTAATCTGATTGGCTGAAAAGCAGTGAAAGCTTCTTTTAACTTAAAAAAAATAGTGGCAGTTGTAAGTAAACAGAGATCGTTTGAAATTCAAGAATTACAAATGAATGCAAATTATAAAAACAAAACAGCAATCATACTGTTTTTTTGGTGATTGTATTTAACTCGTGAGTTTTTAAAGACGGCAAATAGCACTCGTCATTCAAACTCATGCTATTTCGCTCCAGTCTCTACGAAATTGCACTCGAAACTATACTATTACCTATAAAAACATGTGTGCATTTACAGTGGTTAAGTAAAGCGTCATATGTTGTCCTATGATAAAAATGTGCAGCTTGTATTGAAAATTGTGTGTGTGTCTTGTGTTTAATATGAGATATGTACATTCAAATTTTGAGAGCTTTATCTAATTTATTGATTAATTGTTTTGTTAAAGTCAAAGCATTTATCTGAGTCTACATTATGAGCATATTAGCAGTATCCAAATCTTCAAATTCTAGCAAAAAAATATTTTGCTTAACTATTGTTCTATTTTTAGTTTTATTATTATAAATGTATTATTATAAATCTGTAATAAATTTAAATTAAAATTTAATTACTTTCCCCTCTCCTTTATCTCATATGTTGAGTTAAAGATGGATATTTAATTCGGAGAATGTTTCCTTTTCTACTTCGTACATCGTATGCTTGTTCAGTTACTATACAATTATGCACTGCTATTGTAGCAAGTCCATTTTACATATTTTCAAGCTCTAACAAGTTCCTATATCCACCGCACGAAAAGTGATTCGAACGCAGTCGGACTAGTTTATACCTATATGACTTTTTTAAAAGAAATTCTGTTTATCACGCCAGGTTAAAAAAATTTTGCGTTGCTTGGCAGACGTAACTTAATGGGAATATAGCTATTTTACCTGTAGGATTATTACAAGCTGGTTTGTTAGAATAGCAATATTGTACAACACTATGTGTTTTTCTTGTTCTGTGTAATGCAACGGTAAAAATGTAGCTAATTGAAAACACTTTCCTTTATGTTACTAACAAATTTTTTCTTTCTCAAGGAGCATTAAATCACGCGATCCGCTGTTCGACGACCGCACATACGAGTCGAAGCTTCGCAAAACGTGAATCAGCTATTATTAAAATGTTAGTATGAATGACAATAAAAAGAAGTTTGCTTTAACATTTGTTTCAGGAAAATATGTCTAAAAAAGTATTTTGATAAATTTCTAAAGTGTAATCGATATTCGACTGTGCAACACGATAATGTTATGATTATGTATATTTTGTTTGTATGATGTTTAAGTTCAAATGATTGTATGATGTTTAACCATTATTGTTTTAAGTGATACTTGGTTAAAGCAAATTTCCTTTACGATTTTCATGATGCTATGTTTTTCCTTATAGTCCCACTAATTCTTCAGAATTTTGGTAGGATTTCAATAGTGTTTACATTTTTTACAATAGCAAAATATTACTTTTGAGGTATGTCTTCCAATGTTTAACTTCCTATGTCTCGTAATTCTCTCATCTACAGAGTGTATGAAAAATTAGACAAGTTTGAAATGCTCGGTGGACTATGAACTTGTCGTTAAAAATCTCGTAGATTTGCGCAGATATTTTAGCATCCTTAGATAAATCTAACACTACAAATAAAGAGAAAGTTTGGCCTCGAAAAACAAGAAAGCGGCTTACAAAAGCGAATTGATGCGCACGTAACAGTCGCTTGAACGCCAGAAACACACATGTAACGACCATCGCGACTTTTACCGTGGCGTCTATTGAACATGGCGGAGATTTCTGTTTATTACAGACACAGACATCACTTAAACTTTTTATTTTGTCCTATATTATAGCTACTAATATATGAATATTTACTCAGTAGAAACTACTATGTGGACAAAACAGAACAAGCCAGTTAAAACACACCAATATGATCATAGCCCATTACGCGTATATCGTGGACAATCTTATTCCGTGCATTTAGGTTGTGCATTAGGGTTCCAGTTTGTAGCTCCTATTGTCCCTATTTAATAAGTCATATAAAAACTGAAAGATTCCAGTGTGAATTCACTATATATTGCCCTCGTTTTCCAAGGTATAACCTATAAATTTCGTATGATGCTTATGACAGGGAATATGATATGCATTTAGGAAGCTAAAATGTATCTATTGGCCAATCAGTGTAAAGCGACTAAAGCGACCTATGTAAAAAGTTCAACATGTTACAATTTCAAAGCGACTCGCTGACGCGACTGCGCGACTAGCTTAGTAGCCACGCAAAGCGGTAGTTATAGACGCGAGACTAAAGCAACTGCCTAGTGTGTTTCAGCCTTAAGAAAAGTTTATTGTTTTAACTCACCCTTTTACTGTTTTGACTTTTGTCTCTTTCATAAAAAGCGATGTATACTTGCTTTGTGATGTCTTTCCTCTGTCACTACATGCATGTTGTGCATTCTAGTTGCATATTTTTAATAAAATATTGTGACACATAAACCAGTAAGTAGTGTGTCATTGGTCCATTATTTGACGACGCAATGACGCAATTATCCATAACAATGAAATTTAATCTTGATTCAAAGACGCTAAGGATGATGGCGAAGCCAGCGCACCATTCAGCAAATGCGAAAATATTTCATTCGCTCCATTTGCTGGTAACTATTGCATGCCTTGCTGTTATTTGTTTCAATTTATATTCGTTGAGCAGGATGCAATTTGCACTGGAAAGTCTCAAGCAAACGTGTGTGACGTGCAATTTACGGAAATGTGAAAATGAAAGTAGCTCACCAAGTGTTCCATGTACCCAGAATAAAGAAGATTTTAATGAAAAGCAAAATGAGGAACGAAAGAAAAGAGCCACTGTACTCTCAACTCAAACGTGCGAGCAAAGGATTCGTTATTTAATTGAAATACTCAAGGAGTCGAATCGACTTGTAAGCTAGCTATAATCGAGTTATTTTGTTTGAGTTTATATTTACCATTAATTTTTTGAACAAATTCATCTTCATTATTTTACATACGCTTGATCCTTTCAATTATTCGAGCCAATCAGGTTGTTCATAATTGCTTTCTTTAATGGCTGTGAAGGTCGGAATAATCACTGGCTGTTATACTTTGTGAATGACGCACTTGTCGACCTTCATGTAATACGATTGTAAATTGGCGATGGGTGGCCAGAACGGTAGAAGGCTGTAATTGGACAAAGAGCGACCAGTGAACTCAACAAAAATTTTGATAAACGTTAAATGTGAATTAACTGCTTCATTTCACACTGTAAATATCCCCAGAAATTTTCCCCGATCTACTAACTTTTTAGCAAATTCTTCTATAGCCTTGGCCTAGCACATACTCCATGGTTTTTACGAGTTTGAAAAATTCTGTTAAATTGTATAAAATTTTAATAGCCTGTGCAACAAAGTCCCTATTTCGACTCAGGGTAATTGAATTGTTTTTCCGAAGGTTTGTTTTCGCAGACTTAGACAATTCTCTCAAAGGTAAAATAATCTTTCATTTTCAAAAAACTTAATGCCAGCTAGAGAACGTTAAAGTATTTAAAATCTCTAAACTTTTCAGCTTATTTTGTGCTTGTCTTATTTTCGGGAACTTTTCAAGAGCATACCTTTTCATGTACCCTCAGTATGCATGCTATTTCTTTTATTTCATCGGTAATCTTAAATTGTAAGAGCCTGCTGCCTTAACCCAGGTTTTTAACTTTTTCAACCTGCAACATGACAAGTTCATAATATGCTAATTATTATTTTGCAGAAAAACAAGACTAACGGTACGTTTTCTGAAAGTGTCGCGTGTTTGCCAGGTAAGCATTATCAGCTTTCAGCATACTGAAAGCGGTTTACAAAGTAGGTTGCAATTATAGGTGTTTAAAATAACTTTTTACCAAAATTTAACTTCTATCAGTTGCTGCACCAGTGCTCTCACCTTTATAGAATTATCTTTAAAAATAGGATTTTCTAAAGGTTTTAAGGATATTTTTAAGAATGTTTTTATACTTTAAATTAATATACACTTAATAATATTTAATTTTTCTTTACAAATACAACGTTGACAAACTTCAAAACGGCAAAAAAAGGAAGAAATCCATGAAAAAACACTTTTTGAGCCTGTGTGATCACACCTTGTAGTAATTTTTATAAATTTAAGAAATTTTATGGAAATTTGAGGAATTTTTAAGCATTTTCTAAGGAACAACGAAATTTGGTTGTAAAGAGCACTGTGCTGCACATAAGATGTTCAACTTGTTTCTACTATGAAAGTGTTCCATTAATTATACTTCTGAAAGTAGCTATATTTTTTTAAGAAAATGTGAAAAGTGACGACAGCAACAAAACTCATCGTAACTTAAATTCGATAAATTCACCGTAATTTATATAATTTGTTATTTTATAGCTTAATAAAATTTTGCGGCTAACCTTCAAAGCCACAAAAAACTGTTCTTGTAGGGTCACCTGGAGTGAAAGGGTCTAAAGGAGAACAAGGATATCGCGGTTATCCTGGAAAACGCGGAGAAGGAGGTTGTGATTGCAAGAAAGCTGTAGTGGGCCCACCTGGACCACCGGGATCACCTGGACCAGATGGTCCACCAGGACCACCAGGTCCTCGAGGAATGAAGGGTGAACAAGGGGATGTTATGAAATCAAAAGAAGGTAATTATTTCTAGTAAAGCATTATAAATTTAAAGAATAAAAAACATTTTCCATTTTTTAATACATTAGTAGAAACACGCGGTAGAGTTTGGGAGAAACGAGAAATTGCGTGGCAAGCAAGGGCACGCGAATTGCGAGTATTTTCGAGCAATTTCGAATTTCTTGCATACTGTCACAAGTGTTTCTGTAACTCAATAGAAGCAAGTGAAATGCTTTCTATTTCCTTTACAAAATAGCCTATTAAGAACATTGTTGAAGAAATAATTTATTAATTGTAATTACGTATTTTTTCTATTTTTGTCCAATCATAGCTACTTTTGTCCTAAATTTCGAAAAAATTTTAACAGTATTTACCGTTAATTTACAATGTTCACACTATGCATGAAATATACCTTGCAATTTTAAGAATACGTTTCATTTAAATCTTAGTATTCGTTGTTTGGTAAGTTCTAGCTGTTTTACTTGTTACATGTAGCACCACCAGAAATAATATCCCACTCTCCTAAGACTATGTACGTCAAGGAAGGAGATAACGTTACTATATATTGTACGGCCCTTGGATATCCGTTACCGTCCGTATCGTGGTTAAAACATGGAAAACCTACACATAGCTCAAATTCATTTCCTAAGCGTGGCAAGGGAGCGAAAATTGAATATGCCAGCATAAGATACGAAAATGAAGGACTGTACACCTGTGTTGCGTCCAGTTCTATCGGATTGATGACATTTGATATTCGTGTGATCTTTAAAGGTAAACTGTAGCTTAAAAAATATTTGTGCTTCAATACATTTTACTTTTATCGTTGTTTCTTCAAACATAGTACCACCACGTCGCCTAAGCTCGTTGCATACGATAGCCTACCTATATAGGTCAGTGACTTTGTACTGCCCCGTCGACTCGTATCCACCTGCAAAGATTCGCTGGATGAAACCAGGTTTGATTCTTCCAAATGACGACATTACTATTGAAAACAATACTTTAGTAATCGGAGTTGTCAGAAGAACGCACGAAGGCATATATTTATGTGAGGCGAAAAACACGTTTGGGTCAACATTCACAGCCCTTTCGGTGAAAGTAAAACACGAAGGTAAATCTTATTGCAATAGTTTTTGTATTTTTTAATTAATAAGGCGGCAAAAAGCACAATCGTCAATTAAAAATATGTCAAAACAAGGGTAAAAAACAATTATATCAAGCTTTTTGAAATCCAAATCTGTAAACTATCAACTCTGCAAATGTAATGCAACGCAGAAAAAACAGAATTTAGTCGTATTAATATGGTCAGCTTTGCAACCATTCAATATACAGGGATGCATCACTCGCAATCATAATAGATAGTAGATTGGCTTCTAGGGGCAAAGCACTTTGTAGAAAATTTTGCGAAAAAACTATGATATGTGAAGCGGAGAAAATATTCTCTTGCTTGTGTGCCGAGTTTTTGCTGTTCAAATCAAGTACAGGTTTGTTCTCGAAGTTGCCCATCTGCTGAGACAAACCGAAAATCGACTTAATTTTTTGAATTATCAACACAGAAACAATGGAAATTATATATGTTTAATTTTTACATAAGAAAAAAATCAAATTGTTCCAAAACTTCTTGTCCTTACATCTCTTTCAGTTTGGCCAGGTTTTAGCGACATGCCACCGTATTCGAGGGGAGTATTTAAAAATCAAAAAGTTATGATCAATTGTGCTGCATATGGTGACCCCACGCCGCTTGTCGTCTGGATGAAAGACAATGGACTCAATGCATCACTTACCAAGAAATATCAGGCAAAATTGATCATACATGACTTTCTACCATCTGACGAAGGCAGTTATACATGCAACGTAGAGACGTCTCTCGGGCGTAAACTTAGTGCTGTTATTAAACTATGTGAGTCTACATTAAAACTAGGGAAAATGACGGAGTACTATAATTATAGGGCGTATAAGCTAAGATAAAGTTGTGAGCCTTTAAGTGATATCTTTCCCAGGCCCACCCCGAATAAATTCATTCTGTTTCTTGAAGACGTTTGCATTTCTCACGCTCCTTCGCCTTTGCATTTCTCGGTTTCTCACTTCTGTTTGCAACTCATATATTGTAAACAACAGGGAATAGATTTAAAGTTCAAACTGGAAAAACCACTTTACTTCTTGAGTCTTGAGCATCGTAAAATTGAGCAGTAGAAGATTGTACCGTTTTCAACAGCATAAATAGTCGAAATTAAGAGCATTTGGCTAGTCTGGAATGGCAAAAAAAGTAAAAACTAGTTAAAAACTAATTATGTCTATATACAGCAGGCTTCTTTAATTAATCAATCAATGAGGCATTAAATTTTTTGAACAATTTATTATCAACCAAACCTTAAACATACCTTAACGTGCGGTCCAGTACGGAGACTGTGGTAATGTGTCTTTCGATATTTTATCAAGATTTGTCTTGTTTTTAGATATTGTCAAATGTCCACCACTTTCACCTCCCAAAAATGGTGAAATGATTAGTTTGATTGAAGTCAAGAACGATATCATGGTATTTTCATGTAATCAAGGTACGCAGTTGGTAGGCTCAGAAATTCGTGTATGCCAGCGCAACGCAACTTGGACTGGAACGACCACTTATTGTAAGTTTATTTTGACATAGCTTCAGGGGCCGATTGCACAAAACTTGGATACAGCGTTGTCCATTGGATAGCAAATTTTTTAAAGTTATAAAATTACAATTATATTTTCCTTACCACAAAAATTTTTGTAATCTTAGAAGAGGTATTTTATTTTAGTGATTGCTCATTTCAAACCCCATATTTTTCCTTTTTAAGAGGTTTTTTAACCGTTTAAAATAATTGCTATCCAATGGATAACGCTATCCAAGCTTCGTGCAACCGGCCCCTGCACTATGGGCAAACGAAATGCATACTATTCTTGAGATTTTCGTATAGCTGTATTTCAGCTATATATTTTGGAAAGGAATTCTAAGTGTAGCTAAATAGTTACATAAGCTTTAGCTAACTACGGCAATCATCTATTATGTGATTCCTTTTTTCATATTTTATTGCTACAGTTTTGTCTTTAAGGTGTTTCTCGAGTCAATGATGGTCTCATTCATAGTAGGAAATAAAAGTCTTTGCTCATATACGCGTATTTCATATTTTTTATATATAAAAATAAAATAACCACGAATTAAAATAAAAACAATCTCTTTTTAAACCTAAAATCTTATGAAACTAAAGTATTTTGTCTGCCCACGAAAAAAATCGAAAATACAATATGTTAAGAAAGCATAGAAGGCATAGAAAGCACAGAAAATAGAGCATAACTAGTTACATGCAACATTTTACTTTCTTTTTAATAAGAAGCACGCACAATCAATTGTGATCTTAAAGCTCATGTATTATTTCTACCTTGCCCAGTTAAATGTAGATGTTTGTATGCAATTTTTATTTTACCTAGGATCAAATAAATCGATTTGAACGTATTATGATGCAATGTACTTGAACTGTTCTCTTTAAAAACATGCAAAGTGTACATTTCATTGAAAAGATAAAGATGCAAGGTAGAATCTGCTTCCGCCCCTATGTCAAAAATCTTCAGTCCGTTTTGCAAGCTTTATCGATGAAAATCTTCACATCGTCCGATCTGCACCAAACATAAATTAATTGAACTCTATCTTAGGTGTTGGAGAAGTCTTGGGTAAAGAAGGATCCTTGATACTCAAAGGATTGTACAATGACACAAAACAGCTTTTGAACTATTTAAAACGGGTTGAAACATCAGTATATTCCAAGTGGATATTGTGCTACCGAGCCAGTAGAGATGGATGGTCGGCGTTTGCTTTTCATGGGGCATGCGGCGATAAAACATCCACTGTTTCTGTGATCAAAGTCGACTCTTTCATATTTGGTGGATACTCGGACATAAAATTTGGCTGTGAGTAGCAAAATAAAATCTTTGAATGTGTTCTTTGCAATCATAAACGTAAGATTACTATGTTATGGTTTAAAGTGCCCATATATATCGGGGTAGGGAAAACAACTTCTTTAAATAGTTAATTTGATTTTGAGCACATTTGCAATATGTTTGATATCTCAAAAATTTTATCTTAATGGGCTTGTTGGGCCTTGAAGAAGGTGAGTTGGTTAACGTACATAAGAGAATTAACACGCTCACTTCGAACATTATAAACACCGTATAGAATAGTTAAGATTTACAGTGAAAATTAACGTCGGAACATTTGTACTTTTTAAAGGTTTATTTCTATTATAAACTTGTATCATGATTCATGAAAGCTATTTTGTTCTCCAAAGTGTTTCTGTTTCAGCGCTGAGTCATCTACTTGTAGACCCAAAAAGCCCTTGAAGATAGCATTTTTTCCTACAAAATGTACTTAAAATGTGTTTAAAATCGATTTGACTATCTAAAGAAGTCATTTTTCTAACCCTGATATATGTGCACTTTAAATCTATAAAGCATTTACGCTGTATTTATTTGCATATTGACTCCCATGATAAGCAGTTTCCAGTATAGATTTGATTGGAACCAACCTCCACGTAATCATCAAACAATGGGGTTTATCTACGTTTGCTGCTACCCACAATAGCATTCATAAGATATATTTAAGAATTTGACTACCAATATGTCGGTCATGTTGCAACATGCAAACGCCTAGTTGAAAGGATTTCATCAGGTTAATTTGATTATTCGAAAAAGACCTTTCAACACAAAGTTTTGGTTGTGCGCAATGTTATTTAAAAAATATCGTGATGTTTAATATCATAAATCATTGACATTTGTTGCTTTATCGAGTTTTTAACGACTGTAACAACTTTATGTAAGATTTTTTATTCTACAATTGAAAGAAAATGTCTTTGACTGAGTCACACCAGGAGATCAAAATGAAAAAGGACTTTGGCGTTAAAGAAAAACGTGAATTCTAATGAAGTTTAATTCAAATGCGTCAAATCAAAATACCGGATATACTGGTAAACAGTTATATGAATGGTGGATCTAGAATTAAACAAGACGCTCTTTTGAGCTTTGGTCGCAGAGCCGAACCATTGAGTTCTGTAATAACCATTGAGTTATTATAGAACTCAATGGGCCAAAGTCAATATGCTGCCGGAAAGACACACACAGGGTACTTGTAGATAACTATTGATATCCATGGGATAGTTCCAGGGGCGGATCCAGCTTCTGGGCTGACCGTGGCCCTGTGACGTAGCGAGCGACTTCGGCGCGAGCCAACGCTAGGGGGATCTGGGGGCATGCTCCCCCAGAAAATTTTGAAATCTTGACTCTCGGAAAAGCAAATTCCTGCATTTTTAATGTAGAATATAACAATATTTAGTTATAATCTCATCTAAAAAAAATTCTAATATCGCCATTTTTTTAATTCTGTTCGGATAAAAATTTTACTTATCTTGTGGTGTCTGATGTAAAATCAACGCAGTTTCCGTACCTTTCTGTAATCACAGGATTGTTGCCACAGGAGTGAGAGAAAGATGAAGCATGTTATTTTTCAGTGAATAACCAAAAGACAGTTCACTACAAAAAAATAATTCCCCATCTTTGTTGCCCCATCAAATGGTCTTTTTCGAAAAGCAGCGAGGATGCCTTTTGTAACAGCCATAAAGATGGCAAGACTAATAAAAGCAATGTTCAAATGTGGTCTTCTTCCAACAACAGCAAAGATGTTTATCCAACAATCGTAAAGATTGCAAGATTAATAAAAGCAATGTTCAAAAGTGATCTTCTTCCAACAACAGCAAAGATGTTTATCCAATAATCGTAAAGTTGGCAAGATTAATAAAAACAATGTTCAAAGGTGATCTTCTTCCAACAGCGACAAAGATGTTTATCCAACAATGGTAAAGATGGTAAGATTAATAAAAGCAATGTTCAAAGGTGGTCCTCTAAAAACAAAGTAACGAAATGATTTTTGGTGGATGGGATTTTTTGATCTGCCAAATAACGTGGCATCGCAGCACAACGAAAGATATGGACATAGTCAATTGCACTCCCATCAACAAAATCTCTTGGATATATTGTACAATTGAACATTTTAGCCAACGAATCCCAATTTCCTTTCACTTCAGCATCATTAGTAATTGGGTAGTATGACTGAATAGCACACTGGATTACTGTGGACAAAGCAAACATACACATCAAGGGTGAAAAGGTGTAATTATTCGCTCTTTCCACTGCTTCTTGTAAAACTGCCGCAATTTCATTTGCATTTTCTAAAGAGGTTAGAGCTGCATCGCATATACACATGGAAAAGGCATTTTTAAGTGAAGTGAACGCACCATTTTTATGCTGGGACTCGATGAGAGGATGGGTAGAATAGTATTTTGCATTCTCAAACATTTCAACACTAGTTAGGAATCTCAAGTAAATAGAGAGAGTCTCATTCCCAACTAATGCAATAGAACATGCATTGAACAGAAAATTCCCATTGGCTAAAGTACTAAAAGAAAAATTAGTATTTAAGTATCAATGGCTGCTTTGTTATACCAAGTTATACCTGGAAACAAATCTGCTAGACTGACTCTGACATTAGAATAAATAAGGGTAACCAATACTGTTAAAGATAGACAAATAATATTGAAATTGAGAAAGTTATTTTCTCTTTGTGTTAATTTGGTAACATCATGATAAAGTCAAAGTCACAGGCAGGTAGTCTAAGATTTGGAACTAGTCCAGGCATGTCAAACAGGATTCAGACGACTTATTGATTCCATCTACTATAGCATCAATATTCTATATAAATCGCGAAAGAAAGTAACAGTTATTCAAAATGATATGTTAGTTTCTTTAACCAGGGGATAACATAAAATTCCAGGAATACAAGGATAATACATTATTGATTGGGTTAAATTTTAAAAAGACTAGCTTTGACTAATATTGAAGTAAAACATTTTATTTAACAGACAGTAACAATTAAAATTATTTAGGCCGTACATTAGACAGACTGAGTATGCAAAATAATGACAGCTTTAGACATATATTTTACATGATACACTAAATATGAATAGCTGAAAATTAACGGATTGATCATATATTTCAGGCCAAGATGTCAAACGTAAATAAAAATATAAATTAATACCCCAATACATGTAAATTCTTACCTAACAGGGACATTGGGTCCTGATCTTTCAATTTGGCTTTCAGGGAAGTGCAGTTTTGAAAATGAACAAGTTCGTAGCATAATATCGCCAGTAGAATTTATGCGATGAAGCCTTTCCTCGTTGATTATTTTAACACAGTGTTGTCTCAAGTTAGACAATTCACCAGAAATAATTTCGCAAGCGTTCTCTTGCTGAAAGGTTTGGACGAGCTTTTCAAGAACATCGATCTTTTTAGAAGTTTCCATTGATCCTAATCGCTGAGTAGAACTAGAAGTAGCGTTTTTCAAGTCGACAAGAATCGAGCAATTTCATGACTTGTATTTATTGTGCAATCAAAATACATTCACCGTGGCTCACCGTGGCGCACATGACCAAAACGTTCCCTGTGATTGGCTTGCAACGCTGCACCGTGGCTTAAAGGGGTAGTCTGACCTTAACACAACTTTCGCTCATATGAAAGTGTATATTGTTCTTACCTCTCTCACGAAATCCTAGGTTTCCAATTCAAATTTAACTCGAGAAATAATGCCCTAAATGTGTGTATTTTTGCCTCTTGTTCGATCGCCATTGTGTAAATGCAAGCGAAGCCGCAGTCCAGCAGCGGTTTTTCGTCGTGACGTCACTGCGCGGTGATCGTTGTCAACATAAGACAAAATATACTAGCAAAAGTAGAAATTACGCATAAGCATATTCATCGTTGCATTTTATTTTCTAAGTTTTTAAATTATTTTGCGCAATGGATACGGATTACTCAAACGATTCCTCTAGTAATTATTCTGGAAGCAGTGTTTCAAACTACGAAGAAATGATTAACGATCAAAACATGATTCAACCATATGCTTATGAGCCGATTGAAACAGACTCTAGCGACGAGCCTATGGACGACTCCGACGAAGTTCAGCTGTTGTAACAATGAATGAAGACTCAGCACAATTTGAGGGAATAGATACTCCGGACTGTATTACAGATAATCCTGTTTTCGAAATCTTTGTTTAAATTATTGGGTATTACGACTGGCATGGAGTGAGTACAAACAACACTATGGTTCAAGAGCTGAAGAAGGACCTGAACACAAAAGACAAAGACATGTGGCTTACAGGCAACTGGTTCGATGGTGTTGGAATGTATTGGGCAAGGAAATTAGAGTACCACTACCATCTTTTGCTGTTAGCTACATTCGAGCACATTTCCAACCACCAGGTCTAGAAGAGGACTTTGTCTTTGAGGGTTTTAAATTCGCTGATGAATAATAATGGTAATGTAAACTATTATAGCCATATTTATAAGTATCGTTAATGATGAATTACTAATAAATAAAAATATAAATTGGATTTAGTAAATGAACAATAAATACAAATTATAATGGCCAAGCCAAACCAATTCTTTATTTGTGCTATGCAAGGATTTTGGTGTACATAATTAAAAAGTGCCTAACAGCAAAAGATGGTAGTGGTACTCTAATTTCCTTGCCCAATACATTCCAACACCATCGAACCAGTTGCCTGTAAGCCACATGTCTTTGTCTTTTGTGTTCAGGTCCTTCTTCAGCTCTTGAACCATAGTGTTGTTTGTACTCACTCCATGCCAGTCGTAATACCCAATAATTTAAACAAAGATTTCGAAAAACAGGATTATCTGTAATACAGTCCGGAGTATCTATTCCCTCAAATTGTGCTGAGTCTTCATTCATTGTTACAACAGCTGAACTTCGTCGGAGTCGTCCATAGGCTCGTCGCTAGAGTCTGTTTCAATCGGCTCATAAGCATATGGTTGAATCATGTTTTGATCGTTAATCATTTCTTCGTAGTTTGAAACACTGCTTCCAGAATAATTACTAGAGGAATCGTTTGAGTAATCCGTATCCATTGCGCAAAATAATTTAAAAACTTAGAAAGTAAAATGCAACGATGAATATGCTTATGCGTAATTTCTACTTTTGCTAGTATATTTTGTCTTATGTTGACAACGATCACCGCGCAGTGACGTCACGACGAAAAACCGCTGCTGGACTGCGGCTTCGCTTGCATGTACACAATGGCGATCGAAAAATACACACATTTAAGGCAGTATTTCTCGAGTTAAATTTGAATTGGAAACCTAGGATTTCGCGAGAGAGGTAAGAACAATATATACTTTCATATGAGCGAAAGTTGTGTTAAGGTCAGACTACCCCTTTAAGGTTACTACGGAGTTTTAGCAAGAGTACGACCACGACTACGAGTACGCAATTTGACCGAGTAAGGGAATGGCTCGAGGAAGGTTGTTGTCGTTATCGCTTCGTCAAATAATGATATCAAAGAATCGATAATACTGGTTTTGCAAGAATATAGGACTCTTTAGACTGAAAAATCTTCACTATTTTAAGTTTTATGTACGATATATTTGTACTATTTTATTGTTTGTTTACCTTTAACTTTGCGTACGAAATACATGAAAGTTTCGCGACTGCGAATTTTTTACAAAACATCGTACTCAGATTGATGACGGCTACGTGTTTTTGTTGTCGCAACAATGTTTTCGCGCTAAAATGACGTAATTCGTACTCGTAGTCGTACTCGTAGGCTCTGCTAAAGCTCCCTACTATATTTAGCAACTATTGCGAAATTTTTTGAACGCTGACCGTGGCTCTTCATTCTGAGATTGCTGGCTCGAATTTACGAACATATTCCGAGCATACTCATGGCGTATTCGGCAAGATTCGAGACGCTTTCGGTGATTTTACAGTTCAGAGTTTAACTGGATGATAATACTATTTTAACAAGACGTTTAATTTGAAGTTTTTGTTCTGTTAACAAAAATTTTTGACAAAAAATTACAAAATTCATTCAATTTTTGCTTTTGATCGAATTTTGCTGTATTTGAGCAAAATTTTTAATCATGAAAAAGTCAACCTTGGAAAAACTTAAGTGGCAGAATTCTGACCGTGGCTCAAGCCACTTTCGCCATGGCCTAGATCCGCCCCTGAGTTCGGGGCAAAACGATTTCACGCAACGTAATAAAAATTGGCCTCTATTGTCTTTAGTACTTTTATTTTGACCCGCGTTTCACACAGGTATTGTAGATATAAAAATTTTATGGCTTTTGGGGCTTGATTTTCTTTTTGTTTGTACAATTAAAATTCAAAATTATCCATTTAATCAACATTATCCAATTATCATTATCCAATCAACATTATCCAATTATCAACATGTCTTTCACAACGCCGCCATCTTTGATTTTTGTTCTGTTTACATAAAGTATATTAATTTGTGAACATTGACAAAGATCCGACATCCGACGAAAAGGCGTGCCGAAAGTCCCGAAACTTATGGTCGCCTGCCCTGCGACAAAAAATGATACACTTTGTGGCTTTTCACATTGGAGCGAATGTTATTCCGCAATGAACAGCTTAAAAGCTTTTTAACATATGTTTAATTGGCATATATCGCATGTTCTATATGGCAGATATTTTCCACACTGCAATACTCTATCATTTTACGTTTTTTAACATACTCAACTCCCCATCAATTCCTATTATTTTGAAGTCAACTTTTAAGGGAAAAATATGAGAAAGTAATACAATTTTATACGTAAGTTTGGCGGCTGTGTCTGACACTATAATCTAAAAATCTCTAAGGCTCTGTTTACATGGGACCGGAACAAAGTCAAACCTGAATGAAAATAGGAATTTGTTGCATATTTATAAGGGACATGCTCAAAATCACGAAAAATCTGCATTTGCGTAATGCCACCTTTTCAGGGCTAGTTTTACACTTGCCAGCCATTTTGTTTTTTAACTTGCTTTTTTGCGCATGCGTTGTTGCCGTTTCAGATCGTTGTGAACGTTAATTTGAGGCCCTGTTTACATGAGGGCGGTATGAATTCAGACCAGAACCATTTCAGTTCAATAACAATATGATGTATTCACATACACAGTTTCACATGCGACCGTCTTTGTAAATTGTTAAGACCGACACAAAATCGTTCCGGTTTCTAGTTTCTAGGGCCTGAGTTTACATTGATGATGGTTTCATCTGGTTCCAGTTTGACTTCGTTTCAGTTAGTGGCTGATTTAGAGTGCCTCAAAATAAATTACTACTGCATATTTTGACCTTACTGGCAAATTCATTGGCAAAATTATATTCTTTTGAAATTCAAAACCAATAGTTTTTTCTGAATGTAATTTGAATTTTAAATTGAGGAGCTATAATTTATTTTGAGGTACCTTGGATCCGCCAATGGTTCCGGTCACATGTAAACATCGCCTAAATAAGTAGAACATGAACATGCCATCTTTTGACACGTCTCACATTTTTGTTTTAGTGCCTAATTACCCTACACGCTACAACTACGGAGTCAGTCGCAGTTGTCATCAAAGTAGAAAAGCATTTGTCTTTTCGCTAATAAATGACGCTGATCTTCCAGCATTTCAAAGCTTCCCGTACCGGAATTTTGGAAGAGCGGTCTGTGCTGATTCAAGGAAAGGACCTGTGTTTGGTAACGATATCAGTATTGGGGATTTTGCACATGGTAAAACAATTTCAAGTAGTAATCTTGGCGATACTTACAGACCTCCAGGATATACTAGTTGGTATCATTACAGAGCAAGCACGTTGTTGGCTGGAAATTCGAGCTTTAGTCCTGACGAAATTGAAGTATATTACGAAAAAATATCACCTTTTTAACTTTTTAGTCAATTTGGTATTGAATAATAACAAAAAAACGTCATTTTTAATCTTTGCAGTGTTGGTTGTAGTTTAGTGATTGATTTTCGTCCCAGTATATCTGAGAGACAACAGCGTGCTAGACACAATTTTTTATCGTCTTAAAAAAGATATCATAAAACTCTACTGTAACTTTCCTTTTAATAATAATGTTTGGATTTTGTGACTGTTAAATTGAGTCAGTCAATGGCTTGATTAACATTAAGCAATTACTTTCATTTCCATTTTTGAATGTGGATAAGTTTCAGTTGTAGGTAAAGTTATGTTGTAAATCAGTCCTGTCGAAGACCACAGTCTACTCGTCGAAAGTTCGTCGTAATAAAATAATTTTTGGCTGGGGAGCGACTGATTTAAACAAGACTGAATGTCAAAGAAGTATTACTCCCTTCACTTGAACAGGTTGACAACATGAAAAACGACAAGAAGGGACACATAAACGTTTGCAGCTTGGATTACACTCAGTTCCGTCTTCAAAGGTTTTCTCTATACTTTCACGACTCGTTTGTGTTGAATTTTGAGAATCTGTTCCAAGATTCGATTTTCTTTGTAGGGCTGGATGTGAATCCAAGTGTCTTATCAGATGTGCTTGCTTGTGTTCCTCGATGTTACGTTTTATGCAGCATGACCATTCACATGACGGAAGGCAACGATGTCGACATACTTCTGCGCAGATGTGAACACCTATATACAGGTGGCACACTTTTCTACCATGATTGAAATTTAAAAGATGTCATGTTTTAATGTTGTCTTTTTGCTATAATGTTGACAGAATTCGCGAAATAGTTTTTTACGCAAGCGTTTGTTGTTCACTTTCAACTCGTGAACGCAGAAACAAAAAAATTTCGTTGTTTTCCGACGAAAAGTTGTTTTGAAAATATACCGTTGTGAATGGCAACAATAATAAATTAATATAATTGGTATCGCATATACCATAGTGAATGGCAAAAATAATAAATTAATGGCGTTTAAAGAACTGTTTAAAATCAGAACACTAACGCAATAATTTTAAAGAACTGCCTTAAAGCTAAACGACATGATGCATTAAACGTGTCGTTTAGCTTTAGAGCAGGCCTTTTAGAACTTTGGTTAGCGTTCTTTAAACAGTTCTTTTAAGAACTATTTAGGTTATTATTTTTGCCATTCACCATGGTATTTGCTATCTTCAAACAATATTTAGATTTGTCACCACGACAAAGGCTCTATGTTTTGTGCTATAGTAATTATTTCTGGATACTGAATGGCCATGAAAATGAGATCAAAGTGATTGCATTGAGCCAGAAAAGTAGAAATCATTTCATGTTAAAATTTTTCGATGAATTTCGCAAACTGTTTGTGACAATTTATAGCTAAGCACTGTAAAAACTGATTGATTAAAATAATCATAAAAATTGGCTACCTCAGATGCATTTAACCACTTTAACCAATATTTTTATGGCTACTTTAACCTATCATATGGTTATTTTAACCAATCAGTTTTTACAGTGAGGGTACGTGCTATTCTTTATTTTTTTGGGACTGTATCTAAACGTTTTAAACTGTAAGATTTAAGAATAGTTCTTATTTAGAAGTTCGACAGCTTGCCAAAATTGTTTTCTGCTTTCAAGAAAATCAACTTTAACAGCTACGTGCAATAAATATAATCAACTTTAACCAAGGTTTCCTTTTTCAGTTTAATATAGTAAACAACTCATCATCTGCTCATTTCCTAGAGAAAACCCTCATTCATTATTATACGCGGCAACTCTGTTTGTCTCGTTTTTTTGACTTCAAGCCTACTTACCTTGTAATTTAATATCTTGTAAATAGCTCTATGGTTTTAATCATAAGTGAGACGTGACATAAATTCAACTATTTTATAAATATATATTTTGTTTTTTAATAATAGGTTTTAGGAATTCTTTATTGCTCAATAATAGTTATTCAAAGATTTTACTCACTTCATTCTGTTAGGTTAAGATTGGTGAGTTTAGGACTAGAGCTTGTGGAGATAATAATTAATACAATCGCTTACTTGACTTTTTGAGTTTTTCAATAGTTTTGGCTCTCTTTGTCATTTGTTGCACAATAGAGTTCAAATACGATCGAGCGTAGTTTTTAAACTCCTCTAAAAAATGCAAAATAATTAACAAATTTTTAAAATCACAAACAAAACTCGCATTTTGATTCTATTCTAACCATTATTTTAACTATTAATGGGCCTATTCTAATATTCGAGCTATCCAATATCTTTTAAGTGGCATTGAAACCAAATGAAATTATTTAAGCGGAAAGCAACTGAGAAAAAAATTTGCCGCTTAAAGGGTTTACAATCAAATAGTTAACAATCTAAATTAAAATGTGGTGTGAAGCAACAGAATATAAGAAATATATACAAAAGGTCCACTTCGTTTTGTATTTTGTGCCACGCATATCTTACGCATGTGATTACCATAATGTTGTCAGTCAATTGCCATTTTTCATTTAATAGGTTTGATCAACTTATCTCCGAAGACATCGATGTTCTATTGACTCGTGGGCTCATGATGGTAAGATATATGTAATGGCTTGACACGAACAAAAATCGACCTTAACAAGTGGTCAAAACAACGTCATTTTTTAAACATTAACGTAAATGCTCGTTTTATCTAAATTTTGCGGTCCTGACTGCAACGCTTCATCGAGAGGCATGCACGGAAGCGGGGCTTGTTAATAGTGTCTGCGTATGTGTATGTAACAGGAACAAAAGGTAAATTATCGCCTTTATTTCAAGCTCAATTAATGAAATATGGCTTCGTCATCATGGTCATTTTGCTCACGAACTTCAAATGAAGACCAGAATCATCTTTGAACCAAAGTCTATTTAGTTAATTGCGTTATATGCATTAATATGTATTAAAGTCAGTCAAGTTAACGCTGTCCTGCCGATTTTTCTTAATTCCAATTTCAAACACTTTATTTCTTCCGATTAAGCACTACAGCAAATTTCCAAGGTGCTATGCTTTATCGGGAACGGCAAACTCACACGGGAGCAATTCACGAGCATTTACAGTATTATTTAAATACCTTTAATTTCACTTGGATATATTTCTAGATATCCCGTTTGTCTTTTATCATGTCTTTTACTTTGGTTTTTTTTATGCCTCCTGGCAGAATCAACAAGGTCAGTTGTCATAATAATAACCAATACAGCACATAGATAAAGTCTGAAAGAAGTCAAATGAATATGGTAAAGTAATTTCGATCGTGTGAACTCAGAATTCTTCCTCGAAATGGAGTGTTTTCTGCGAACAGTAGCATTTACGATAAGAATTTTATAATCATTTTATAATTTACAACTGTTTGGTAAACGATAAGGATTTGCAAAAAATATTTTACGGGACGTTAATAATTCAGACGTGCATATTTTGTTCATGGAAACCTGCTGGTGTGATCAATAAAATTGTAATGTATTTAGCGTTCTTTCATTTATTTAGTAGCGAGTGCACATTCATTTTCTCTCTTAGACTGGAAGACTGATTTTTTCACGTTTATATATGTTTTAAGTTTGACGTTTCCATGCAACGTAGATAATGTCTTAACATAAACAAATTTTTATTGAATTTTTCGAAAATTAAGATGACACAGTAATGCTAAACTTTTCTTTTTTGTGATTCATTTTGTTAAACAAAGTAATAAAGAAGCTCCACATCACCTTATTGCATTAGTTTTGATTTCCATGTCTTTCACAAAGGTCAAATGATTTTCTTTTCAAATTTATTTTGACCGGTTGCCAATAAATAATTAACGATATATAAGCACAAGATAACAAAGCAAGAACAGGCTTATAGATATATTTGTTGCTGATGAAACAAACTAGCATACTAAAATTACATGACAAACTTGTATATGATGCGTAATGAACTCAATTAAAGAAAATTCGATTTAAACTCAAAGTTGGGGCTCAGCTTTTTCGTAACGAGAGTAAAATGTTGTTAAACTGGGTCTGATATTATAAGTCATTTGGAGGCCAGTATTCAACATTCAATTTAAAAAAGTATTGGACGGGAAAATGTTACATTGTTCAACATATTGGTCTTAACTAAAAATAATAGTCTTTGTAAATCACAATTTTTTGCACTTGTCAATCAAGTTAGTTTTTTTCAATAGCAACCAGCAAATACCTGTGAAGATTCTGTCAAAAGATTAACTTGTGTCGTTAAATTAATATTAGTGAAAAGAACAGTAATTTAACGTGCTTCAAGGATAATTGTAAAAATGTATGTAAGTTTGAATTAAAATCAATTAAACGTTTTCTGTTATCTTTTATTGAAAATTTTGGAAATACAAAAATCAAAATTAATAAAGCAAGTAAGAGTGTGCTAATGTGTTGATTGTGAACTTCCGCTAAATTATGCACTACTATTTGTTTAAGTTTTTCTTCAACTGTTTTTTTTTATGTAAACATATCGAAAACTTGTTAACAAATAACAAACATTTACCCACTCATTATATAGCTACTATATAGCTGCCTTACTACTATCGCACCATACATTTATAAATAGCTTCTGTCATAGCAAAGGATCAGACAAAGTAGCTACTAGAATAAATACCAAATCCTTTCTATTATAATTGTTACTAATAATGAATAATTCGTCCAATCAGAAACTACTTCATCATTCAAAGCTTTTCCAAATTTATTTAATGCTTACAAAAGTGCTTGATTTATAAATATAAATTCCTTCGTACTAATAAAAATATACATTTTATAATGAGTTGAAGTCTTATTTTTCAAAAGATTAATACTTTACTGAAAAGCTGACTGGAATTGATGATGACACTTTTGTTTCTGATAGAAATATTCATTTTCGTATTAACTGAGTTTTTTCTGTTATCTTTTTTCCAGCATAATGAGCAAAGTTCCTGCGTTTGTTTTATTTTTGAGTGTTGTGTATTTGACACTACCGGATAATAGAGGTATTGTAGACGGCACTGCACACAGACATGATGCAGAATCTGGTGAAGAAAATAATGCAACTGACGGTCAAAAAGATGATGTGAAATTCACACCCTTGAGAAAAAAACATGGCCGCAAGAAACTGAACAAAAATTTAGCATTTAGTTTAAAGGAATTCATTGAAGCCATGGCTGAGAAAAAGGTACCACGAAAAAAAATAAAAGGAAAGCACAAAAACAGAAGGAAACATTACACCAGTGCCATGCACATGAAAAGTATTAAAGGTAAAGTTAATAAACGTTCCCAACGTTCTCTATTAATCATAATTCAAAGCACATATAATATCAATAAAAATATTAATAAACATCACTCTGTAATTGCATTGCATTCATTTCAATGAAAATGCGATGAATGAGGATGTATAGGCTACTCAAATGTTAATTTAATACCAGTTTCTTTTACGTTGGAGGATTTTGAGCTGTACATTCGACGAACTAATTATATTTAAGTCGTACATTTCGAAAAATGAAAACTTCTTGGTGGTTCTATGTAACAAATCAGGGCCGGATTAATTTAATGGTTTAGACTGAGCAGCTTCACAAGGGCTTCCGCAAACTAGTGCCTCCACATTATTCAAGGTGAAATCTCAAATTGTTGTTGTATAGAGCAAAGAAAACGAAGAAAAACATTTTGTTTATACTCTTTACATTTTACATTTATAAAGAACAGAGTACGTATGACAATAAACTTTAATAAACTCATTCATCTTGCTTTATGTAAGCATTGAATATGATGTCTATAAATCAACTTTGACGAAGATCTTCTGTAAGCAAATTCTTCAAAGCATTTTACCCTAAATAACATTTAGTCATCAAATGCAAGAATATTTTACACGCCCAGCAATCTAAGTTTATACTTTTGTCAGATGTTTTACAAAAATTATATTGAACTCTCCAAAGGGGGACAGGAGCCTTCGCAGATTTGGGCTTTCCAGGGACTCCACACATGACAAGTGTCTTCGCAGAACAGTGCTTTGCATAGATACAAAGAAAAATAATGTTCCTTGTTTCAAACTTGCAGAAAAAATGAGAGCTTTGGCAAAAATCGCCATTGCAGAATTGAAAGCAAAAAAGAAGCAAGCGCGAAAGATAAAAGGTAAAACGGCTTATATCTTTCATTAAAAAATCTTTGTAATATCTACTTTTGTTTTATAAATCTGCAGAGAAGGTAGAAATGACGAGAAAAAAGTCGCGTGGTCACAGAAAAGAGACGACATTGCCAATTGCTCGATCAAAAATCCCAGATGCAAAAGGTATTGTCAAAACCTGTATTAAGAAATCAAACTTTATTATTTGCAACTGCCTTGATAAAATTGCTCTTAATTGTTTTGGATTTCGTATAAAGGACTGTAAAAATGCTTGTAAAAAAATGAAGAATGTATCAAAGATTGATTTGCTTTGATAAAATAACGTTCTGTGTGTGTCACGTTTGTTGCTAGTAACTTTGGTCTTTGGAATTGATTTGTATTTCAAGTTGCAAAAGTTGTTGATAGGAAACTTGAGAACACAAAACACGTTTTTAATGAGCATGATATATAGTTTTTACATTTGTCACCTCGAAAAAGTCTCTGTTTCATTACTTGTAAAAAAGTATTTGTAAAATGCGTGTAATGTCCTGAGAAACGATAGCGTAATTTTGTTTCTGATTTTCATTCATTCATCATTTGAACTGGATTTATTTTGATCAATTCAAATTTTTTAGCACTTTGTCAAGACATTTGCCAGCATCGCTGTTTGCAATCGTGTCATATTGCGTGCTGTGTACCAGACCTCACGCCAACTATGCGAGATGTTGTTGCCCTGAGAACAAAATATATGAACATTCCACGCTAGAAAAGATGTCCAAGGCATTGCGAGAAGAGTTGTGACTCTTCCTGTGACGTTTCCTGCTGTTTACATCGTCAACATTAGAATGCAAAGAAAAAGACATAAAACTTGTAGTTTGAATATCGTATTCTGGTTTTAGGACCAACGTCATCGTGTTGTAAAAGCTCACACCCATTCTCCTTTTACACCCACATTTGCTGATTGGGACATAATAATCTTGCTCCCGCTAATCAATGGCAAACTCATATTTCCAGCGAGGACAAGACTTTTCAGCGCTGACATGTTGCAAATCAAGCAATTAAAGTAGTGTGGAAATACTGTCCTTTAATTATTTCGAAGCAATTTTGAAGCCCCCACTCAGTGGGTGTGAGTGCATGGGAATGAAAAAATTTTTTGAGCTATACGATAAAGTGATACAAACCTTACCAAGAAAATATGTTTATCATTAAACTGAACTGGCAGCAAAGCCATCCCGATATTTAGTTGTAAAGATTTAAATTAAATGTTGTTAAAAAAATAAGAATACGAATGGTGAAGTTTTCATTTGAAAACGGCTTGGAACGGCTTAGCAAAGGAATTTAACGTTGAAACATGCTTTGTTTGAAGTGAGTTAACAAGCAGTGGCGAAATATCCCGATCTTTTGCCCATTTTTCAGGAAATTGATTATTCATTTCATTAAAAAATTAATTCCATTCATTGTTTTCAGTGATTGAAAACAAACATATTTGCATTTAGATAGAGTAAAAGACCGGGTGGTTACTTCATGGCAATCTTGAATTGAATTAACATGTTGTTATAATAACTAATTTAACCTCGAACACGACAAACAAACAAAACTCGTCGGGTTGAGATTTATTTGTACCGTGATCAAGGATACTGATGTTTGAAGAAACGCTACCGAGCAAAAGTCGCACTTTTGTCAACCGGTTTAACGTTTCTCAGCAGCCAATAGTAAAATGTATTTTAAATAAAAATGAATGCCTTAGCCAGCTCAGTTATGTTGTTGTGTTCTGTGGAATTTTCTTAGTTCCATAGATTTCCAAAAAAGTAAATTTTGCATATTAATGACAGAAAATAAAATAATTCAGCTTTTACTAAGTTGTTAGCACAGTTATTTTGTTCAATGTATGTTTACAGAGTAAAAAGTCTAGATGCTGCTGGTAGGATTAAAACATGTTTGCTCGATTGTTAAGCAAAAAGCATATACTATGTTTGTTATTTTTGTCTTTCATACTTGAAATCAAACTTCTCGGATGGTTATAATTTCATGAACACAAAATATAAGTGTCTATAAGAGTATGAAACGTAAAAAAGTCTTCCCATAGCTTTCCATTTTACGAATTGCCTGATTGAGAAAGAATTCATTTGTTTATGAACTGACTCGGTTAACCGATGACCTAATTTACAACCGGTAAATAGAAAGCAGGAAATTGTATTGAATATTGAACGAATTTGTAAAATAAGGTATGAAGTGATTTCAATAATCGACTACAGTAAGGATCGTTTGTTTTGGGCAAAAAATTAACTCTTAAAAATTGATTCATATAAAGGGAAGTTTTAAAAGGATAGTTTTTCGTGTATAGTATTCATTAATAATTAATAGGCTTCGAAGTTACATCAAAGAATATTATGATACTAATTCATGAATGTTTTAATTGAACTTTACAAGTTAGTATATAGACAAGGTTATGTTGTATAAAAAGATCAAACTTTTGTGATCGCTAACATCTGTGTAGTATCAAGAGTTTGTAAATTACAGGGGAAACGCTACTTATGCAAATCACATACTAACGACAAAGTGAAAAGTTTTAGCGCAATAGGTAGTTTGTGACCATTTTCCTAAGAGTCAATTACAAAGAAATTTTTGCCATGGTGGTTGAAATTTGAATGGTAAACAGTTTGTCTATTCAACCAGCATGGCGCCTGTGACGTACCATACAATCTCCCCTACATTAGAGTGTGCAAGGGGTAAAAAAAAGAACTTTAGAATTTATTCTATTGTTTAACTGTTCTACTTGTTGTTATAGAAGTTATTCAAAATACTACGAGCAGGAAATATTTTTTGTTAGTAATAGTAACAAAGATCTGTAATATATGAACGTAGGTTATAGCTGACAAAACTTCAGGCACCCGTTGGCTTAGCATTTAAAGATGGCACTCTGTACTGGAATATTACAAGTTTAAGAATTAGCAATAACATAATTTTTATAAAGGTCTTCTTTACTTTGATACACCATGTATTACATCACATGCAAAGAATATTTTTGGACAATGATTTCTGTGTGTCGTCCAATAAGCTATTCTGATATGAAAGAACTTTTTGTTCAATAGCACTTGCAGGAATAGGAAGCGTGGTTAAACTCGTTTTTATGGAGTACCGTGCTGAATACATAACATATTTTATGCTTCAACTGCTTTTGCTTCTTGCAAAATCCTCCTATGGAAAGGTAGAACTGGGTAAGTGGGAAAAAGCATTTATATATTGGATTTTTCGCATCATTTATGAAATATAGAACTTTTCAAAGTTCCTTAATAGCTAAACGAAACTTGTCAATCATTCATTGTAAGAGCTTTGAGCACATATGAAAAGCTCTAGATTCAGAAAGAATCCTAAAATGTCTGCACTAAGCTGACAGATCTTTTCAGAAAAATCACAACTCTGAGTAAGGAACAATGAAAGCATTAGTGATTGCATTTTCTTATTCATAACGCAATGACCTTATCAACCCTCAGGGGTGAAACTAGAACATTAAGTGGGGAGGGGTTATTATCCGTATAATCTGCTCTGCTTTACTGATTTGCTTTGTTAGCGATCATAATTTCAATAGAAATCTGCAGGGCAGAGCAGAATATATGAATATTCACACCTTCTCCCCCTTAATTTCTTGTTTCGCCCGTGTCAACCCTAATCATCGCTTGCATTTTTTCATTAAACTCCTGTGATGTTTTCGAACACGTAAAGATAAATTAAAAACCAGCTGTCTTGGTTATGTTGAGTTTAAAACTATTTTTCAAGATGTATTTGTTGTTGTTCTTCTGGATTTTCAAAAATCCCACTAGCTCTACCAGCCTTGTAAAAGTCGTAATATGTTCCATTTAAACACAGTTTAACATGATGACTTACATGATGGCGCGTCAGACTAATTACACGATCTATATGCAGGGATACGGATTCAAACAGCTACAATTAAATAAATCCTGTGTCTGGCGGAGAAAATTAAACACAATTTCATTTCATTTACTTTAGAATCAAACTCATGGTCATGTCACTCGGGGTGCAAAAAGTTCTGTCTTCCATCCTGTAAAAAGAGCTGCTGTTCCGCCAGATCTCAAACCTATCAAGAAGGAATGTTTAAAGATCTTTTGAAGTACCAGGACTCATTGTCTCCATCATTAATACCACCAGTGCAATCAGTTCTATTTATGTCACCAGCTCCACCAGCACACCCGGCACCATCGATGCCACTAGCAACACCAGCACCACCAGCGCCATCACAAGCGTCACTAGGCCAGCTATTCAATTCAGCATTCCAGCAAACAACAGAAGGCTCTCCAACAGCTGTCCAATGTGGCCAATGGTGCCCGAAGTCGTGTGCTCCAACTTGTCAGTCGCGTAAGTTATACGTCAACTTACAAACCAAGATAAATGTTTTCAATCATATTCATCTTTTGTTTCTGAGACCGTGTTTTTTAGGACCCCGTTCGCAGAACAAAATATTTTTTTAAATTGTTTTAACTAAAAATGTAATTTATAAGAGCTAGATAAGAATATATATATATGTTGATACAAAATTTATATACAATGTGCCCTCCCGGCTATCACCATAGTGCAACGGTGACTCTATTCATGGTGACTCTAGTTCAATGGTGACTCATAGTGGAATAAAATTAAATGTAGATATGATCTTCGCAGTTTGTTGGACAATTTAAGCAATTGTCTCATAAAGCTGAAAAATTCAGGTGACTTAATTCATTTAATTTCAAAAACCGCAATGCATAAAAACATTCTTTCGTATGACATTCCTTCCACGAGAAAACATGAACCCAACAAAATTGACCTGTTCACCACTGTGTGACTTCATAGCTCAGTTGGTCAGAGCACTGCACCGGCATCGTAGTGGTCATGGGTTCGAATCCCGTTGAGTCACCTGAATTTTTCAGGTTTATGAGACAATTGCTTAAATTGTCCAAGTGCGAAGATCATATCTACATTTAAGTAAGTTATCTTGTGGAATATTGAAATCAAAGAGCACTTTTTAAAAATATGTCTTTAGAATGTTGCTCCGGTGCCTACATGGACGGCTTTGGTACGCAGGCCAACCTATACCAACAGCCATATGGCAATACACAGCAAGAATACATGCAACAATGGTATCCTTATAACACTTATCCTGAATCGGGTTACTCTCAAAACATGCAAACTGGTCCCAATTATCAATCTGGACTGTCAAATCAACCATCGTATCCTCAATATGGAGAGAACTACGCACAAGACTTGACAGGGAACACGGCATATCAAGATAGTAATGATATATATGATGTTCGCATACCTTCAGCATTTGAGCGCCTCAGGGCCTTAAGAAAAACAAGAAAACCCAACAGAGTGGTGAACAACGTCAAATCGTCGAAACCAAAGGTAAAGTAAGTAGTACAATAATGATTCTTGGTGCTGTGATCGACTTCATTAAAACATTTGAAAGAATCTGGATGATGTCAATTTATGTATTAAGGTGTACTATACCTATGAAGCAACTCGAAATTATGTACAGCTATAAGCTGACAAAACTTTGCTTAAAGTACTCAGATTTTATCAAAATTTAATTACTTTTTACTAATACATCTCACCAGTTTGGTTGATCAGCGATCGTCCAGACTTTTACAAGCCTTATCAAGAGCAGTTTGCAAAATTGCCTAGCATGCAATATCATCAAACCTAGCATTCACTTAGTTGTACGCTTTGACATTTTTATTGCGTAAAATCGTGTAGATTTTCACATTTCCAGGAAAGCAGATTTTATTTCATGCTGTCCACGTCAATCACGTTACACATTACACGTCAAAATGTGTTGTTCTTAAGGCCCCTTCACACGATCCGAGTTGACAGATCCGATTGTTTCGGTTCCGACTTTTCGTTGTTTGTTCTGATGGTCCGATAATTTTGTTGATAGTTATATTCGTTTGGATATTTAAAGTCGTGTGAGCAGCCATTTGTGCTATCCAGTACATTTATCGATATATTTTTCACATTTTTGTTCTTGTTTCCAAGTCTTTTTCAAGTTTCTACGTAATTTGACCTCAATCAATGTAGATTGACTGCAATTTGATCTATTTCCATCCGACTGTTTTGATTGACGCATCCGACAATCGGATAATCACATAATCCTTTTTTTAGGATCAGAAAAAATCATATCCGACAAATCGTATCGTGTGAACGGGCCTTTACAGAACAAGCAAAAAAGAAATCGTGCAAACAGACTAAATTTGCTTGCTAAACTACGCTATTGTATAAATATTTTTTATGGCAACTTTCTTTTGCTCAGCGAAAAAAGTCCAAGGGCGTAGCCTGTGCATGGGTTTTTGCTGAATCACAAGAGGTTTAAGGGTACATTTAATCACTAATATCGCTGGAAGCATGCATTTAGTTTGTTGTTACATGGTTGCGGAGGGTAAAGTAAACTCATTTAACTCTTTTGTTTTTGTTTTATTCATTTAACTTATTTTTATCAAATTAGTTCAGTGGTTTGAATATCTACAATTATGGATGACGTTCAATGCGTGTATTGTTGCAGGTTAGCGAGGAAATGATGAAATCAATGAAGCTATTAAATTGTAAATTCTGTAATTAAATTAGTTCAGTGAATTTGTGGTTGAGTTTGCTTTGCAAAATGCATATATGGAATTTAGTTATTCTGGAAGTTATTGATGGTTAATGACCGATTTTTTAAAGTTTATACATGACAACAAAGGAAGTTGCCAATGTGAAGGAAAAACGAGTTTCTGTTACTACTCAAAAACATAAATTGTGGAGCAGAAATTAGCTAATTAAGGCTGAGAGTACGAGCTCTATGATTTTGAAAACAAGGCGAAAGACTGACCTCTGTTTCAAGAATTGATGTTGTAAAAATCGAAAATGGCTTGGCAAACTAGCCCTCGAAGTAATGTTGATGCAATCGACTTGCAGAAAACTACCTACCATGAACCTTGTTCATTCAACAGAATTGGAAATTATTCGGGTATGGAAGAGTCGAAAAGCAAGCTGACCCATTTTCTAGAGGCAACGAGAATAAAATGTGGAAACAAGGCGTTCTATTTTTAATATTGATGAAAAATATTTAGTCCAAACGTCCCTTATGAATAAATTGATAAGGAAACTTAAAACTAAACGTCAGAAAATGTCCCCGTATTAACAAAAGAAACCGAGGCAACCATGTTATTATTAATTGAAAATTGGATGGAGATTGATGTGGAAAGCTTAAAAAATACCATTTTAATGATGTTGAGTTTCATATAACCTGATTTTTAATTGCGACAAGCATGCAAAATAAAAAGTCCTTTTAAAGGATATTTGCTCGTGAAGTCGAGAAATATTTTGTTTATATTTTTGAGGCCATGACAGACTTGTGGTGCATTTCATTTGATTCTCTGTTTTACAGCATTTTAGAAACATCAAATTTTTTGATGTAATTTTTTTCAATTCTTTTGATCGTAATCTGATAAGCGTTATTTTTTAGACACAAATCAAGCGATATCGCCATCGATTCTATGATAAGAATGGTGATCCCCATGACGAAATAGTTTATGATGGTGCTAGATGTGACCCAAGCTGTCGCAGGCTTTGTGAGCCCTCCTGTCGCTTTGAATGTTGTGTAGATCCTCTTTCCACATCAAAAACAACAAAGTGAGTATTTTCAATTATCTGCCCCAAATATTCCTATATATCAGCTGTAAGAGTTCCATTAAGAAAAGAATAAGATGCTTTGAGATATTTCTCTGCATTGCAGTGTATTAAAAAACTCACTTGTTCACGTCCATCCATTATCTGTATTAAATGCTCTATATCATGAAATGCGCACATACTCTTCGATACATTTGTTACATTAAACAAATTGCATATTGACGGAGTCTGTTTTTCAAACATTTTTGCATCCAGTAATTAAATATATCTTTTGGAAAAGTTTTGTCAAGCAAGCAAATTACACTTCTTAGGTTAATTTTTAAAGAAAGATGTCGTTCAAAATATGCAATGTCTTAGAATATTTTTGTTTGAACTTGCATAAACGTGTGTATAAAAATTTCACTTACTGATTTTTTCTCGACAATTCAGGAATGATATTCAAAAGAAGCCGATCCCTGCCGTGGAAACCCCTTTGGCGAATCAAGAAAAGCTGACACATCCAAATGCAAACTTAGCTCTGAATAAAAATTCCATTATTACTCCACGGCAGCCCCCAGCGGATATTGGGGCTACACAATTGGAGACGTTTTCAAAACAAGGAAGTTATAAAGATGATTTAGATGTCGCTATGAATCCATATGATCAGTTATCTTCGTATACTCAGTCATCTTCCTATGATCAGTCTTTTCCGTACGCTCAACATTCGCCATACGTCCAAAATCTGCCTTCTTCTAACGTTCCTTATGCGGCACCTTCTTATTTTGGAGGTAAATCATCCCGTGATTATTTTTTAAAGAACTGCAAACAATTAATTAGCTTTGTTTGCTTTTGTAAGTGCGTTTCATCACGACAAAATACTGATCTCTTTCTTGTCAAAATTGAAAAATTTTGAAAATGTCACAAAAATTGTCGTATGCTCATGACAGACTGTCAGCAACGAAATTGGAAAACGTAAGCAGTTTAAGTTTTAAAACTGAAGACGTTAGCAACAAGCCCAATGTAAAACAATGCATAGAGTTCTGTATGCAATTGTTTAGATGAAAAGCTAAAGTTGGCTGACATTTGGCGATATATTTCCTTCTAATTCTAGCCAAATATACCTCTCCATTGTTACAAATATATCCTTACCATATTTACTCAGGTCAACAGCCTCGCTATCCCAGTTATTCTTCTGGTTACAATAATCAACCAAGCGGTTTCACTGCGCAAGATTCTGGGTATAATGGAAAGCAATACGCTTACACCAGAGAGCAAATGGAACATCCTCAGCAGCAGTCTAGGTATAGACAGCAAGCAGTTAACAATGGACAACAATTTGATCAGACTGGTATGTATATGTATGACAAGCCATGCACTTTACTTGTCGATTGCTATATATGATTCACTCGCTTGTCTCTTTTATACTTAGGTCTGTCACAGAAAAAACAACAATGTTCAAGTACATGTCCACAAGCATGCGCTCCATCATGTTCAAAGGAGTGCTGTGATCGTACATCACAACCAACACAAACATGCAGGAAAGGATGTCCGAGCAGCTGTGCTCCAGAATGCAAGTCTAGATGCTGCTGGGATAGAAGACGAAACATAATCCCATCAAAAGTATGAATACGACAGATAGTTTTGCAATCCACTGAAAATTTGCATCTTATAAAATCCTCTTTCATTTATGGAGACACAACGATGTCAAATCGCCACAATTCAATTAATTTACATTCCAGGGAAATTAGTAATTATCTTAAATCAGCAATATATGCACGATTAAACGAGACCAAATCTTTGTGATTTTATTGTTGGAACAAGTAAAGTGTTTTGATTTAAGCTAAAACTAAATATGCGTATCTTTCAATTTATTATTTGCAGGAGTGAGAAACGTTTTTCGATATTTTTCCCACCAACGCAAATGAAATTATAATATAACATAGGTACCTAATTAACATAATTGCTAATGAATAACAAATATCCTATACAATGAAAATATTTTTTTGTTAATTAACTGAAAAAACAATAAATAAAATCATTTTTGCTGCCGTTAACTGGTAGTTGAATGAATAACTATCAATTTATGATGATTCCTAACTAGTATAAAATGAAGAAATTTGCAGCTTCAAGTGTCATCTTCAAAAGATTGGAACAAACCAGCTCAAATATTTTTTGGAAACAAACAGCAGTCCAAATGTTTTAGTTGCGGTAAATAAATCACGGTAGTTGATGTATGTTATCAACAAGAGCTCTGGTTGATATTCTTGTACTGTCTACTGTACTTTTTGTCGTATACTGAGTAACAGGATTTAATCAAGTAATGCGTAAAACCACTAACGTTTCTCTTCAATTACAGCATTTGCACAACTACCGTATATTTTACTTCAAAGTCATCAATTTTATAAATAATCGTATAGTTACAGTTATAGTATAGAAACATGCACATAAAAAGTAGTACTTGCTGTTTTCTTTTTATTCTTTGCATTCTTAGCAATTCTTGAATTTCAAACTATTGCAATTTTAGAAATTTTTGTCTATTTGTAACTGCCACCATGTTTTTTCATTTGAGAAGAAGTTTGTTTGGCTTTTCAGCCAATCAGGTTACAGTATTTACAGTGAAATTACACTTTTCTGCAGTAAAATTGCACATTTTTACAGTGCAATTAAAGATAAACTGCACTGCAATCGACGAATCACAGTCGAAAAATATCTCAAAATAAATTTTTGTAAAAATAATACGTAGTTTTTCCAATTAGAAGCCGTAAAAAAATACTTGATCCAAATGAACTATCAGACTTCAACTTTAAAGGAAAACGTTTTGGGGTTTTGACAAAATACCTTTCTCTCGCGACAAAGAGAGTATTTTAAGACTTCTGTCGCATGAGCTCTATCGCAATAAAAGCGATATAGCAAAATATCTGTTTTATCTGTTTTTGACGGTGCTGACTGCAACGAAAAAGAGATTGTTGGGCGGAGACGTTAGATAACAGAACAATTTGTCTAAATGATTTGCATAATCATACAATTCATTTTATTTCTTCGAGGCTATCCAAAACTGGAATACCGAACTTTGAGTTTCAAACACAATTTCCGGCATCATTAGGTACATGTACTTCGCCTGATAACAAAGCTTCTCTGTTACTTTGTTCGCGCATGCGTAAAATCCAAAGATAATCTTTCTATAGCAAATTTCAATTTAACCAGGCGACATTCCTCATCTCTTTGTTTTGTAGAATATGACAGCGTTAGGTTTCGAGTGGATTATAAGAGACTAAAGTAAATTTATACGTTTGGTTCAATCATGCTTTACAATTTGTTAAATCAGCAATGCTCTCGTAATTTACTTACAATTTGTCTACATCATTTCTATTGGAAGTTAAATCATCAGCTGAATGCTCATTGGTCGGACTTAAGTAAACATAACTATAAGGAATTTCTTGTGTGTAATGAGAATATTTTAAAGATAACGTAGTGAATTTCCTTGTGTATCGAAAGATGAATATCCTTTCAAATGATCAGAAAAATCTATTATCCAAGCAAAAATCGTAAGTATTTCCTATTTCTAAATGATTTTTAACATTGCTTTGGGTTGAGTATTAGTACACGATCCCAGTTTTACATGCATTTCTGATGTTTAACACCATTACTAATTCAACACTTTCACTTGGTATATTGTGTGGCAAAGCTACGAAATGTTGCAATCTCTCGCTATCGCTTACTCACACGAAAGGGGAAAACTTTTGCGAGAGTTTAATACGATACTAGTGTTGCTATTCAGCATTTTGAAATTTCAAATGTTCCATCACGAGGTTGCTTTCTTTAAGCTAACGCATGCCGGCGTCAACATCGTAGAGTAAAGGCAAATTTTAGCCAAGTGAATCGTGCAGCTTTCTATTCTTGATTCAAATCTTATGAAACAAATTGATTCAATTATATCTTTGTTTTTATAGCCGCTATTGAAATCAGCTGAAAGCAAATTTTGAGGATGGTTAGATCAAGTTCTCCAAATGACTTTTTGAAATGATTCATCATAACAAACGAAGTCTTGAAGGCGACCAAAGCACTTGCCCTTGTCGTTTCTAGCAGGAATTTCTGAGGCAGTCATCATACAGCATTAATTAAAGGTTAGAATTGGTTTTACCATTACATACCGTTATTATGGAAGATCCGAAGTTGTTGAGAAAATATAGAAAATATAAAAACGTAATGCTCTATTGTGCTTTTGCTTTGATGAGACAATAAACGCTAAACGGAACTATTGACTGACTTGGGAAAATAGTTCTACGTACTTTTAAAGTTTTAAAAATATGATTAAAATTATTGTTTCATATCTGTTTGCCTGTGTAGCTACATTACCATTATAATAATCTTCATCTCATGTACCCAGCTTGTTGATGGGCGTAAAATAAACAATATAATAATTTTGTTTGTGTCATGCCTAACACATTACTACTTTGATATTGGCTTTCGATTTCTTTGATGCCTTTCAAGTTTATAGCAGACATTTTTATTTAAATGAAACAAAATACTTATAACACGAATTTATAGGAAGAGAGTTGGTTACTGTATTATATCATTAAGTATATATCATGTAAAAAAGCACTGCAGTATTTCCCACTGCACACCAATCCTCTGTTCCAATTAAAAATAAAATGCTGTGTGATTTTTATTGGATATCGTTATATAATGTGAAGGAACACAAAAAAAGGATTTGGAGCAAATAGGTAAATTCGCCAAAGATAGCTGTATGCAATTTTGGTAAAATAGTCAATGTTAGATGAGTGAAATAGTGAATCATTGTTTGTTATTATTTGCATATAAAAGTCTCTGAGATAGAGTTTTACTGTTTAAGCGAAAAGCTTCTCAAATAGTACGTGGAAACTTGTAATACATGTAAGTCGGGCAAAGTAGCAAGTAATTTTGAAAAATAAACAAAGCAAAGAACACATGTACATATATTTTATCACGCCCTTTAGAGAGAAAGAAAAGCTTCAGACTATAGGTTTTCATAAGAAATTAAGAAAAAGTATCGTGATAATAGTATTTTAAAACGTTGAAATAATTACATATTTCTCTTCTTGCAAACAATTGTAGTATGATGCAAACAATTGTACATGATGAAATATTGGGCACCATGTTCAAAACAATGCAGGGTATAAAACGGATACATAATTAATAACATCAAGCCCCATCATCAATAATCAGCTATAGTAGTTCATTTATACTTTCAAACGTATAAATTGTTCAGCAATTTTTGCGTAAAACATAAGCAGTAGAAATTTTATGTAAACAAGTATATTTTAAAGGAAAACAAAACTTGTGGTTGCCTAACGTAAATTAAGGTTCTTGTTAAGTTTGTTTGTAGTCAAGTAGATGCGTCAGTAAACTTAAATGATATGTACTAACACTAAACTGAAGTTATGCAAAAGCAAATATAATATCGTGCAATGAGAAAAATTATAGATTATTTACGAATAAAGTACTTTATATTCTTTGATGTATTGTGAAAGATTCATGCATGGTATGTGCACAATATTGCATCAATCTCATGCACACGATAGAAATGCCTTGAATCACTCATAAATAGAGAGAGTTTGACGAAAAAGATATAATTGACATCAAATTACCTTCTCTACCTATTTATATCTAAAGTGAGATAGACATGTAAAGTACAGGGACTGGCCATAACAATAGTAAAACTGACAGCTCGCTGCCCAGAACATTTTTTAATGTTCTCTCTTCCAAATTTCGAAATGAAAAAAAATACACAACATTTGAATATTTGTGAACATTTGAATATTTGGCATTCTCTTTGGACAAAAATGGAATGTATTGTCCTTTCTAAAATACAATTTTTCGAAGTTTTTGTATCTATTAGAAGGAATTCGCAGTTTTCCTTTTGCAATACCTTTATTCACTTGGTGTTCAATCAGTTAATTTGTTAATTTGGTTGATTGGAAAATGGCAAGATAAAACTTTTAATACACTTAAAGTTTTCTGGTTTTCTTAAACTTACGATAGTGTTCGCTACTTATTTCATGTCAGAAAAAGCATATGCTTCCAATTTCACTATCGCATTTGTAATGTTTAATGGAAAGTATTTGTCTGACAATCAGACAGTTAAGTTTTAACATTTCAATGTTTATTTCGATGCCCTAATCTTAGTAACCGGTTGGTTATGTCGTTAGATTGTTAGAAGAAAAAGATTTCTGCATGACATTCGACAAATTCTGCTAATATTAAGAACAAATTAGTAAAAAAACACATTAAAAGAAAAGCCTCATTCGGGTTAGCTACATATAAGCCGCAAAGATAGAATAGACTGAGCACAGTATCCCTTAACATTTGAAGCTGGATATAATATTCATTGTGAAAATTATCTATTTTTTCCGTTTCTAATTGCAAAAATACTTTTCTCTAAGAATGAGATCGAAACTTTCTGACTTACAAAGTTTTTAAGGGGAAAACCATACGAGCATCATTTTTTTTCATGTCTCATGTACGCTGAATACGTACTGTAAGATATTTAATCTTGATACATATGAATATGTGTTGGTAAAAGTCAAAAATAGCTTAGATGCCCCTCATTGTTGATGACAGTTCAGAAATTTTCTGCCTTCCGAAATAAAAAAATCGATGAAACTGTATTCGTTAGACATTTGTAACTCATTTATCCACATAGATTGCGATTATCAGTCAAGTAGCTGCATAGTAAATTAAGCCTGTACTTGTTGTCGATCGATTTGACTACAATTTGATCTTGTTTAAGGTCGAAAATCTTCAAAGCGAGTTGGTATATGTTATATATATTGACCAATGAAAATCCAGTAAAGTTTCTAAATCCAGGTAATAAGCTCCGCTCAATTTTCATATCTATCATATCACGGGCTCGTGTCATAAAAAATTTGTGTTCAGATCTCAAAATCATTACCTGCAAAGATTTCCTTGAATTGATATTCAATTTAATACGATAAAAAATTACGTCAGTAAATTGTTTGTCAAAGTTTCTTGAGCAGTCTCGAAAGGTTTGTGATAAGATTCGTTCACTTCGTATACAAAGCAAGTTTACAAAAGGATAGTAAGGCTTATCTTCATCGGATAACGAAGAAATTTTCTCTTCCTCTTTATTTACAAAAAAGACAAAGACCTGCATAAAAGACTTGACTGTTTGAAAGCACTTCCAAATAGATGGAAGTGCTTGAACTTTTTAAGATTTTCCTTGTTCAGTAATCAAACCAAACACAACAAAGGAAGAAAGTCCCTCCTCCCCCACCCCTTAGGATTCTAAATTGTAAGTGATATTCAGTAATTCTAAATTGTAAGTGTCATATTCAGTAATTATTCAGTAACATGACTTGTTATTGGCCGTCACCGGGCAAAGCAGCTTCAAAAATGCCAATATTTTCGTATCAAAAGAGGAAAATCGTGATTGCCTTTTTAGGGACTGGCTGAAATTTTAAAGTTTTAAAATTTCCAATAATTTATCTACAGGGAAATTTTCTTTTTGTGTGCATGGTGTTTATATTTGCGCACTGCGTTTGGTGTTAACAAATCCAAGACTTCGATGACAGACAGTCCACTTCGTTAACAAGTAATTACAAAGAAATTTCTCACTACTCTCTAGTTTCGGTAAGAAGGGGCATAGCATACGGGGGAGGTGTTGTGGTTGTTACACCTTCCAGCTTACGAAAAGTGGTCGGTGAAACGCAACATTTGTCGGTAATGATACGATTTTTATATTGCTTTTAAACTAATAAACCAATTTTCGATAGTAAATAATGTTGCCTCGTTTTCCCCAAGCAAGTTTTGTGTGTAACTACTAATTTATTAAGCATGCATAATACTTCATCAACTCAATATATTACTTCAACAAATACGTTCAAAGTACCACGTGTTCGTCGATAGAATTTGAGCTTTCCACACATGCATACCTCCCAGTTCAAAACGTTATGCTCAACGCCTCTGCTCATTGGTGATTTATTCTTTGTTCTTTGCAGCTGAGGAAAGTAAGCGATTTCTTAATTGTTACTACTGAACATGTATTATAAACAAAGTTTTTAGCCACGATGGTGGAAGAACTGACTAAAGACGTTGTATCGGGGACTTTCACCCTGCAATTGAACATCAGCAACGAGCAAATTAATCAACTTCTCGCTACTTTCTGTAATGCTCCAAAGATTTGTGCAGACCTTGTTACACCGAACGAAGTCCAAGAACGATCAGTTTACAAACAATTTTCGAACAGCCAAGAAATGAACGACTTCAGACAAAATCTACTTCGTGTTTTGAAAGATTCTTGGGTGGAGGAATATAATGAAAAAGAAGCGAAAAAATTGATCGAGTTATTCACCAATTTATTGCAAGAACTTAATAAAAATGGTGCTGTAATACTTGCATCGATTATCAACGAGAAAATCTTTCAAAAACTTATAGAAAATTATAATTGTATTCTCGGAGAATCGGGGAGCGAAAGTTGGATTCATAATTACGTTAATCTTAGAAATCATCCTGATTTTCTGACGAACAAAGAATTTAATGGCGCATTTCTTCACCCTTTGTTTCTTGCGCTTATTTCATATAATGTTGGTGGTCCTATTAGCATCGTGGATGCGAGAGGAAAGAATGCCGAGCCAATAAGTGTCCTTGCACAAGATAATATGCTTCATATTGACGACACACCATTTCGTGATGAATATAAAGTACTTTTGACGTGGGAAAAAAATCAGCCTAGCGGTCCTAAAGGACAAAATTTCGTTTTCCTTCCAGGTACACAAAAGGGCTGTCGCAATTGCTTTTCGGACGAAAAAAGAGGAATTTGGTCTTCCGAAAATGCTAGTATATTTGTCACAAAGACGGCAATTGCACGTCTTTTATCATTTCAGAGAAAAATTAGGCTTTCTGAGAAAGCATGCGTTGTCGAAGTGCGACATGATAAAAAACCTCTTACCACTGTCTTTTCCGCGGGATCGCTTGTTCACCAGCGTTTACGTTCTACACAAGGACTTCCAAGAAGCTGTGTTGTTATTGCATTTCACAGAACCCAAGATACGTCTGATCATGGACTTGCTTCAGATCACCTTGACAACATTGCAGGTTTTAGTTCGTTGGAAAGATTTGTGTTTGGATTACAAAAGGAACTGGGAGACAGTGATTTTTTATCAGCTATAAAAAAAAGTTCGGATGAGATCAGAAATCTCCTCTTTCGTTTAAATGATGAGAAAACTGAACAGGAAATCATCCCACTTACATCATGTATGATGTCAGAAGCGAAAATAAACGAATGGATAAGAAGCTCAACGGATGCTCCCACTGTAGAAAATCTTAAAGACAAAAGTGGTTTTCAATCACTTCAAAACACACTTTGCGATCACGAATTTTTGACGATAGTAAATAGAATGATGAGTCTGGACAAGCACGGTTCGCTGGACCTTATTTTATACAGTGACTGTCATGAAGAGGTTCGAAAATGGGCACGTATAAGAATTCGGGAGATGAAAATTGATGAAATTGGGAAAAGACTAGAAACGGTGTGGCGATGTGAATTCAAACAGCCGTCAGAAAAAAATATCCTTTCTATAAAAGTACTGGAAAGTTTAGCCGAACAGCTCTCGATAATGGCTTCAACTAGAAAAAATTGTAGTTCTCCCCTCAATATTCGACAAAAAGAAAAAATTTCCCGTGAACAAGCCTATAGTTCACTTGCCCAATTTTTGCTTGATTTGAAAGAATCTGTGGGACGATGTGAAACCCGTCAAACGTTTCTGTCGACGTCGTTGTTTCTTTTCTTGGCGTCAGATACTTTTATGCAATTCGAAAATAATTGCGATAGTGAAATCCGAGAAATTGGTAAACAGTTGCTGAACCACTACATTTCCACAGCATTTATCATTATGAATCAAATTCAACAGATGAACACGTGATAATGTATTTAATGAGCCCTAAGTTAAATTCTACATTGACTTTAAGTCGTTTGTAGCAAGTATGTTATTACTTTTCGTATAAAATTGATTAAATGAATGATTATAGCATTTTAATTTTAAGATGGATGGTTTTCATGCAAATGAATCTGCAACTTTACTATTATTATTACTATTACTATTAAAAATTTACTATCATTTATTATATGGCAAGCGTCACTTCCGGCAAATTGTCGCGGTTTGATTAACTCAGAAACTTTTTTGCCGGTCCACTACTTTCTACAAAAAAACTTCGATCCAATATTTCTCCGTAAAGACCGAGAAAGCGAAATTGATAAGGGCATAGTATCATGGTACTATTAGTTACATACGTTAAGTGAGTGGTTTGAACCCGAGCGTATCGTTTGTTTGTAGATGTCGATTGCCTAGGTTAGTAGAGTCCTGTGGGTGTTGGTGTTGACTTTTTATTTGAAGTTGAAGACTATGAATTTCAAACATATTGCTCCTTTCGAAAAAAGCATAATCATCCTTATCATACACCAGTGGATTCTAAAATAATATTCTTACAAATATTGAAAAAAATAGCTGTAGGTCGAAAGTATACCTTGATCGAAAATAATCGTAAAGCGCTCGTAGTTTATGACTGAAGATAATGCAAAACTCAATCCAGACAACGCATGGAAACCTTATTTTGAAGCATTTTTTAAAAGAGCCTTTTTCCTGATATCACGGTGCTTTTACTTACTAAAGTCATAGATAGACTAAATTGATATTTAATTAAGAGGAATGAGACGTATAAAAAAAATTTATTAGAAATATTGTAGTATTCTTACATTAAAATTTTATAATGTGTTTGGTTGATTTTGGTTGATATCATATTATAATAGAATGATGTTGAAGCTGTTCTGCTAAATATATGGGGAGAATATGTATTAAACTTGGCAAGTGGGAAAAATGCTCAATTTATTACATATTCTAAGAAATACATTTAGACAAAACAGTCAACAAAATTAGTTGTTGATGTATCTTGTGAGTGTGAGCGTGCTTTTAGAAGACAGGTGTTAGTGTTGATGTTAGTCTTAATGCTGGTGTTAGTCTGAGTGCTGGTGTTAGTGTTGGTGTTAATGTCAATATTAGTGTTACTCTAAGTGCTGGTGTAAGTGTTAGTGTAGGTGTTTGTCTTAGTAGTGCTGGTGTTAGTCTGAGTGTTGGTGTTAATGTCAGTGTTAAGGTTAGTGCTGGTGTTAGTCTAAGTGTTGGTGTTAATGTCAGTGTTAAGGTTAGTGCTGGTGTTAGTCTGAGTGTTGGTGTTAGTCTGAGTGTTGGTGTTAATGTCAGTCTTAGTGCTGGTGTTAGTCTGATTGTTGGTGTTAGTGTCAGTGTTGGTGTTATTGCTCGTGTTAGTCTGAGTATTGGTGTTAATGTCAGTGTTCGTCTGAGTGTTGGTGTTAGTCTGAGTGTTGGTGTTAGTCTGAGTGTTGGTGTTAGTTTGAGTGCTGGTGTTAGTCTGAGTGTTAGTGTTAGTGTCAGTGTTGGTGTTAGTCTGAGTGCTGGTGTTAGTCTGATTGTTGGCGTTAGTGTCAGTGTTGGTGTTATTGCTCGTGTTGGTCTGAGTATTGGTGTGAATGTCAGTGTTAGTCTGAGTGTTGGTGTTATTCTGAGTGCTGGTGTTAGTCTGAGTGTTGGAATTAGTGTCAGTGTTGGTGTTTGAGTGTTGGTATTAGTGTCAGTGTTATTGCTCGTGTTAGTCTGAGTATTGGTGTTAATGTCAGTGTTAGTCTGAGTGTTGGTGTTATTCTGAGTGCTGGTGTTAGTCTGAGTGTTGGTGTTAGTGTCAGTGTTGGTGTTAGTGTCAGTGTTGGTGTTAGTCTGAGTGTTGGTGTTTGTGTCAGTGTTAGTGTTAGTCTAAGTGCTGGTGTTAGTCTTAGCTGTGGACAGCGTCTACATACACGATTTCGTTCATGAGTTTTCGTAAGTTGTATAGACAAGAAACATTACTATGGACGAAAACGTTTACTATTCTAGAATATTTTATAGCACCCCTAGCAGTGATCAATTAAATTTGTTTTTTCTTGGCTCTTTTTGAGAGTGTGAAAAATGCGTACGAAAACGAAATTGCTCTCACGAAATGTTCCATCTTAGTTTGTGATCACACATTCAAAGTGAGTAAGCATATTGGTGCATTCTGCACTGGCGACAGTACCTTTGTGGAATCAGTTTCAAAATTTATTTCTTTGATTAAACGAATACGGACAAGTCGTCATTTGGCGCTTGACAAAAACTTGCTTGCATAAAAGATTTTAGGTAAATTGAGACTGGATGCTCGTTCTGAGGCTTTCAAAATGATTATTAAATGAAGATATGATCTTCGCACTTTTGCTGGACAATTTAAGCAATCGTCTCAGGACCTGAAAAAATCAGGTGACTCAACGGGATTCGAACCCATGACCTCTGCGGTGCCGGTGCAGTGCTCTGACCAACTGAGCTATGAAGTCACACAGTGGTGAGCAGGTCAATATTGTTGGGTTCATCAGTTGGTCAGAGCACTGCACCGGCACCGCAGAGGTCATGGGTTCGAATCCCGTTGAGTCACCTGATTTTTTCAGGTCCTGAGACGATTGCTTAAATTGTCCAGCAAAAGTGCGAAGATCATATCTTCATTTAATTTCAAACACCGCACTGCATAAAACATTCATACGACATTCCTTTCACGAGAAAACATGAACCCAACAATATTGACCTGCTCACCACTGTGTGACTTCATAGCTCAGTTGGTCAGAGCACTGCACCGGCACCGCAGAGGTCATGGGTTCGAATCCCGTTGAGTCACCTGATTTTTTCAGGTCCTGAGACGATTGCTTAAATTGTCCAGCAAAAGTGCGAAGATCATATCTTCATTTAATTTCAAACACCGCACTGCATAAAACATTCAAAATGATTATTGTTGATGATTGCTGTTCAGTACGTTCATCCTACCGCCAAATATTTCCTGAGACACCCATAAAGTTAGACATTTTCCACGCAGTTCGAAGGTTTGCAAAAACCCTTCTAAGAGCTCTCTATTTGCTTTCGAGCTCTCGAAAGCAATTATGCCGAGAATTTGGATTGATTTTTCAGCGTAATGATGTAGAAGAAAAATGAAAAATGTGTACACCAAACATTTAAGGAAGAGAAAGTAACCTTGAAATGTTTCTTCAAAAATGAAAAAATCAACTTTCACCAAGTTGGCAATTGCAGTTTTAGCAACCGTATTTTACCTATGGAGCTCTAAACGCGAGCAATTTTCTCAAAAACATATGTTTAACAGCAAAGTCGTACCCACAGTGCCATTGGAGCTAAAGCAAAAGCATATAATTGAAGGACCGTGTTTCACTTGTAAATTTAAGCATTCAGACATGCCAAAAGATTTACCAGCTTCAATGAACTCTGTAGCATATGATAAGAATATTGGCTTTGTCGGAAAGTTTATGGGAAATCATGAGCGTGATGATTTAAAAAAAGTTGTTAATGATGTCAATCATTTAAAGAATGAAAACACTTTAAATCATATCCTCTCACGGGTGATAAATTTGAACGATGTTTGTTCTTCGATCGCGGAAAAATATAGAAACCGAATTTCAACGTGTTTGAGTTCCAATTTACAGATTATGAAACGCTTGTTAGCGTGTTACAGTCGCACTCGACGAAGGACACACAATTATAAATGGATATGATTGATGAATGCTTAGATAGGAATCTGCTGTCATTTGGACTAATCCACGACATAGTAACTGGTGATGGGAACTGCTGCTTCACTAGTATAGCGAAAGTGCTCAATGAGCGACTGTTGGAAGGTGACTTTTTGAACAACGACGCTATCAATATGTTACTTTCAAACGACCTATGCAAAGGCACTGCGTCAGATGCAAATCGCCTACGACAACTTTTTTGTGAAGAAGTGATGACAAGTGAAGAAACCTACTGTTGTTCGCACATCGAAACCATGATGACCTTGACAAGTTAACTCAAGTACTAGAAGACTGGGTAACTTCTAGGTTAAGTGATGTTGTCAAGACATATGCAAGAATTTATTATAGTGAGGAAATGCTGGCAGACGTCAACCTCACTCTTCTCTGAAATCACATGGATCAAGTGGCAAGACAGTGTCGAGACGACTGGTGGTGACTTCTGATGCAGGAGTATTCGGTTACTGCTAGATGTAATGCAGTCCATCAACGAAGCTCCACCCGGAACCAGACAAGGATAGTTTGGGACAGCAAATTACCAAAACGGAACAAGATGGATGGAGGATGATGGTAGCACAATGGCGAGTCATGGCAGAGAGACCCTGGGACCAACTAACCTACCAGAAAAGACAGTACCTGGTCTAACCGCACTGTTCTCCAGCAGTTTAAAGAACAAGTCCAGCCGGCACATAACTCACAAGATGCTCTTGAGAGACCAGGTATCTAACCTACAGCGGCCACGAATCGCCATGTGTAACCTTTGATGTTTTGGCAATGTTGTCAACCTCTCAAAGATGGTTGGATGAAATAACTTCTCAGAGATGGAAAGATGAGATCACTTTGTCTGGGCACGTCGCTGGCAGTACTGTCTACGGCATTACAGATAGCAAATGTTGATCATTATGGTGATGATTACAAATGGCCAGACTCGAAGAAACCTACTAACCTTTTGTTGACTGTAGCATCGCAGATGAAGTGCCAAAGTTTTTGACAAACGGATTGTTTAACAGCTCTCTTGGTGATTTATGTGTGCTTGTGTGTAGCAAAATCATAAAAACAACTATTGTTGTTGTTACTCCATACCTGGTGTACCTTGCATACCATTCGTTCCAGAATCAGTATCAAGTGAAAACGCCATATATATTGCGTTAAACCACTCAGGTCTTGGTCACTATGATGCCACTAAAGGTCTTATTTACGTTGATTATAATCTCTAAAATAAAATTGTTACTTCGTTAATTGTATGTTTCACTGCAATTAAACGATGCAGTGAAAAAAGGGCTATCGAAAAGGTTTTGAGAAATCATGAACTAGTATTTAGGAGATGCAAGCACTTTTTTGTATGTGCATATGCCACTTGCTCAGTTCTCTTACAATTGCAAAACTGCTAAATGTTTATTCATAAGATACCAGTATTGATAAATTATTCAGATGATTTCGATATTTTTACGTTGTAAAAGCCGCTGATGTCGTTAACGAGGATAACCTCTTATCTTTAACTTGCAACTGTGGTCTTATGGTCTTATATAGTCCATTACGCCAAACTAGAGTTCGGAATGACAAACCACCTTGTCAAAAAGCCCTTAACCAAGGAAATACTACTCAATTTAGATTCCTGAGAAATAAAGTAAACCGTAAAAGGAAAATTTGTCTTACTAAATATTATAAAAACAATATAGAACATCTTAAAACGTGTAAACCATCCTCGTAGTGGAAGGGAGTTAAGAAACTTAGCGGAAGTAAATCCATTAGCGGCGAAAACGAAGTTTTTAAAACCTTAAAGAATGATTAACATTTTACACTAGTAGACATCGCAAGAGAGATAAACGATTGTTTCCTCTCTCCAATGTCGGAATTCGCTCCTCTTACCAAGGAGCATTATCAAAACTTGCTACCTGGCTCACTTACCTATCCTACTGTCAATGCCGAAGTTGTTTTTAGAGAGCTGTTAACGCTCAGCCCAAGAAAAGCATACGGTCCCGTTGGAATTCCAACATATGTACTGAAAGAGAACGCTGACATATTGGTATTCCCAGTCAAAGAAATCCTAAATTGTTCTTACCGTGAATGCTTTGTCCCACATTCTTGGAAAAAAGCCGACATCGTTGCCATTCCAAGACAAAAACCGGTCACGGATATTAACAATCATTTACGTCCGATATCCCAAACACCTATTCTATCCAAACTGGCTGAAGACTTTGTCGTTGATCAATACCTAAAACCTGCAGTATTAGCTAAGATCGACAAAAGACAGTTTGGATCTATCCCCCAAACAAGCACAACGCATGCCCTAATCAGCATGCTACACTCTTGGAACAAAAATACTGGTGGAAATCGTTCGACAATAAGAATTATACTCATTAATACAGAAGGGTCACTCAGATGCACAACGCGTCTTCATGTCGGCCATTATTCCAGCCAGATGATTAGGATTTCTCACTTTTTTCCAGCCACTAAAATTACATGACGTCAATACTTAATAACGAATTTAAGTATATTTTGACTTAAGAAATGACTTCGGATCATTTTAAATGTTTGGAAAAAGTCAAACCTTAATCATCTGGCTGGAATGGCGGCCACCATGCGCGGCACGACATGCGCGAGGACAAATCATCAAAGGTTCCGACACAAGTGACTTTCTGTATTTTCTTATTCTCTGCTTTGGAGTGCTTCGTCTTATTTATTAACACTTTCTTGTTCCAACACGTGCTCCTATTTATCGGGTTGCTGTGTACATTTAACTTAATCTTCTTCAGTATTTTTGGCCTTCTCAAATATTTAGAGCACTAATACGTTAACGGCTTGTAATTTTGAAAATTAACTTTCGGTCAAAATAATTTTTCGTCGAAGTTTCAACATGAGGTTGCAGATTATGTTATGCAGCAGTTATTTGAGAATTTAAGTAACTATAATCTCTTCTCCATTTTTGCCAGTTTCGGGCATCTTTCTCTATAAGCTAAGTTTTTTTATCCTCTCTTTTTACTTCATTCTTCGTATTCCTTCCGTGTCTTTAGTTACCATCCTCTAGTCCAACCTCATAGACGTTGGGGCGAACTCTCGAGCTGGTGCAAACACTGGACTTTCAGTCACAGATTTGCACTGAGCTGCTCTTGAGTTCTTCAAGTTCTCCTCAGTTTTCATATAAGCCTGAGCAAACACGGTAAACATTACCTATTTCTTAATGAAAACAAGCCCCTCCCCCCCTCCTCCCATGATTAATCTTTCCCGAGACCTGTCAAATTCGTAAAACCTTCAATACAAACGCGAAACAAAACAAAATCAAGTGCAGTAAATGAAGGCAATGGTCTACGAGATCCTACGGCGTGAAGATGATTCGTCAAAATCTTAGTTTACTGATTCGATTCAACGTGTACAAAACATATCAATTTTATTTACAAATACAAAATATTTCAAGTAGATATAGTACGAGACTCTGTAAGCACATTTGTCTATAGCAGTGTTCGTGTGTCTATTTCTGAAGCTTGCAGTCGATAAACTTCTGATCTTACAAAATAGTCGCTCATATTCAGTTCATGCGTAACATGTTAGGTGCGAGAAACGAGTTTCGGTCGTTTTCACCACAGATAAATAATCACAATAGCAACACCATGATTATCTCGGTTGAATCAAGCAACCTTGCAAAAAGGACGCAGGAATCGACGTTGAATTTAGCGACAATAGATACCAATAGAAAGGTTACAAATAATTGTATAAAAAACATCCGCGCCCCCGAAAACGACTTACAGAAAAGCAACCAAAATCGATTCTCGCACATTTTTGTCAAAGCCGACACCCGTTTAATTACAATAGAGATCTTCATAAAGAAGGCATATTATGCGATTTTGTAACCTATCGACCATTCCACAAAGTACAATATATGTCTTTCACAAATTAATCAAAAGACCAAGTGAATAAACAAAAAAACTGAACACAAGCCGCAGACATTACCACAAATGACAAGAGCTGCTTCAAATTTAGTGTTTAACAAGATTCAATAGCCATCAGTTTCTCCACCACCGATTCGCCATGAAAAAAAATCTCCTCCAAATATATAAGGTTTGTGTTCGTGGTTACTATCTATTCATTAAATGCTTTGAGCAGCCAACCCAGGCAAGCAAGTTTGCGAACAACACAACCAGAAAATTTGATATATAAGTCGTCTTTTCGTTCAGTACGCAAAGCAAAACGACGAAAATTCCAAGGAAATTTGCCTGGGTTAGCCACGGAAAGCGAATCCACGTTGCTCGATCACTTAATCCGTATTTTGCACGTTTAGATTGTGGTGATGTAATGCTTATACATGTAAAGTTGTGATAGAACATATTAGCCGAGAAAATAATTTTGTAGCTACCTATAGTGTTAAAATACACCTAAAATAATTCTTTCCATCTTCTTATTTCCTCTAATTGTGCTAAAACACATGTGATATTCAACGCATTACATGCCATCCAAAACAATTCAGTGCACGAAATCTTTAGCCACGCGATAATTGCGCCGATTTGCCGCTTGAAGACATCTTTTCACAAACAAGAAGTACTTTATAAAATTGCATATATGTGCGCACGCGCATTCCACGCGGTCTGACTTTCGTGATTCTTCAACGCGATACAATATTCACGTGGGTGTTCGCGACAGCTTACTAATTACTCGAATAAGTGCACCGTTTTCGTCTTTAAGTCTTTTGTTGTCTTCTCGGAGATCATTTAGTTGCTAAAATACAGCAAAAAAAGCAACGAATATCAGTTTCGTACATGATTTTGTGCAAAAAAAAAAAAAAAGGAACGACGTTTTGTCTTTATGATTACAAAGTATTTGTAGCTGAAATTTTCTTCACAACTTGTCTATCCTTTTCAATATACGCACAACTTTCAAATCACTAAAATTTAAATCAACGCTATACCTAAACTAAAGTTTACCTTTAAGTCATCCTCCATATTCTCTAATTTTCGCTCTAACTTATTTTTCTCCTAAACAAAAATAAAAAAACAGTGAAATACGAGCAACTCGACAAAATCAATGACTAAACTTGTTTCTCGCATTGTTTCAGCTAGAAACACTACTTGTTCTCTGCGTTGCAAACATTTTTACGGACAAAATAGTACTTTTCTGAGATTCCAAAATAGAGTTACAAACTACGATGAAGCCGCTTGCACAGGCATACCGCTTTTAAAAAGATATAAATCAAAAATGCCAAATGGGGATGTGCCGGATACCGGATGGTACGAACGGCAGTGTACCGGATAAAGTTCAAGAAAAAACGATAACCGCATACCAGATGTAAGGCTTATTAGCTGGTAAAGCTGCGAATGTAAGGCCCCGTTTACACTATAGAATATTCAACCTACTACTATTGCTATCGTAACAGATTGAATATTCTTTATATTAAAAGGCAGTGAAATTGTTCAACGTCAGAAACACAATCTAAAAACTAAATCTATCAACTTAATAAGTTTTTACTTCCAACGGTTACACCTTTAAAGCAAATGAAGATGTCGTGATGAGCGAATCCAGTATGGTGTAAACGCAGCCTAAGTCTTCCATATTGTCTTATAAATTTTAATGTTGCAATATATTAACAGCATCCTAATTTAACAATAACATTCTGCTTCCTAAAAGGCAGTAAAAATTTTCCCATATATTACAGAATATAGGATGCCAGTACGCGGATCCAGCACATCCCTCATGCTATAGCAATCTAAGAATAGCGATTGTTCTGACGATCCCTTTGTTTTTCGCTCGAGCAGATACAACCCTCGACCTTCGCTCTCGAGCTTGAAATGATCTGCTCTCGAGTTCTCCCGAAGGTCTTCTCAGTTTGCATAAGCCTGTGCAAAAACAGTAAACATCTTTTATTTCTTAAATAAAGCATAAGGAATACCTGAACTGTTTTTTCTAGCTTAGTTTTGGTCTCATCTAATTCAATTTGCGTCTCACGTAGTTTATCTTGTAGTGTATTTACGTCACTATTCGACTTGCTGTCGGATATTCTAGACGAATTTTTAAACCGATCTGTTGTGGACGTCGAAGTGACCGTCCTGTAAATAATTTGAAAATATAACGTTAAGTGAGACGCGATACATAAAAAATCAATACAAAAAACAACCTACAAAAAGTTTATTAATCATACCTTCCAGCACGTATCCTATCCACTTGACTCTGAAAAGCGAGAAAAAAATATCGATTATTCAATCTTCGAGCGAAGCATCCTTGGAGAAATACTAATAATGGCATGAATAATAAAACTAATCCTCGAATGTTGTTCACCGACCGTCCAACATGCACAACAAAAATGTTTAAGAAATATCTGAACACAAATATATTATTGTATACAGTAACTGTAACTTCAACAGTATAGTTTGGGAACCACGGATGGATGTAGGGAAGGGGGAGGTGTGCGCAGATTTCCATACGAAATACTAATAAAAAAAATTATGAAAGAGCAATGGTGAGTGGTGTTGAATGGAGCACAATTTCAAAAATTTCACAAATATAATACGGCAACTGAGATGCAACGGCAAGTTGCCACCGAGATCTTATGTTAACTAAAGCACGACCCCCACCTTCAAAACCACGGTGCATCCATCGCGGTCGGGAAACTGGGACCACGCAAACGCACACCACCAATGATGAGTTTTTGCACGATAAATGGACGAAAATACAAACCACAAAATTTAAATCGTGAAGCATGTCGAACGTAAGTCATTTAAAAACTGCATTCTTACCCTAGTCTCTTCTTTAGGTTTTTCTTTCTCTTCGATATCTTCGTTCATCATTGTGTTCTTCTTTGCTTCTTGAAGCTCGTCTGGCTCGTCTTCATCGCTCTGTAATCCAGACAAACAAATTGAGGAAACGCCGGCTTTGTTATACTACACGACAAAAATATAAGGCTAAAACAAAAACAGGTTAGAGCGAAACTTGTAGCAATGTACTTTATAAAATTCTATCGGTAATTACTTGACATCATCATTGTGAAGGCTGATGGCAGCACGCAGAGTGTTATGATAAGCATGCATAATTGGCGCATACATGCAGGCATCATTCATAAAAAAATAATATTGTATAGTGCATCGTAATATTAGCCTCTAATAAATGTTGAAGCCGGAAATCAGTGTGCTTTTGAAGTGGCGGCTATTACCGTAGTACCGTTTATCATCCATCTTCATATTTTCAGAGATAAACTATTCACCAAATGTTTACAAAGATTGCTTTCCACTGTGTTAAAAACTTCTTCCTAGTGTCTGTGCCAGTTGTTCATGGTGCAACTAAATGTAATTCATTTTTGAAGGAGCTAGACTGCATTTTGACGATAACCTTATGGTACTTACGCAGTGTAATGCAAGGAAAACATAGCATCGCTCTCCAACAAAGATTTACCAGAAAACTACATGTATTTTTACTATTAAACAACAAAAGATTCTCATCCTTTAAGACATCACAATGCATGACCATAATACAATAACAATTGGTGAACAAAGTACCAACCGACTGAGGTGTAGTGTCGTTTGTATTCCGAATTGAACGATATCCTTTATGGTTGTAGAAAATTCCATCCGTGACACATCTTTGGTTTCACTCGCATTAACAAAATTTACCGTTATACGTCATATTATAGTACTGAACACAGTAACATGCTTATATAATATGCAACAAAGTGGGTACTAAAGTAATGGCGGCCTTTGTCGAGTTCCGGCGTCAGCGGTAATCACGCATGCGTTATCCAGTAGTATTTACATATTAATGGTACGCATAGCTTGCCCAAAGATAGAACGTTTCATTGCGTCCACTCTCAAAATAACCGCGAAACATAACTGATCTACAATCACAATACAATAAAAAAGATCAATTACGAACTTACCTCAGAAGGCATGTATGCCACTCCAGTTGATCTTCTTTTCTCACGAGGTCTGCGACTCTTTCTAACGCGAGATGCAGATTTATCAACGGACTCTTTTTCGGTCTCTTTCTCTTTTTGTTTTTCCTTTTCACTCTGGTTTTCGTTTTCCTAAAGTCACGAAAGAGAAATTTTACGTTAAAGCAAAAGAATGATAATTAATTTTGTACTGAACGATTTAAAAGGTAATTCGCTTTCGTGAATTATCCATACGATAACGAATCCGCATCTGTTGATTATCTACACGAGAAACAATCCAAAATCGTACACAATACGAAGACGGCCGTTTGTACGACAACTTTAGTGCTAGCGGAATATTAAACAATTATTGGATGAGGTTGAGCACGATATGAAGAATTAATCAGACTGAGGTCGATGTTATCTGTCGAAGCAAAGCTGGTTTCAATAATTGTTTTGTTCACTTCAACTAATTGAATTATTATTAAAACATATCAATACAAAACATTTTTCACACCTTCGCTAATTTGTTTTGTCAGACGGTCAATTCAAATGTTGTAAAAACGTTCAATGCCAGCTTGGCCGCTTTATTGTTTTCAGCATCGTTTTCCTTTAAAAGCTTTCGCATAGTTTTTAGAAACTGTTGCAAACGTCGCTGTTGTTTGATTTTTCTTCAAAATCGGCTTTTAATGGCGTAAATAAATGTAGACACTATTATTTCTAGATATGACGTCATACCTACAGATATCGAGAATTATTTGAAGGTAATTATTGACAAATCAAAAGCGACATTGCTTACATAGTGAATAATAATAATAAATTATTGGATGAGGTTGAGCATGATATCAAGAATTATTCAGACAGATGTCATTATTATCTGTCGAAGCGATGCTGAGACGGATAACATTGACAGAGGTCTGAATAATTCTTGATATCATGCGAAACACGTATTCCGTAATTGTTTTATTATTCACTAAATATTATCAAAACATATCAAAATAAAACATTTTTCAAACCTTCGCTAATTTGCTTTTGTCAGACGGTTTATTCAAGTTCGTCTCGTTTAAATATGTTGTAAATGTTTTCAAAGCCAGCTTCGCCGCTTTTTTAGTGTTTTCCGCATCCTTTTCCTTTAAAAGCTTTCACATCGTTTTTAGAAACTGTGGCAAACATCGCTGTTGTTTAATTTGTTTTCAAAACCCGTTTTTAAGGGCGGCCATATTTGTAGAAACTATTATCTGTAGGTTATGACGTCATAGAATGCTCACAAAGTGGATAATATTATTCATTACATGTTTGTAAATGATGATCGTCCAGGTTAATAAAGTCCTGAGAAGGACTGTTTTTGTTGTTGTTGACTGACGTTTCGACAACCTTAGCGGTAGTCATCTTCAGAGTCAAATGAGTTGTTACGTCAGGTAGTCAGTTACGTCAGGTAGTCATTTGAGACTACCGCGATATCATGCGACAATTCTATTCCGACAAAAATATACAATAGTTGAGATCATAAAGAGAATTTTTAAAAGCTTAAACAGACAAAAAGATCAAATTTACGATGAAATATTGTATCTATTACTGCTTGAGATAATATATGAATTTAACAAACGTCGTATTTTTTGGTGCCCGAATTCATATGTGATGTAGTCAGCCGTACTAGGAATTTATTTAAGATGTGAACAATTAGGACCACGTATAATTTTCTATAACAACAGTTCGGTCAACTCTTTCCATGATAGTTTGGATTTGCATGTTTCAAACTTGCTACCAAATATGGTCAAGGCTCGATTGACACGTATACCAGATGAGCAAAAACATAAAAAGCGTAGCATACTACCGATTTATTAAATCTGACAATAGCAGATGTTTACTTTGCTTATGCAAACTACATCCTCTTGACATTGATAATTACATTTAAAGTACATTTTACCATAAAAATAACGTCAAGAGCATCAAGTAAATACAAAAATATGGCGATTAAGGTGAACAAATCAAACAGCTATAGCATCAATCAGATATAAAGCTCCATTATTTTGAGAATTTCTAGTGTGCGAAAATTGTTGTTTCCATAGAAACTGAAAGCTTTTTATATAGCAGTTCAAAAGGTTTTTTGAACCCGCGAATTAAGACAGACTAGCCATCAAGAGATATTCGATACTCACTCCTTAATGTTTGAGTTTGTGATTTTTGCCAAGTCAAGGTTTTATGGTATAATCAAAATATTTGTCAACGGTCGAAATGGATAACAGCTCCGGACTCCGGTGTCGGAGTTGTCATCATGGAAGGATTTTCATTTAGACAATTCAAGGGTCTAGTAGTGAAGCTATAGAAGATTGTGTAGAAAGTTGAAATTTTGCCCTGAAAAACTCAGTTCAAATGTACTACTGATTTATTTTGCTAAAAATGGAGGTGGGGGTTAGACTGTTTCTTAGAGGGGTGAACAACTTGTTTACGGGATGAAATTTTTGGGGGAGTGGCACCGCCTGCACATCTCAAGTAAATACGTCCATGGCTGTCATCCATTTTTTTTGGGAGACGAACAAAACCTTAGAAGCTTGGCTAGAAATGTTTGTCAATTCATTTAAAAAAACCTTTAAAATCAAAAGTTAAAAAAGCACAACGAAAAAATCTCAAAATTAGCACAGTCGCACTTCAGAGTTTTCCACCGAATTTGTTAAACCAAATTTCGCCACACTAGCCATTGGTGATCTTTTGAGACAATAAAAAATTCGTGTCATAGGCGCCTTAATAACTTTGTATTGACGTTTGTATTGTTTGATCATGTCGATTAGCAGAGCAATGTGATTAAAATTTTCATCATCCATTGCTTTGATGAAATTACTACTTTCTAATTACCATTACTTTAATGAACTATCAAATTAAGAATTAATTAAACGCTTTATGTATACATCACCTTTTCCTTCTCCGCTTCTCTTTGTCGTTCCTTTTCCCTTTCGCTAATACGACTTGAGAAGTTGTCGGAGCTGGTGGACCGAAGGTAACTGGAAGTATATCGACTTGACGTTGTATCACGTGTCGATGTATCACGCGACGAAGTATCACGTGATGAGCTATCGTGGGTCGGATCGCCCCGTAATCGACGCCTGCTCGTGTACGACGATGTACTCGTTTCATTTTTATCCTGTAAAAACATAAAAATCGTTAATAATGGAGAAAAAACTTAATTTTTTTTTAACAGATTAACAAACATCGTCGTCATTCTTAACTCCACTGTACGAACCACAGTGATAGAGGATAGTAGTAAATTCAACAGAAAGAAACATGTTTTAACAACATACCCGTAATAATGTTTGTATATGTAATTGGTTAAGGTTATTAGAGTCCCGAGAACGAATGTTGGTGTTGACTTACGTTCCGACAACCTAGCCTTGACTCTGAAGACGACTACCGCTATGGTTGTTGAAACGTCAGTCAACAACAACAACAACAGTCCTTCTCAGGACTTTTCTAACTGGACGACCTACATTTACAAACATGTAACGATACTTCCGTGTTCAAACCATTTCCTTTACACACGTAATTAAAAAAAGCTGAGACACAATCCTGGGTTGCTTTCAACCATTCGTTTTATTTGCATTATACATTTAAACAAGTGGGTGAATGAAATAAATAAAAAAATAGCGAGGTTTTAAACTATACTATCGTTAACTTGCTAAAATCAACAAACAACGTCAGACAACAACAAAAGAATGCAAAATGCAAAATCACAAAAAAAAACTACAGACAACTCGGTTGCAAGACATCAATAAAGTAAAAAGTAAAATAAAAGTAAAAGAAAAGATTAAAGTCAAAGATTTTTCACCTTATCTCGGTCGGAATAGATAGTGGACCGACCAGAGATGTTATTCCGCCGAGTGGTAGACGAATCAACATCGTTCAACTTCGACTTGTCGTCGTCGAAGTTTCTCGATGACGGTCTCACCCGAGATGTATACGATGACAACTTGGAGTCTCGAAGCTGAGAGCGATAACTTGGACGAGATTCCTAACAAATCAATGCACGATAATTAGATCAGTACGAAAAATATAGTTTCTGAAAACATAGTAATATCTGTTGCGATGAGCTTAACTTGAGCACGTTGGCCACACAGATACTGGGTTAGAGAAACGATATTCGAAACAAAGTGATAACAGACTTTTGATTATTTTGGCTACAGGTTTTTTTGGCAGATTTTATGGTGGTTTTAACAAATGAACAGATATACTTTTCATGCAGCGTTTTCCCATTCAAGGCACCCATTCCCTCGGTTTCAAAAATCACAGCTTTTATTTTGACAGGAAAAGTTGTTTTTCCAAACTTCGAGACGAAATGACATTAAGGCCCATAAACACCATAAGAAGCTCAGAGCAACAAGAATACAACAGAAAATAAATTTTGGTTCAGAAATAAGAGGACTACATCCAGAAAAAGATGTTTTATCACAATTTGAAGAATATAGGAGTACCGAAAAAACAAAATTAAGTCGAAAATGCTGCTTATTACAATCGATGAAACTTTCTCACTTCTACGGTAACTGTGAAGAATGCAAAACCGAGCATATGGCCTACACAGGATGTGCGCGTTATTCAAATCATCTAAAGCATCGTTAAATTGCTTCCCTATGAGTACTGGGGGAAAAACCGAATGAAAATATTTCACGACAAAATCAGATATCTGGAGGCACGAAGTTGTGAAATCGTAGAATATATCGACTTTCTACAGCTTGTGAGAATTGTAATTTTTTATCGACTACAATCAATTCTGTTGAAAAAGGCATTGTTTTGACTATTCACCTCGATTCGCACGTCTGCAAAAATGTGCTAATTAAATGCTGATATATGGCACACTGAAATACGAATGACACACAAATAGACAAGAAAACACTTATTTGTTACTTAAGACATTTTCTGCTAAGTGCATCTCTACAAGCAAATAAAATGCAAAACCCAATGTTAACTTTAAAAGACCATACGTTTACATAATGGCTGGCTTCGACACATCACAATTTGTTAAGCGACGTTAATTAAATCGCAATGTAATGTCAACACAATACATTCTGTTTTCTAATAGTTAAGTATTTTTCAAGACGGCTGTTGCTAAAAACGAGTTCCAAGCACTTTCTGTGAAAAGGAATAGTGAATGTAGTGATCATTTGAACGTGAAATATTGAAATTATCGGCTTCTTTGCCATCAAAAACACTTAACTCCTTTCAAACGCTGAACAGAAGAATTCATATACATAAGTAAATGCCTGTACTCTGTGTCCTCTCGAGTTCTAAGGGTTCTGTTTACGATGAAATTAAAATCAAAGCGCAAATAATTTACTTACCATTGACGCTAAAAGATGAAAAACAAATGAAGCGCAGCCGTAATGTCCAAGCGCTTATTTATGAAATATTACACAAACAGCATGATTTCAACAAGCACTGTAATACAAGGTCGCAATCAAGCTGTATGCATCTCGGATTGCAAACGCAGCTAATCTTATTCAAAGTTCAAGGGCTATCTGATTGCCATCGCTCAAAAGAAGATTCACACACATCAAAAAAATGGCAGATAACTTTTCGCTTATCTAGATCAGCGATGATAAGACAAATCAACTTTGATTGCTATTAAGAATGTATTTTCCCGTTATTTGAGAAAATATTGGTACATCCAAGTAGCACGTACACACACACAAACAAGAATTTTCTACAATACACTATTTGCGCTTATATAAAGGATCATGAAAAAATAGAAACAGAGGAACACATATTCTCACTCATTTGAATAACATCATTTTGCCAACTAAAGACTTGAGTAATTAAAATAACAAGAAACGAGATCTGATAATATTGACAGCGGCTTTTAAATAAAATCGAAACAAGAGAAAATGTAAGCGGGATAAATATGTAGAGAGGGATTGTAATGATTCGGCACGATTGTCAATGACGTCATTCTCATCGTGAAATTTTCATTCCCTTATCTTGTTGGCTGTTTATGAACTTGGTACGAAAAAGACATAAATGCACACAGTTTTTTATTCAAAATTAACGAAGCGAAGAGAAGCTGCGACAATACTCGGTTACTTCGCCCTTGCATTGTGATTATAACACTAAGGGTATAGACAATATCTATAGCAACGCAGAACTTAAACTGCATATAAACGATTTGCAATTAACAAGTGGAAAGTTACTTGCAAGCAAGAGCTACACGATGAACAATTCCAACAAGCTTTATACACAAGCATATATACAATGTAGACGGTATGCCAGATTTCCAGTGCGACCAATACGCTTATTTCAATCTTTATGCTTGCAAAGAAAACGTGAGGCGAAGTTCATAAGCTTTGTCAAAGAACTCAAAACAACGAATGGATACAGCTAAGATATCAGCTATAAAAAGTCAGAATTCCAGAGTCAAATTCGAAAGATTCGCGCCGCACACTGCACCAACTTTCAGGAAACAATTTTACAAAACTTTCGCATTTAAAAGGTTATGGGAATTTCTCAAAACAGCAAGCAAAAAAAGAACGTTTGTGAAACGCATTCTGCGTAGATTATCTGTTTGAGAGCAGGTCTACTCCAAAGACTTTAATATTTTTTACGTATTCCCTGTTTTCAACGATACCCGCTTTCGTTGCAGCTCTCGAATTCGGCCACGATATTTTTTTAATGACATTACAGGAAAAGGGACTGCCATCTCTGTCAGGATGTCGTAGATTTCTGTCAACTTGTTTAAATGTTGCTTCTTCATTTACAATTTATGTTCCTGCTGATGTAAAGCTAACTTTATGAATCCCCACTCCACTGTAATGAGATCTACTCATGAAACCCCACTCCAACTTTATGAATCTTTATGAATCCCCACTCCAACTATAATGAGATCACTTGTGGTGATCTCATTATAGTTTGCTGATCACGCACTCGTCTTTTTTTTAAAAATCAAACTTGGACTTGCCAGACATTTCTCTTCTTCATGGCGGTGTTCTTGGTCAAGAATGGTAGATAAATTGTGGTGACATGTTTGTAGATGTAGATCGTCCAGGCTAGTAGAGTCTTGAGAAGGACTGTTGGGTCAAAAACTGTTAACTCTAGATTCACCTTCATGTCTCTGCATGCAGTACGCTTTCAATTATTTGCTATGTAATTTACTTGTCAGTTCGTAATAAGCACTCTGGTCATTTTTAAATCCAAGTTTGGACTTGCCAGTATCTACTTTTCTTTATGGTTGTGTCCATCGTCCAGAGCTATTTAGTTGTGAAGAGTAAATAACTGTTAAGTGTAGATTCACCTTCATATCTCTTGCTTTTAATTCTTTGATGTACTCGGTTCATATTGCCTTTATAACCAATTGCGATCTTTACATAAGCCTTGTGACCGTGCCCAAGACGTCTGCCCAATAAGTTGATGCCTTTTTTTAAAATTTACTTCAGTTTCATTGGAGGTAAAGGTACAGAAAAATTTCTCGCAAGAAATATCGAGGAAAGAGCAAACTGCTTTATAAATTTAGATTGATCTCGCCACGATCGTTTATTGCTTATTTTTCCTTGAGATCATGAGATATAAACTTGTGACTAGCAGAAAATTGGCTTCATACTCTGGTATATGCAGAACATTCCACCATGTAATCTCTTCTACCATTTTATCATTTTCTTTTTTTTATTTATCTCATGACTTCTACCTGTCTTTATCAATTTCTACGTTTTCCTTCCCACTATAGGTATGATGTAGCAGGGATTTTCTGTTACATAGCTTTGTAAAATATCCAAATTTCTACGAACATAATTACAGCATTCTAGTACATACAGCGACTTTTTCGCAATATGAATTGCCAATCATCGGCCGTTTGTTGACTTATAATGCACGTCACAACATCGAATAACATGCTCACTACAAATTTATTTTGAGTTTTTGGGAAAAAAATTAAATTATTTTTCACCTACTGCAACAACTGGAGAAGATGACACGCAGTAATGAGTATCATTTTAAATGTAGAAATATACTACATGCCAACAGGACTCGCGCAGTTTCTTATATAATGGAAGAAATTCTAGAAAATACTGTCAGTTTTTCTTCCTTCGGTTTGTGTCGAAAGACAATAAATAGCAGGTACGTTTGGCACACGCGCAACAATTTGCTTGGCATATTCTAAGAATTTTGCTAAATATACTTCCAGATGCGGAAACGTATCTTAAGTGCTATGTTGACATATTGCACGTCATCAAAATAACATTACATATATGAATAATCAAGTCACACAAGGAATGACAAAAACGTATCAAGACTCGTACTTTATTAAGTGCTTATCTATGCCAAGAAAAGTACTTTATCAATTCTTATCACCATACTACGTCCATTGAGTTTTTTTATTGTCTAACATCAAAATGACAAAATCAATAATACATCGTAAATCACGGTCCTTCTGTTTTCTATAGTCAGAACAAGCGGCAACTTACCACATACGCAAATGAAACACAATGACTAAAGATTTTCTAATTTTTTATATACACACTACATATACGCGACAGTCGTTATACCGCATCTGTTTTCGATGTCTTTATTTGGACGAAGGATTAAAACGACAGAAGTTCATAGAATGACTAACTTCAAATATAATACCATGTATGTAAAGATAATTACATACTGTCATGTATCGATATACCTTATCTATCGTCTTCGTTTTACCGCCTGTCTCATAGACACTCCGTTGCCATAATCCAGACATCATAGAAATGTAACGCGTTGCTCTTCTATATCCCCAATGTGTTCACTTGACATGGTACAAGAGAAAATGAAAGGAAAATGCCAATATATCAAAGTGGCATGAGCTGAAGCGTTTAGCATGGCGATTATTCAAATCCGATAGGGCAAATGAGTTCATAACTTTGCATATTTATCATGTTGTCATTAATTAATCAGATGGCAGATGCAGCTGATGTCAAGGAGATAACGTTCAACATTATTCAAGATACTGTTTGATCAGCAATTCGTAGGAGAACTCTTTGAAGAACTCTGTCAGGGCATGTTCATAAATACAAATGCACGCTCCATTTCTATGATATTCATTTCCTGCAAACTTTGATGGCACATTTTGTTCTAGAAAACATCATTTCGGGGTCATATCACAAGAGCCTCTCTACCAAATTCAGGATCAAAATGGACGTCAAACGTGGTCAAATCACTGGGTCAAATCAACTATATATGCTAATCGTCGATGATGAACTTTGACATAGACCTTGCGCATTTCATAAAGATAAATAAAATAGGCTGACAAAAGAATGCATGTGTATCGAGATTTCCCACAGTTATCTTAAAAGTGTTATAGCATAACCAAAAGAGGTGAGATGATAAGTAAAATATTGTCGAAAGTTGATGATGTACTCTAACCGATTTTATCATTTCAAAACGGTACAAGGAAAACACAATCAAAACAATGAGTTTTTATCGTTCAATATGCATTAATAATACATGTCCTATTTTTGAGATGGACAATATCACGCGTAACGATTTAAACTGTAAACTAAGTATCATTTATCTAAAGTTTCAAAACACTTTGAAAAGAGACAAAAATTGTGCACAAACTCATCCTTGTGAAACAGATTTGTATTTAACTTGGCACTGGCGATGGCAATAAGATATTTCTCTTAACTGATAGAAAACCTTGTGTCTTATGTTTCATGACATGATCCCACTCCGATAACACTGGAAATATTCATAGTATCCAATGTTTTTATCATCATTGTCCTTATGACACATTCTTCCACTATCGATAAAGATTGCATTGGAGAAGATTTTGTCATTTAACTGAACATGTGCATTAGAAAGGTTAAAATATATGTGATGCATGGCTGCAGTTTTGAATATCATTCCCCCACATATTTTTAGGAACCAAATAACAAAGACTGATCATCAGAAATACAAATATAAATTTTAACAAAAATACCAACAAATATACAAGGGTAAAGATTGCCCCCCCCCCCCTCTCCTTACTGAAACGGAACCTGTCTATCATTCTTTGCCATGTTTGGTTTGTGGCTATATATTGTTTTGTGATCTCTGAAGTAGGTCTTGCATCGTACCGCCATTTTAAAACCGCCGGAGCGTGATTACCTTCCCGGCAGCCGGGGCATGTTGGCACCAAACGGTCAAAATAATTGTCATGTGTTGCTTGATTTGGTTTGCATCGCTCTCCAGCACAATCGTACGAAGCGCCACAATAGTTTGCCGAAACAACACATTGGACAAAGAACATTCACTGCAAACCATTTTTATCGCAAGATAGTGGCCAGCCCGTTAACGGGCGATTGATGTTACATCGTATCGAACTGACGTACCATTACGTCAGAATTGGTACAATATTGGACGCGTAGTACTATGATGACTTCTACATACACCACATTTTTTTATGTTTTATACAGTGAATGTTTCTCACTCTCTACTCTTTTGGTTTCAACTCTACAAGGTCGCAACAACAAATCATGTACTTCCATCTAAATTATGTCTAAAGGCCCGTCGTTCACATGATATGATTGTTTCGACGGTCAGATAATTTTTTTGATATTTATATTTGTTTGGATATTTATAGTCGTACAAACAAGCATTTGTGTCATCCAGTACATTCATCGATAGATTTTTCGTAGTTTTGTTCTATTTCAAATCTATGTAATTTGACTAGGCGACTTCCCCTGATCTTGTCGGATGAAAACAGAGGAAGTTCTTTTTCCATGCGATTTTTAGATTTACGGATCCGACTGTCGGAGGCTCACTTTATATGTGCTCGCACGATCCGTTTTTTAATATTCGAAAAAATCGGATCGTGTCAACGGACCTTAACGTATCCTCTAGTCACAAATCACCTTATTTCATCTCCTCTTTCAATGTATCCATATACCCTCAGTTTGGTTCTCCTCTAGGCCTCTATAAAACACCGTACTGTCAAAGCTTGGCGGCCTCTATTTCTATGTTTTTACAATATCTAACATGTGCTGTACTTGATTCTCTCTAACCGTGTAACTCCTAAAGAGCTCGCCATCTTTATGATAGGAACCTGCAGACGTAACTCTTGTCCATTCCTTGGGTACACTAAATAACATGGTCGTGTCACTACCGTCTTGTAAATCCTTTCTTTCTGTTATGCTGATACACTTTGGCACAAAAAATTTACACTCCTCTCTACTCAATCTAGCTGCGTGCGCACGGATTTTTCACCTTCATATCGATCCAAGGTAATCTAATTCCACTGGCTTCTTCATATATACTTCTTATAACCTCGCTGTTCCTGTGATAACCTTCCCTTCGCATACTTAATGATCTTTATTTTCCGCTAATCTTCCGGCCTTATCTTAATAAGTCAAGCGTACCTTTCTCAAGAGTGTTGGTTTCTTCCCAAATGAAATCGCTTCACACATAACGTCTTAGATACTATTATAAATAATCGCCTGTAAATAGCCAAACACTGTACTCTATTTGCTTCTAATTTCAAATCGTAAATCTTAAAGATATTTCACTTTCCAAACATTAGTTCATGTTCCATACAAAAAATTCTTTTTCACACTCCTCCCCCAGTTAAAATCAACCGCGCTTGACGGGGTCAGAGTACATCAATAAGGATATAACATCATCAATCTCCCGATTTCCTACTAAATATCACAATATCTTCGGGAAACATAGTCCATGGGACCTCCTGTTTACTTTCGTCGGTCAGCTAGTCTATCATGTGCAAATAAGAAGGGGGTTCAGAACCTATCCTTGATGCAATCCCATCTCTATCTCGAACTTCTCTGCCATACTTACAGCACATCTTTCTACACCTTTGGTACATATCCTTTATCATTGTAAACTACTTTTTTACCACGCTGGACTTACACAGTTCCACTTTATGCCCTCCATTTAATCAGCACACTTTTCTCTTCAACTCTCAAAGTACTGCCCTCCCCTGCCCCCTTCCTCCACTTCATATAACAATTAGAAGCGAATTCCTTGCATTTTATCGGAACTTGGAAACTAGTGGGTAATGTCAAAAAGTAGATAAACGAGGAATTCTATTTTTACGATTTTAAAATTTATTCAAGGGCACTTCAATTGTCAAACAACTCTAAAGTTTACTTTGAATTACACTGACATTCCCCTGACAACATAGAGATATAAGTTTCGGTTTTTATTAAAGAAGAGAAGGCCTTGCTGGCAAAATTTTTTAGAACTATTTAAAATATGCTAACAGTTTCCAAGCGGTGTGTGGTAAATAAAAAGTCATCGTACTCCGCTTCCGGTATTGTATAAAATATGACGTAATGGTATGCTAGTTCGACCTTAATTGGCTGGCCACAAAAATTAAATTTAACAAACGCGTTGCAAAAAATTTCTGAGTCTACAAAGGCTTTAAAAACAAAAAATATTAAAATCCTACCTCCTCTTTTTTCGAGTTATCTTCGTTTATCTTGCTTGCGTCGTCCGATCCCCTACTGTCCTTACTATCCTCATTGTTAAGGCGCGAAAAATAGCTATTGCTTGTCCATTCAAACAGTTTTCGTCGAGTGTCGAGATCTCTTGTCGTGGAGTCGCCATCTTCACTTCTACTTACTCTGCCACCGCGATTAAGTCCAAACTTATCCGTCTTTGTTGAACCTAAAATATTTGATAGAATAATTCAGTCTTTACTCGCTCAGTCTACATCAACGTACGTCGAATTTAAGAAATTAAAGATGTCTATATGTTTAAGAACAGGCTTATGCAAACCGAGGAGACCTTTGGAAGAACTCGAGAACGGATCAGAGAGTTTTCCCAAACATCTTCAAGGTTTACATAAGCCTGTGCGTTTGCCACTAATAATAAGCCGAACATATAAATTCAAAAAATATTTCAATTTTTCCTCTAACACGTATTCATGGTCAATTTGCAAATTTTCTTTCATTGATTCAATGAATTGAGCTCATATCTGTTTGCGCAGGCCAATAAAAACTCAGCTATAGACCAATCAGCGCAAGCTTTTTATAGTTGTTACTTCAAAAATATGTATTCAAAACGTAGCAACATCCATGCTTGAATGCAAACTTTGACTGCGTTAAGCGTTAAGGTATACAATGGCAACTCGAGCCAACTATTAAAAATCTACTTTTATCTAGAGCCCTATATGAACAAAAGATCCTTAATACTTTACAACACAAATATGATTTTAAAAAAATACACTATTTTAACTTTCGTAGGGCTTCATTTCAATTTCATTCATTTTCTTGGCCGACATAATCTTCTTGCTTAAAAGTACAGTACAATGTTCATTAAATTGTAGGATTGAATGAAATGTCGACTTAACGTGTTCTTTTGAATTTATACCTCAAGGCATGCAATAAAAAACGAGAACAAGGCATAATCTCCATGACGTGCGAACCAGACAAATACGGCAAACCTGACGCTTAATCCTTACTTATCTCTGAAGATGATTAACGTTGTGGAAACGTCAGTCAACATCAACATCAACAGTCCTTCTCAGAGCTCTACTAACCTGCACGATCTACATCTACAAACATGTAACGATACTCCCGGATGCAAACCATTCACTTTACATCATTGAACTAAGTAGATGGAAGGCTTCGTCCGTCTTTATTTTGAAGCCAGTAGAGCCCAGTCTTTAGCGCATTTATAAACACACGGCGATAGAAACGTAAAATAACTTGTACAAACTACGAAGCACCAGAAACAAAACACAAATTCTTCTTTGTCTTAATTTGGCAAACAAAACTTCACAAATGAGACTTAAAACCAAGTATACACACTGATATGTATATTACACTGGATAACGCATCCATATATAAAATATAGTACGATAATTGAAACCGGAAGTTTGAAACGCATCATCCCACTGGTATCGATCTCACTTTACTATACTTTAGTATTACAAAATCACAGTTTTTGCGTTTTATTCGTTCTACAAACTTTTGATTCGAGCAAATTTTTTTTGAAAGGGACAGAACGACCGGCAAAGATATTTAATCCTAAAACGTTTGTCTTCTTGACTTTATAATGGCATAAAATTGAGATGGTACAAAGTCGACCTGCATTGTTTTGAAACAAACTGGAGATTATATGATGCTGCTGCTTCTTAAAAAATGTGGAAATCTTAAAGAATCCAACTACTGCCACCAAAAATTCATTTTACTTATTTAACAACACTTTGTTATTCACATCGCAAAGATCATAATAATTTCAAATTACGTCTTTATTATATCAGTGAAGAAACAAAATAAATCGACATAGACAAGTAATCAGAAAGACATTTTGATGAACAATAGTAAGAATATGCGAAAGTACCTCTCTGTGTGCATTAAGCAAAGCAAAGTTCTCAACCAGTTCCTTTGTGAACAACTTCAATATCCATGAATATATTAACGATAAGAATACCTTTGTTCGTACTTTGTTGTAATTTAAGTATTCATCTTCTAAAAATGCCTCGCACAACTGAAATTGTCCTCGTCACCTTCAACTTTCAAATTTCAATACAACTTGCCATCTTATTTTTCAGTCGTTACAAAGCCAAAAAAAAACAGAGCTTCAGGGTTAAAACTCTCTACCGCCTTACCTCTACATCTCATTAAAATTTTGCCTTAATCAGAAGTTTGTAAAGGGAATAAAAACGCTAAAATTTGTGATTTTGTAATAAAAGTATAGTAAAGTGGGACCGATACCCCCCATGAAGCCAGTAGCAAATTGATCGAACTTCCGGCTTCAATTTTTAAGAGATGCGTTATCCAGTATAATATACATATCAGTGAGTATACACAACTTTTTGACAGTTACATTTTTGAAAAGAGATCCATAGCCGAGCGTAACTAGAAGGAATTTTGCCGTTGTTGTTTGTTTTGGTATGTCTGCGAATGTGCCAAAAACTAAAGAGTGTCTGTAGGTCAATTTTGGCTTCAAAAAACTATTAGGCTTTTCTATTACAGGTAGCCTTCCATCTATTATAGTTCAATGCTACTCGAGAACAGTGTTTGGTTATATTTGCGTATCATAATAGTTTCAATATACGTACAGAGTAAAAGCAATGAACGTTTACCTGTATCTTCTCTCCTCTCCACAGCAGGATATGTCCTAGCTACGCTATTTATTGGTCGTGACGTATAAGAATTGGTTCTAGCGCTGGTCGAAACTGCATTCTTGTTATTCATTGGCAAAAATGTAGGATTTCGAGTTCGAGGAGAGTTCGCGACGGTGGAACCATTTTGCGTAGCTATTGAATTTTTAGGGTTCTTTTCTGATTCGGAGTCGGATTCCGAACCGGGTTTCTTGCTTATAATTTTCGTAGTGGCTCGAAGCATGATCTCCTGGCCTTCGGACGCTTCTTCTGAGGATTCCTCGGACGTTTCTGACTCCTCCGAGTCCGTCTCGGCGCTGCTCGAAGAATGCTTATTATTAGTGGTATCTTCGTGGCTCTCTTTGGGAACATCTTTGGTAGGAGTTATGCGCTCGGAAAGCGCCTTGCGTTCCTGGTTGACGTCCGTCTTTGAGAGTCCCGTGTCTTTTATACGAGTGATGGATCGCCTGGCGAAAGAAGCGTGTATAATGTCAAGACACAATGCAGACAAACGTATTGCGTTGACAAATAGGAAAAACTAGAGGACTATTTCAGTCAATGTTTCGGTAGCTAACAACCATTATGAACACAACATTAGCACAAATTTGTTGAAGAACAGTTGCAGAGGACTATATATTCAAAGAAATGAACTTTGTCTATGATTGTAAATCCTTTAAAATTTAGTTTAAAGAAAGCATTAAAATTACAATTTAGTTTTTGTTTCGTGCAAAGAGAGTTATTGGAGCAACATCACACTAGCAGTTGAACTTCAATTTTGTAGCCACATGTAAGTATTCCTTATGAAATAAATACGAAACTCGAACTAGCGACAAAGGGGCTATGGAGTGTTTAAATGTGATGTCAAAGCAGCATGAAATTAACAGAAATTCCTTTCACTTTTTGGGATTTTCCCCCAACATGGCGACTGACAAAAATTGGTCAATTGATTATTCAACCTTGTATTTTGAGAACAGAACATTGCTTTCACCAAAATGCAAATGTGAAATTTCTCGCCAAGGCACAAGCTACAAGTGCCATTATTACAAGCTATCACATCTCAGAATGCTAAATTTCATTAGCAAAATCCATGGAATATAATGATTGGATTTTCTACCATATGATCGATATTTAATTATAAAATAAAAACAATAAGCGCGTGCGGTGATTGGTCAATAGCCGTGTTTGCATTCGTCAGAGCAAAATAGATCTGAGCTCAAACAATCAAATCAATCGAAACAATCAATCAGTCAAAATTAAAACGTTTATTTTGAATTTGTCTTTTTGGATTTCTGTTATTTTATAAAAGAAATAAAAGATGTTTTTCGTGTTTGCACTGGCTTACGCAAACCTCGGAGATTTTTGTGAGGACTCTCGACAGTCGGTCTCGGGCTTGCACTGATCTGCTCTTGAGTTCTCCGAAAGGTCTCCTTGGTTTGCATAAGCCTGTGCAAACACAGTAAACATCTTTTATTTCTTAAATGAAACTTTAAAATCAAAATAAAATAACCCAAAAAAGGACATGTTATAAACTCATATTTAAGTAATAACTATGACAAGTTGAACTGTAATATTTTCGGTTTTAAAACTAAAAGTGCCCATGGCATATGATTGTTTATTTTTGTAAATAAAAGATCTCCTAAAAGTGTATAGACTCTCTTTTTAATATTAATGTTCGCGTGCTTACTTCTGGAAATATTGAAGTGTTTGTGATATGTAAATTAGGGAGCGCAAGCTCAGTCGTTTCTCAAACAACACATTCGTTATTTGCATTTATTTTAGCCAAATATAAATATTGCTTTATATTAGGTAGGTAATCAGTTTACATAACACTAAAATAGTTTTGATTAAACACAAGCAGGTTTGTAGAAACACTACAAAGATGTAAATCATGACTTTGAAATATGTTATTTAGGAAACTAAGGAACATACGCTCCCTAATTTACACATCGCTGAAACTTTAATGGTTCCAAAACTAAGCATGCAAACATTGATGTTGAAAAGAAAGTCCATCACAGATTTAAGAGATTGTTTACTTAAAACAATAAGCAATTTCGAGAAATAGGCATTGTAAAGAAACCCGATGTTAATTCTTAGTATTTTCTGCCATTTTAGTTTTAAAACGCGTAGGCCTAAGTTTCGTAGATGAATTCTTTAAATGATCGAAAAACTGTGTTCAACTGCTGGTATAAGCATGCTGCTCGTTTTGCGAAATAAATATGCATACATTAAAGTTTAAATCATCATATTAACCACCCACCATGTAGAAACACATGAAACTACAAAACAACTAACATTGTGCTAGATGTTTGTATATGATGATCGTCCAGGTTAATAAAGTCCTGAGAAGGACTGTTTTTGTTGTTGTTGACTGACGTTTCGACAACCTTAGCGGTAGTCATCTTCAGAGTCAAATGAGGAGTAAACGTCAGGTTAGCCGTATTTGTTGTCTGGTTCTTACGTCATTGTATTGTGTGTACAGGAAATGTGCAGGAAATGTGTATTGTCATTGTGGATTAGTGTGAAGTGAAAAATTTTATTTTTAGTTGTGATGTGTGATTTAGGTGTGACGTTTTTAGTTGTAGTGTGTGGGTGTCAATTGTGTATTGTCATTGTGAATTAGTTTGAAGTGTAGTGTTTTTAGTTGATCGTTTGTTTGTATTGTGAATAAGTCGTTTGTAAGGTGCCGGTAATTGCTGTGATCTGTTCAGGGGGGTTTGTTCCAAGTTGGTATACCAACTTTCTAATGTAAGCCGTTGTCTATAGTCAGTACTGTAAGTGATGCATTTTGCCGAGTCCCAGTCAATGTTGTGCTTTGTGATTCGGTGATGTTCGGCAATGTGATTAGTTTTGTCTTGTTTCTTAGTAGCTCGTTTGTGCTCAGTAAGTCTTACGTTTAAGTTCCTGCCAGTTTCCCCGATATAGGAGGCGTGGCAGTCGGAGCAGTTTATTTTGTAAACTGCACCTTGTCGTTCGTTGGGTTGTTCTTTGTCCTTTATGTTCGTTAGTACTTGTCGTAACGTTGTGATTGGTTTATGTGCGACACGTATGTTGTATGGTCGTAAGATACGAGAGATAGTCTCAGACGTACCTTTGGTGTAAGGTATCGTTGCTGTTGTCACTGAGTTGTTCGTTTCGTTGGGTTCGTTGGGTTTGTAAGTGTTGCGTTTGATAAAGTCAGAGTTATAGTTGTTTTTGTCAAAAACACGTTTGAGATAGTTGTTTTCGTTTTGTAGAGCGTCCGGTGAATCACATATGATTTGTGCACGTCTTGTTAATGTTCTGATTGTGGTAGCTTTGTGTGATGTAGGGTTGTAAGATGATTGGTCTAGTATTCGGTCAGTATGTGTTGGCTTGCGATAAACTGTTGTTCCTAGTTTTTGATTGTCATGTTTTACCAAACAGTCGAGAAAAGGAAGAGTTCCGTTTTCTTCGACATCTTTGGTAAATTGTATGTGGCTGTTCTGTTTGTTGATGTGAGTATGGAAGTCATCAATTTCGTCTGCATGTAGTGCTGTGATTGTGTCATCTACGTAGCGAAACCAAAAAGGTAGTGCATGTTTGTAAGTCATGAGTGCCCGTTCCTCTATAGATTGCATTACAATTTCAGCAACTACAACAGAAACGGGCGAGCCCATTGCTGTCCCATGTAATTGTTTGTAGTGTGTTCCTTTGTATTGGAAGTAAGTCGAGGTGATGCAGAGCTCTAGTAACTCCATAATGTCTTCTGTCGGTAATGGCAGTACGTCCGTGGTGTTTGTAATGAGGGTTTTTGTACAAGTAAGTGCCAGATTAAGTGGAATACTGGTGAACAGTGATTTCACATCAAAAGACACTAGTATATAGTTGTCCGGTATTTGTATAGTGCACAGTTTTTTAATGAAAGTTTCAGTGGATTGTAGCTTGTGTTTTGATTTGTTTGTAAGTGGTTGCAGTATGCGGTTATTAACCTGGACGATCATCATATACAAACATATAACGATACTCCCGGGTTCAAACCATTTACTTTATTGTGCTAGATATTGAAAAAACATAGTTTACTTAATTTATATGATTGAGCTTTAACTTTATTCAACTTCGGTAAAAGATCGTGTCATTCTATTGTTTAACACACGCTATGAAATCATTTTTGGGATAATGAAAAAATTGATAATCAGTTAAAAGGACTGTTATAATAGATGTAGTGGTTTTTATAGTAGAGCAGTAATTTAGCGATCATACAAAGCGAAATAAAAATGAGATAAGCTTTGCGCAGCTTTAGAATTTTGCTTAATTTTATCGTGGAGATAAAAAGTGTTAGTAATATGTCTAACACTATTTGTAATTATTTAATAATACTTAGAAAATTAGAAAATAATCTGAGACAGACAAATAATTTATCATATTTGACATGGTACCCAAATGTTTGTTCATTAGTACGATGTTAATGTTATTAATTTCATTTGACATGGTACCCAGATGTTAGTTCATTAGTACGATGTTAATGTTATTAATTTCATTTGACGTGGTACCCAGATGTTAGTGCATTAGTACGATGTTAGTGTTATTCATTCCATTTGACATGGTATCCTGATGTTAGTTTATTAGTACGATATTAGTATTATTAATTCGTCCCTTAGGCAGAATAGTTCTCATTCAGTATGTACAGTAATTTTCAAACTCACTCTTCAATCACGTTATAGCTTCGATTGGGCGTCATGTCTCTCGTTATTTGTCTAAACATTCATAACTTCTAATAAAACTTCTCAAGAAAACATCGATAAAAAATCAAAGTTTGCCAAGCTAAGGAGTTTTCTGTTTTCTTCAAATGCAATACGTGCATATAAAAACAATAATGAAAAAAATAGTAAAATCTCACAAACACATGATTTACAGTAAAAAAAATTGTACTCCTAAGTTATGAATAGTATAAATATCAAACATTTTCCATTGCATGCAAAGTCATTCATGTTAAAAAAACGAAAACGACGACGACGACCATAAATTTTCACTACGTATATGGCCAATGATTTAGAACCCAATCCTCTAGATGTCTAACTACCGTGTCAAGATGATGCAAGGACGCCATCTTGAATAGTGGCAAAAAGCAAAGATCAAAATAAAAAACAAGCTAAAAGAACGTTTGAAAACCCAATCCTATCAAACAATTTAGAAATTAAACCATACAATATAAACTTTACAACTGTATTTCAACTCGGGAAAAGCAGATATTAATCATAAATATCGTCAGTTTTGCCACCTTTCAAGATGGCGGCTTGCCTCACTCATTAATATACAAAATCGGCGGAGTCAATTATCTAATAGATTGGGTACTAGGACATTAATATATGGCAAACACCCTATAAAAGTCCGCCGCCGAGCATAATGTTAAAAATTATTTCATTAGTTTCCAATCATCAAAGAGAACATTACAATAATATCAAATTTCGCAGTTGTCGTCGTCGTCGTGATACAAGTTTAAGTAAAAATCGCCAATTTCACATGAATAAGACCGGTATCGACCGATAAAATTTTAAATTTAACTCGCTGAGATAAATTTGAAACAATAAATCACACACACCTTCTTGTCAATGGCGGCTGACCACTGTTGATGTTTTTCATTGGTGTTATTGACGCCTATAAGAAAAAGAACAATAAGAAAGACAAACATAACTACTCTGGACGGAATAGCGCAAAGGTGTTTCTAGGCAATCTGAAAAACGTGTATTCAGTCTGGTGTGGTTACATCCCCAAAACTGCCGTAATGGAAATCTTAGAAACATTCTACTGCGCCTGTAGCCACAGTATAAGAACAAACAGTAGTTCCACTATATAGAAATTGTTTGTGTAGCGCATATCTTAGTAAGAATGTGATTAGCATAGTGGCAGCCATTAAATTGTATTTTGACCAATAGGAGCGCTGAGGTGGCTCACCGCAGCCAGTAATCTAATTAAATACACAGCACTAGGTTGCACAAAGGAATGAGACTACTGTTTGTTTCTATACTGTGCCTGTAGCTATACTTCATACAAGTAGAAATTTCAGCCTGGTTTAAAGCAGGTAAATTTCTCACTTTAACAATAGTATCTTTAAAGTTAGCCACATTCTAAGCAAATCCTAACAGAAATAAAGGTCGGGTTAAAAAATTTACAGTCTCCCTTGCACACGGGCTTTCTAATCTAAAGCAGACGGGAGTGGATTTTTCAAGATTTAATACTGAAACAATAAAAGCTAAGGCATACACATAATAATACAGTATTGATACATAATACATTACTAAAAACAATACCAAACACTAAAAACTAAACAATAAAAGCTATTTGTACATTAAATATTTCAAGAAAATGGCGGATAACAAAGATAAAAAGTTGCAATAACATTGAACGAGACATTTTAGATTGAACTAATGACAGCCACTTTCTCATTAAACTTACATATTTTATAAGTGAAACAACAACTAACGCAAAAGGCAAAACACTCAATGCAAAAATATTCCAATCAGTTATCAAAGAAATGGAAATAAATAGCCAACGTGAACATTCCTTATGACATAGCAAACTCTTTGAGCGTACGATAAGATCATCCAAAAAAATGCAGATTTCATAATCGATGTGAAGCTAACGGGGTAAACATTCAAAGCATGTATTGGAGCGGCTGAGATGATCATCCGATAATGTAAACAATTGCCCAAGTATCAACCAGACCAATTATCATATTAACTAGCATGCAAATTCACATATAAAAAAAGTGCAATGCATACGTTAATTTTGGGTTTCTCCATTTGTTTTTTCTTCAACTCTTCCAAATATTTCTCGATTTCTGGCTCAGCAATATCGATTGGAGTCAAACCCTGGAAAGGAAAAGACACTACAGCGTGTGTCGAAAAAGTAAACGACTTTCAAAAGTCAAAACCTTTATATTCAACAAAATATTTAGCAGACGCAAACGTATGCTTCTACATTGTAAGGCAAGCGCCACTTCCGGGAAAATGACGCGATTTAATTGGCTCGAATCAAGTACGAATGTGAGTCAAAAGAAAGACACTAGGAAATTGAGTTTCATTATTCAAACGACACAATTTCAAACAAGTTATTATTTACAAACGAAAACGAGAGAAGTGAAAGCCACCCAGTACAAAACAGCGAGGAAGAGAAAACAAAGAGAGCTTCGTTTAAGGTCAAAAGAACCTTAAAAACCTCGCTTTCTCGTTCTTTACAGGACTTAGTCTGTACATAAAAACTTCTGTCCTATAAAGACCTCGCGTGCTTGGCTAATAAGATCTTATTAATCCCGTCTTTAACTTCACTCGCGCTATAGCCACCACGAAAAACGAAAGAGAAGAACAAAAAACAAAATACTTTCGATGTGGGTCAAGCCTTTGTCGAACGTGATTCACGATATTCAACGATCAGTCAGTGACCACATACATATACCAAACTATGTTTAGGGGAGATCACGCATCCAAACAATCCCCTTGGGAGAAATGTCAAAAATCAAAAAAGCTTTTTGCATTCCCAAAACTTTTTTAGCCAATTCAATGCTATGTTTTAGCGAACCGTGGATGTTTACCAATTTATCTATAAAGAACGGATTTGTTTTTTAAAAAAAATCATGGGCATGCTGACTAAAGCATTGTGTACTTTACGTACATAACAAGCTAAACATACGAGTGAGTAGCACAATTGTGAAAATACGCACTAAAATACAATTCACAATCACAAGAAAACAACATATACACTTATGTTGTGATTCCTCAAAGTAAAATCAGCACCGTAATCATCACAACCACAAGAAAACAACATATACTTACCACGTGGTTCCTGAGGGTAAAATCAGCACCGTAATCAGCCAATAATTTGCACGATTCCTTCTGTCCCCAGTGAGCAGCAGCGTGCAGTGGAGTCCATTTATCAAAATCTTTTGCATTGGGATCAGCACCAGCTTGCAATAAAAGACTATACAAACAGTAAAAACACACTTAAGCTCCGGCAAGACTCCGCCTTATCATAAACAAATGTTGAATCACGTGTATTTATTTCATAAAAAAAATTTCCACGAATAATCGGACCACCGCGCTGTATGATCATATTGGTTTGTCGATAACAGCGTTCACAGTACCACAGAAAAGGTACTCACATATTTTCGTGTCAACAATGAATAAAAAAAGAAGTTAATCTGAAACTAGAATAATTGATCATGAACAGGATTTAAAAATTTTGTATGAATCGATAATGATTAAAATGGCTTATTTGTATCATAAAGCAACTAACTTACTTCCTAAACTGCACGATAGTCTGCATCGAAAAATAAGACGGAAAAATATTTAACTCTCAATCAAATTTACAATATGAATGGAAGTAATACACAATGTTTCCAAATTCGCATCGCCAAATTTTTAAAATTTCATAATTTGTTTCAAACAAACATTGCAATTCGCCAAAACCTAGGACACTTATTCTACTTTGGCCGATGGGTTGGTTACATTCCGATTTTGTTTTGTAGGGGAAATTTTTCATTCCACCTGTTTTAATAACGACATCGTGCATGTTCGCGCGTGCGTGGGCGATATTACAACATTAATGATGAAACATCAAACATTGTAGGCAGGGGTGTGGGGGAAGTGTGAAACACCCCTCCCCCCTCAGGCTTTTGTAAAATATAAGAATTCGTTCAAAAACTGATAAGATAAAACAGTCAGACCGGAGTCCAAGAAAATTCGTCCATCCCAAAATTTGTCCAGCTCCCTCTTTGGAAACTTGGTCCCCCTGACAAACTTTTACTTTTATCACAACAATTCGGAAACTTTTTCCAAAACTAAGATCCCAGGACATCTAGGTTATTACAACTTATTTTGAGCAATAAATTTAGTGACATATTGTCAAAGCAGTGGGTATAACTATCGCACTATGACAATGACATTATGCGTTGGCGGAATGCTACTATTCACACGTCGAACAAAGAGCATGCAGTGATAAAACTAATGATTCAAAAAAACACATCGCAACTGACGATAAAACACTAAGGTAAGAATAACTTACACGTTTCACACCAAAACATTCAACAAATACAAAAAAAACGTATCACAAAAACATTAAGCAAACGCAAGAAAATCTGCCAGCGTTGCAAACAGACGTGTCTAGCAAAGGGAAAAATTCCGAAGAAATCGCAGCGTACATAGCTATACAAACTCCATTGTATTTGTACACATTTCCTGTGACACAGACTAAATTTGAGGACATTTCTGTTAAATAAAGATACTGTTAAATAAAGACACAAAAAGTCAGTCCAACAACAGCAAACAAATAAAACTCAATCGGAAATGCGCATACAACCAAGAACAGGAAACAAATAAAACCGAACCGGGAATGTGCATACAACCAACAACAGCAAAGAGTGTGAACTGGCATAACTGTTGTAGTGATTTCTTCATTTTAGTTTTTTAACAATTTCAAACAAGTACATTTAAATCAAGACCAACAACAAGAAGAAATCCAAATTGTGTAGGTACGGACGACATATTTAAATGCGAGAGCATTTAAAAAAAATAAATAAATGTATCTTGCTAAATACTTTTTACAAGACTACAAAAATAAGAAAATCAAAAACATTACGCAGTCAATTTTATTTTAAAAGACCGAAGTCATTAAAGTCATTTGCAGTCGATTTTCTATAATATTTCCACGTAATCTGACGAATATCATTTAAAAGTTGAAATTTTAGCCGCGAAATTCGTACGTTACTGAATCAAATGGTATCACAAAAGTACATTTCGATAAGATGATAAAAGAACCTTACAACAAACATTATAAACGTTGAACGTCCATCGAAACATATTGAGGAAGAAGAAACATGAAATCGAAAATAAGAGGACAGAGTGATAAACAGACTTCACTATATGGCGAGCGTTACCTCCAGCAAAATGGCGCGCTTTGATTGGCTGACAAACATTTTCGCCGGTCCATTATTTTCCGTAATGGACCAGGGTCCAGAACGCGTAATTTTACAGTCAAATGTAAACAAACATCGTAAAGCAAACAGCGAAACGCAAAATAAAACGAAACAAAAAAATCATTTACGAATGTGACTCGAAAAAAAAAAAACTCGGAAAACAGTTATCCAGACGATAAAATTTAAAACGATTTGTTTTTACTGACGAAAACTAGAAAAGTGAAAGCCAACCAGTAAAAAACAGCAAGGACGAGAAGGAAGCAAGCTTCGTTTCAGGTGAAATAATGCCATACAATAAACCTTTTAATAACCTCGCTTTCTCGGTCTTTACTGAGAAATATCGGACCTGTTTTTTTTTTTTGTACAAACCTCTGACAACGGCTCAGTCTGTACAAAAAAACTTCGTCCGATTTTCCTCCGTAAAGACCTCGAGCTCGATTAATAACAGCTTATTGATTGCTATTTGAGTGGATAATTAGGCTAATAATTGTAATACTGCCACACTTACCTAACAACTTTTTTATATTCCTTGGCGGCAGCAATATGCAATGGCGTCGCACCTGGTGAAACAGAATTCAGATTACCTTAGAAATGCATTTTTCCACGAATTAGGGAAATTAAACTCAATTATAAGTGTATTTCTAAAGTTTGAATGCCACATATTCGAAATACCAAAACGTTCTAATTCACAAGTAGTCAGCTAACGCAGTAAAGTTGAGCGCATTAAGTCTTGGTTCCACAGACTTAAAATCTCCTAATGATTTTGTGACAGCTGATGATGAATTAAGACTTCATAGACGTGTAACTAAGTAGTCCGCAAATTTGGTGGTTTTATGCAAAATTTTCTGTGTTCTATAACTGCAACAAATGAGTCGCTGTAAAGATCTGGAATTCGCATAGCAGGAGTAATCTTGGCAGGTGGTTATGCCACTGCCAGAACCATATTTTTATATCGAATAACTTGTGTACGTAATATCCACTGCAAAAAAAAAGCATGCTAAAATTGGCATTTTCTAGTATCAAGTTACAAGACAGATTGAAGATTTGAGATTTGAAAAAGTTTAGGGAGATGAGTCCACATCAAAAGAAACACATGAGTAACAAAACACAAGGGTTGTACTCAAACTAGCTAAATTGTATATTTGAAAAATAAAAAAGGCTTAGCTTTTACAAGCAAATAACAGAATAACCTAGGTACATCTTGAAAAATTTACAGGTAACCATAAACTTACCAGTTGTAGGATCTTGGCCTGCATCAATATGCCCCTTGTTCAACCAGGATTGTGCATGCTCTTCCATGATCCTTTCTTCTTCAGCACGAGCAACTTTTACATCAATGTCTAAAAGTTCAATCTGTCATCAAATCATGAATCATGAATAAATCACAGTTGGAAAGTCAATCTTAAAGGAACCATTTGCATAAACCTTACATTTTTAACACCAAGGTTAAGGATAAATTTGTGATGCTATTTTAGCTGACACATAGACACATTCAATGACTTAATTTTCAATGCAAAATATTAGTTTCTAAAACAGCTATGGTCCAATACCATGGGAAAATGGGAAATCCATAGAATTCAAGAACTGGCAAATAATCAACAGAGACCCTATTTAACACTCTGTGAATAATAATATACTTTTCAAGTTAGATGTTTCAGATTGTTGTAAAGATCCTGCATTTGAAAAAAAGACAGATTTTTTGAAATATTTGACTCTCCAATTTGTAGCAAAACAAATCACTTGTACGTATGTATAGCTGAACTGAGTTTTTCTGGGCAATGTTGCAACTCTGTACACTACCTTTAGTGGCTATACTACCCGATCGACACTGAAGTTCATACTCCCTTACTTTGCCTTATGTCGCTACCCCTAAAACTTTTAGCCCCACCCTCGTAAAAAATATGACAATTTGTCCATGTAGTTAATATTACATGTACTAGGTGACATACTAGCTTTACGCAGTTGATTTTGTAAATACTCTTCCATCTCATCTTCTTCAGAAAGATCAAGAGGAAGTTCTCCTTCATTGTTGACAGCCGCAATATCCGCTCCATGCTCAATCAGAAATCTGTAAAACAACAATTTGCATTTCATGACTGAACTCAAATCTTTGCCAAATTTAATGGTTCATTCCTTGCATCAAAATGCAACAAAAAATACCATTTGCTGATAAAACTTAGAATTCCTCTTTCTTATGAAGAAAAAACCTCATTCAAGAATAATTTTGCAGACGTGAAGCTAACATTGATTTGACATTTTTATTCAACTGGGCTGTTTGCTAATTAAGACAACTTGACTATATGCTCAATGATACATGAACAATTGTTCGAGGCAAAAATATGCAAGCAACAAATATGGGCAATTTACTATAATAAGCATGACTATTTATTTTCCGCTACAACAGTATCCAAAACTTTTCCAGGACTTTTCACATTTATATGATAGTGTATTAATTACAGATAACAAAAAATATTCATCGAGACATAAAACTACCATCCTTCATATTCATAGGTTGAAACATTGGCAGGTAACTTCAAATATTGGCAAATATAAATTGGAAAATGCAGCTTTGCACAGCAAACTAAATATTAGATCGATGATTGTGACTTTGATTTATCAATTCAGCAATAAAAATGATATATGAATATCTAATCCCTTAATTCGGTTAAATCTACAAAACAATCCCATTCAATCACAAAATGCCTAAAGATAGCTGCAATGACAACCTGCTGAATCAAATTGCTGATGAGCAGTTTGATCTGTTTTGTCATTTCATCAAGCCTCTTCCTCTTCATTTTATAGTTCCGACATAAATGAATAAAACAAACAAAGCATAACTGACAAACTAGCTGATGTTCACATGCTCGGTTAAGTCCAGTGAAGCAACAGCTCAGGATCATTTTCAGATTAATTCTTCAAAAGATTTTCAAAAGATAACTTTTCACAATATGGGTAGAAATTTCCGCCGTAGCTTGGTTACCAAAAAGGGGCAAACAAAACAGCCACACACAGTACGTGTAACGATTACTACAATTAAAAAAGAAACGCAATTGCAGCAGAAATTCAAAACGCCATTATCCTCTAACATAAACGAAGGACGGAAAAAATAGCCAAGAGCCCACACTCCGAAGTTGTTTTGTAATGCGATACAACAACGTTTATATGCCCGAATGTCGACGAATACGCGCTCTTCTAAAGGAAACTCGCATCAAAACCTCTCGATTGCATGCATCTCACAAATTAACCGTGTCTAATTCAAACAAATATAGGATACTCGGAATTTAATTATATATCTGCAACATTGTTGTCGATCACAAACAAATGCTATATATAGGAGAGCAAAGTGTATTCTCGCGCGCATATTATGGTATTCAAGCTTGCAACACCATCAATTTGTATCATTCCTTACAAAACTACAAAAGTATAATAGCCTGCTACACTTACTCAGTGATTTGAATGTTTCCCGAACTCGCCGCTGCATGTAATGCGGTCCAACCTTCGTTATCACGAACTTCAAGATCAGCTTTATTTTGCACCAGCAATTCGACTAAATCGTAATTCTCGTCCACACACGCCTAAAAAGAATTGTTCAATATATGATCAGAGCAAGCGAGAGAAGAACTCGTTGCGTGGAAGCTCTGGCATGCAATTACAACTAGCCTAACTTAAGTATACAATGAAAATGTACATGTAAAGATGAGTGTGTATTATTATTATTTTCTCCAAAGCAAATTTTTCTATTTTTTTATTCGAAATGCCCTTTAGCTAAGACGAGTTTAATAATTTTCCAATATAATGCAATAGTCAAGAATAAAGACATTTACGACCACAGCAAAGAAGAAGTTTAGGCGAGAACAGCATAGTGTAATGTAAATATTTTAAATATCGTTGCCTCTCCAACTTCTGTCATATGGCGTAAAATACGGCCGTATATCGACTAAAATATTTCTCCAAGTGAGCTACTCGCAACGATGGTCAATTCTCTATATGAGTATCTTCTTTGCTGTGGGTGTAACACTGACGAGACATTCGCATAAAACAACTTTCCAACAAGCAGTTTTTATTGTATTGAAATACATCTCGTGGGCCATGACAATTTCATATGTCAAATCCGCGTCGTCTGTGGACGTTTCTAGCCTTGCTAAGGCTATTTTTGCTTAAAGTATATGAGATAAACCTTCGTCTTCATGACAAAGTGTGCTCCCACCTGATGTAACGCAGTAAGACCGTCGCTATTTTGATAGTTTACGTCCGAACCCTTTTGCAGTAGTTTCTTGACTTCTTCCAAGTCGCCGGCAGAAGCGGCCGATAAGAACACCGTACCATCGTCGAAATTCACTATATTTCGTTTCGTAGGCTTGTACACAGGTTCCCGAGCTGTTTCGCTCTGATTCCAACGCTGTAGTTGCTCTTGTCGTTTTAAAAAAGCCGAAGTCACTCTCGGAGTTTCATTTCCACCAGTATCCGCCATTTTCCCATAATGACGTGCCGAGCTGATCTGAGCTGCCCACGTTCACGTGACCTTTGTAAGATATGCTATTGGTCTAACTAAGCAACCTAGTGAGTATGATTCGTCAACAGCGACATTACGACAACTCTGAACTTCCCAACAGCATTTTTTGCAGGAAAATTTGTCTATCATAAATCATAATAAAATACAAACAGAAAACAGCGATATAAAGCGTTGGAAGATTATTAATGACTGTAGAATATTGATAATAATTGAATGATCCTACATTTCATTGCAGCGTTTTCTCCAGTATATGCAAACGAAATTTTAACTGCAACATTACCAATTTCACTTCACCTTTTGCACTGTTTAGTGTAAATCATCCGTTAGGCCTCAAGACGTTTCGCTCAATAGGAAGCACTGAAAATTGAGAAAATTGATAGCAGTGCAAAAATGTCTTTTACGACTAAGCTGCTCCTCCAACTTAATATTGAAATATTAAGACCCAAAAGAAAAATTCACTGGTTGGCAAAAATTACTGATGACTTTTAAGAGCTATGTCTATAACTCCACAAGGAAACTTTATTAGAAAATTTTCAACTACATGTCGCAATTTAAAATCCTAGACTAAGTTTCGTAAATAAAGAATAATAGAAAACTGACGTTTTCATATTTATCATACGTTTCCAATGTAACCTAATACAATAATTGAACGGAAAGCACTTCTAGTTCCTGAACCTTCCAGAATTTTCCTACGAACATGACATAACTTGCCTATATTGATGTACTCTTAAAGCTTGTTATCAATGTGTCATTATCACTGAAGGGTATTGTAAATCTATTTGGGCGTTGAGATGGAAAATCGTTGGGAATTTCCAAGCAAGGTGTTAGCATCGGATGTGAAAAATTTTCAATACTTGGAATGACGGCATACGAAGTGCACATCACCAAACGCAAAAAAGGCTCATCGTTTGAGGTTCATTTCATATGTAGGCCAGTGGCGTCACCATGGAGAAATTGAGGGGGTTGGGTCCCCGGCCTCTGTTATTCCAAAGACCAATTTTGAGATTGAAGAAGGAAAGGAAATAAAACCAACTTCAAACAGCAGTAAGAAAGTTTACTTTCTGTAAGCGTGTACATAGCGAATTATATATACTAAATACCAATCTTGAAGCATTGTTGTCTGTATGATTGTCTTGAATACACTTGTTGACAAATGTAACAGAATTCTGCCCATTCTAGAAGTGTGTGGCTGCTAGATTATTATAAATCCTGTCTGTAAGAAATAGCGTTTGAGAGAACATAAAGTCAAACATTTTGTCAAGTGTGCGCATGCCTCTGTACCCCAATTGTAGTCTCGCATATTTGACGATTGCCTTGTCCCCTTTGGTCCGAACAACCTGGTGAAGTCATCCATGTAGCTTGTGCTGTTGGCTTCCTCTCATTCTATCATTGCTGTTGCAAGAAACAAAATTAAACAGTCACAACCGCTGCATAGACTGGAACATACTTTACTTGTGGGACGCTGAATTTTATTCTTGGAATTGTTTTTTCATGGAAGAGGGGAAGCATGTTGCGCCGGCTCATCTGCTTCCCAGGACTAACACAACAAAATTACGACATATGACACATCTGCAATGTTTGCCAAATTATACATGTGCCAAAGCTAAAAAAATTGAACAGGGATAGCGACATATGTGGTTGGTTTCTACAAGCGATTTGTATAAGCCTAAATTTTAGCTTCTTATTGAAAATAGTTTTCGCTCAACGCGAACAACACTACGGGGCTACTTAACTTTTATCAATCATTACTTGCGGAGAATTTCTTCAGACTATTTAAGGAAATGCTTTGCAAAAATGCGCTGGTAATTATTTTTCCAAATTACAAAGATATGGTTACACTTGTCACTTCCTTCATTTTAACTTAACATATGAGATAATTTGTGTTTCAAATTGAAAGAAAAGGCTTCTTGTCGCTGTATCACATGTAGCTGTCAGTCATATCAATTAACGAATTTAAGTATTGCATTGAATTTTATCCATCCGATGGCATTATGCGTGTTCTCTTCGTAGCTTTTCGCTTTTATTGATGTAGTGAGTCTACTGACAAATAAAGTAAACAAAAATACATTTGAGTTTTGAGCAAACACCGACAATGCAATGCCAACTTATTTGTGACAAACATGCGCACTGACATCTGCAAAGTGGGATGGAGGAAAGTCAGAACAAATCAACTGTAATATACATAACAATTTGAATATGATAGTGCATGGAGCAAGAGCATTTGCTGAGAAGAGTATGTGTGTATGTCTAGAGGAAAATGCAAATCTAACCTGCTGCCAGACTATCTCCGTCTTTATATTTTTTGAACATTGAACAATTTCTCGTTCCAAGTATCAAATGTCGATGTTGGTATAGACATATATTTTGGATCGCAGCTAGAGTTGCACTGCTCTTGGCTTGTAGAATCTTCGTTCCCGGCGTTCTCATCCATGATCATTGTTGACGAACCGAGTTTATGAGTGCGAAAATTAATTTTGAAACTTGTGTTTTGATTAAGAATTCATAAGCTTCATTCTTTATATTAGGGGTCTCCAAACTTTACAGACAGAGGGCCACATGAACTTTCATCCAGCATGTTGAGGGCCGAAGAATATAAAAAATTTCCACGTTGTCCTCAAGCTTTTTAAATTTCGCAATGTGCTTGAAACGGAAGTAGGAAGTTGGGAGAAAAATTGACGTAAGCCACTCTTGCTAGTTGGCTTGCGACATAACGTGAACTTTCTGCACAAAGTTTATTTTGTTTAATAATATTATTTTTTTTCTTAAGTGCCTCTGCGGGCCGGATTGAGAGAAAAATTGTTGTTTGTAAACTAATAGTTTCGCAGCCTACATTGTAAACTAATAGTTTACAATGCAGGCTGCGAAACTTTTATACAATCATTTACAAGCGCAAGTGACAGTTACGTAATTAGAGAACAAAAAGACTCAACAATAAGGCAGTATACTTATATTTAAAATAGAGATAATTTCTTACAAGTGGTCTCAAAGCTATACAAGAAATTATCTCTATTTTCATGAAACTAGCAAGAAACTATTAGTCTGATAATGTCTTTGGAATAAAGACGAAATATTACAACATCTTTTGTTTCAAACTCTTGTATTATCTTGAATATCAAGAAAACGAGATCTCCGTCTTCGGAATTTGTTTTATTTTGTTTTACTGTTGAGGACTGGTAACGAAGTACGTCAAAAGAACTTCTATACAAACCAAGTATTCAATCTCGGATCCGAGCTGAGACATAACGTTGCAATGAATCTCGGTATTCATAATTATACAATATATTTCAGTATGAGGCTTTTTCGTTTTCAACATACTTGATAAAGGGTTGTTTTATTGCTACCGTTCATTTGTTTTATATCAATCTCGTATTATGTAGCTTGTCAATGCTGTTAATAATAGTACTTCGTTCCTTTTCGTCTAATTGTAGCTATACTAAAAGATTTTTGATCTTAAAAGTTGATGAGTAGACACGTAATTAAGTATTTCTTACGATTTATGACTTCATACTATTAAGGATTGACATTCCTCGGCCATTTTGAATACGCAGATTGAAAGAGTTTTACTGATTATGAATGACAATGCCGCAAATATGTCATCGAATAGATGTCCATTCACAGAAAATTTTCAGACGATCAGCGAATGCTTTTGCATGACGTTCCTAAATTCAAATTAACTGGGCGGTAGAATTAACCGGAGTTGATTGCAACCGAGTTTGTCTAAAATAATTTCTATTATATATAAATGCATCGTTAGCAACTTCGTTAATTGAATTAATGAAAAATTATGAGAAATTATTCAGTAAATCTAAATGAGTGATTTTAACTATGCAGTTTATAAAGTGCGTAATCAGCTCGATTCTCTTCGTGTTCTTAGCAGGTTTTGTTGTTAATGTTTAGGCTTTGTCTTTACAATAAATATTTCTCTTTTGAAAATGTTCATCAAATACAACTCAACTTTGCAAATACTTTACAATTCGTCTTTTTTTCGAACGTGCCTATTTCTACTTTCCGCTTTCACAGAGAGCAATTATCTTTAAGAACCCTGTTGCTACGTGTGCATTCTATTTCCCAGATATCGATGACAATTTTGACAATCCTAAAAAGAAAAAACGGGTTTGCTGGCATCGTGAATTTCCAAACTAGCATTTTTTGTACAATAATATGGTAAGTAGCTGACAACAAAAAAATTCCAAACTGCGATTCAATGCTTATTGGTACCTCTGCACGCTGGTCATTGTCTTGTTCAAATACAAACAACACATTATATAAACAAATATAATTAAGAGTTTTTTTACGGACACGCGTATGAGTACCACAGAAAGTCATTGAAAAACCTATTTTTTGAGAACTAAGATATCAGAGGTTCGTTGCAGTTTGGAGTTTACTGTTTGAAAACAATTTAAACGACCAAAATCGCCGAAATACTTTCATGCTTGACATCTTTCGTACGCTCCTATAACAATTCAGTAGCTTTCAAAACCATAACAAAAAGAGGGAATGTTGATTTTCAAAAAATTTTGACTTAGTATGATAATAGGACATTATTCTGGGAAGATTATAAACATCTAAGGCAACTGCATGAACATGAAGAAAAGTAATTAATTACCTCGACAAACAAACGCGTTACAAATTTGGCGTTCTTCTAAATTAGGACATCGACGGCCTCTCCTGGATGGGGCCTTTATCATCTCACGAGTGCGTATTCTTATTCCATGTCCACATGTTTTACTGCACAATCCCCAACCAGACCATTCTGATACTTTACAGTGAACGACTATGAGGAACAAATTACCTTTTTATCAACTTAAACACCCAAAAAATAGGTGTGGGTCATGCATGTGTCATATATTGTATGATTGAAATTGCATGTTATGCATAAGAATTTTATTGAGAAATCTCATAAATTTTATTTGAAATTAATGAGATCAACAGAGTCTATAATTGGCTGTTACTAGAGTTTTCATAAAGAAAAACCAATAGCAGTATATTCCCGCTTAAGCAAATGCTGCATAACTCAGTGTATGTCTAGTTTTTTGCTGTCAAAGTTTAAATTTCTTAATTTTTCAACGATAACGTTATTTTTAGCTAAAAAAACTTTGTGTAAATGAGTACATCAGAAGATGATCGTGAGAAAAAGACAGTGACCAATCAAGAAATACATTATCTAAGATTTATTGTCGCTTCACACATGCGTACTTGATTAAAGAGGGTCACCTTACACGAAACACGAACTTACCAGGACATCGTTTTGGTATTCTACATTTAGCTCTGGTTTTCAAAGGAGGGCATTTTTTCCCGTCATTTTTTGGTGGAACTAAAACCTTTCTGGATCTGGTACGTTTCTCTTTACCACAGATCTTAGTACATTTACTCCATGTGGACCATTTGCTTACTTTACAATCAATATCTACAAAAGAATTTGAAAGATATCGTGCAGTTTTTTCTCCAGTGACAAAAAATCTCAAGTCTTAAGCTGACGAAAACATAAAATCAACTTATTTTGATAAATTTAGTTTTTGGTAAGACTGTTCTTTTTTGTGTTTTACAACCTACAGCTAGCCCTGTTAACAAAAAGTTCAAACAAAAAAATACTCAAATCGTACATTTAGAAAAACTAGTAGTTGGCCAAGAATAATGTTGTGCAACGAAACCTCCCGAAACAAAATTCGTTTCTCAGTTGTAACATTCTGGAATTTAGCTACAATCAAAAATAACACTTCATGTTGATGTTTTATGATTTTTGCACATTTACGTCCATTCGTAGCTGATGTTGGAGGGAGTAAGTTCTTATAAACATTTCGTGCCTGTATTCTAAAAGCTCGCTTGCAGTCACACTCGTTGAGCTCCACACAAAAAGTCTCCTTCTTCCTTAATCAATGGCAAATTCATTTTTTCTTTAATTGCAAGATAGATTTTTGAAATATTTCAAATCAAAGATTCGGTGGACTGAAAATAAGCGTTTACAAATGTAACCCTCCACGATGAGTGTGAGTGACCTTTCAGATCACGGGCGTTTCTCTCGTTGAGCCAAGGCGTCTGTTTGTCTCAAAATTCATACAAAGCAGGGGCTACACGAGCAATTTTTTTACGTGATTTTTCGAAAATGTCAACAAACGGTGAAAATCTTTCGTGTAGTCACCGTCAATCGCGCGATCCGACGACCGGAAAAAATCGTCAAAGTTGATAGAGAATATTTCAAAAAAGTTGAATGTTTTTCGACAAGTCGACCCGATCTTATCTAGTGTAGCCGCCTCGACTGATGAACGCGACACGAAAAAACTACTTTTGGCCAATCGAGACACAAGATTGGAATTTATGTTTACTGATATACTTTGCCAAACTGTTCGTCGATATAAAATTTTTCCTACGTGTAGCCATCATCTATGTTTGATAATTTTTAAAAAATCGTGTCAAAAAAATCATTTGTGTAATCACGGCTTAATACTTACTTGTGCAGTTTCGTCCTCTGCAAGATTTAGAACGGGTTAATTTGGGACATGCTCTTCCTCTATTTTGGGGGTTTTGTATAATACGTCGAGTACGCGTCTTTTTGCCACGCCCACACATCATCGAGCACGGTGTCCATGACGACCATCGCGATACCAAACAGGGTACATCTAAAAGAGAATCGAGTAAACAAGACAAGGCCCTCGCACATTTCCTATTAAAGATCTTTACATTGAAGCCATGGAGCAAGAGCAGCAGCCCTATATTTTTTTCATGCCAAATTGCAAACTAATGTATAGGCTGCTGTTGCCATTGCCGGGAGTAGGTGAGAGAAATGGTGAACAAGATTTGCTTGTGAAATAATCTGGAAATTAAATAGCACATATGCTATTACATAGCACACATGCAATATATGTTTGTAAATGATGATCGTCCAGGTTAATAAAGTCCTGAGAAGGACTGTTTTTGTTGTTGTTGACTGACGTTTCGACAACCTTAGCGGTAGTCATCTTCAGAGTCAAATGGACGATCATCATTTACAAACATACAACGATACTCCTGGGTTCAAACCATTTACACATGCAATATCTTGCATAAATTAGTCGTATAACAGTCAGATAAAATTTTAAATATTTTATTATGCATTGGTATACTTCCAAACACAAAAATGTTCGATACACTCATAGAAGCCCAAATGGTGTGAATAGGAGATACTTTATTGGCAGTAAATCATCGGCTTTATCCTATCAGAGCAGTCTTAATGGACAAAGTACGACGTCACAAACACTTCGAATCAAATGGCACGGTATTTCAAAGAATGAATGCAGTATCGATTTTACCCGACAAAATGTGTGATTTAATTTTGTGCATGACATCGCTAGCAAAATCGCTGTTTAATTTTGTCTAAAATTTAGTAAGAAATATCCAAACAATAAAATGCTCCTAAAACAATTTCTCGCCCGACGAGTTACTAAGTTTTTCGTAACAAAACTGCTGATAAATTTTACACCCCGTCTGGAATTGCACCCTGACACCCTTAAGATCTTATGATAAGGCTGCACTAACATAAAATGCAATTTTCCATTTGAATAAGATATCAACATTCACAAATTTGTTTGAAATTTTTCAATCATAAAATAAAATGTTTGAAAGCATTTGATAATTAAGAAATAGTAACATTTTTCAAGCTTTTATACAGTTATAAAAACACGCAGAAAAGTTTGAGAGAAACGGGAAATTGCATGGCAATCACAAGCAGGATGTACTGCGAGTGTTTTCAAGCAATTTCGAGTTTAAGAGTTATTGTTCCAGTTGTTATTATAGTTCACTGGTCGTAATAACAGATTGTTTTTGTTTTTGCCATTAAAATGCTCGCGAAACCAAGCAACCTGCGAGACTGAAGTCTCGAGAAATATAGAGTTGATGGTTTTTTCGAGTATTTGACCAATCAGCGCCAGAGTTTTTGAAAAGTTTATTTATAACGTAAGATATTATTAGCAAAATCGTTCTTTACATAAGACTTTATCTAAAATTTGGAAAGAAGTAATTATTAAATATCCACATAATGAAATTCTCCTGAAACAAATTCTCGCCCGACGATTTAATAAGTTTTGCCGTACAAAACTGCTTGCTGATAAATTCCAATACCTCACTGCTTTTCAGCCAATCAGATTACAGTATTTACAGTGCAATTACACATTTTCACAGTGCGATTACAGATAAACTGCACTGCATTCTAGCAATTACAGTCGATTAATATGTCAAAGCATATTGTTATATATCAGATTTACCTGGGTCAGTGTTACGGGAGCATCTTTTCTTCTTAGTGTGAATTAGATCTATCTTGAACTCGGCCATTGGAGGTATATGTACACGTTGTTCGTCAAAAAAGGACGAAGAAGGATGATTAGGGACGTTTGGTGTTATTTTGTAGATATCTTGTGCAGGCTTGCTGAGAATATTTTTAGACTTGAACTTCAGACCACTGTCTGTACCTAGAACAAAACAAATTCCAATTTATTTTAAAAGACTGGGTTTCCTTATGACATATTGACAATACACATAACTGAAAGTTAAAGAATGTGTTTCAACCAAGATCCATTGCGCTTTAATCACAGCGTGATGAACAGTGACGGCCATTTTGTGGGCGAGAAAATGGCAGATTTGCCATTGAAATCCATTGGACAAACGATAATGATTATTATGAAATAGATTTTTTAACCAATGTTTTTTTGCTAAATTTTCAGATAAATTAAACAACATAGTGACGAAATGGAACTCATTGTGCAACGAGCTAATATAGTAACGATGTAAACATAACCAAAAGCGCGCAATTTGTCTTGGTTGAAACACATTCTTTAAACTTAGTTTATTACAATCAATGACTACAATACGTTTAGCCATGAAACGTATGGTAGTCATTGCAAAATGACTCGACCTTTCATGTAAAATTCAATATTTTCACATGGAAAAAGAAGTCGACCATTTGACAATATGCAAACTTCGACAAACTACTGGCACGGCTTGTTTTGCTTTCAACTTGTTCCCGAATTCATTACAATATACAGTGTTAATCATAAAGAAGAACTTTAGACATTGAAGCGTATTGTAATAATTTCAATGCCTATCACTTTACTAAGCTCACACGTGCACAAAGTAGTAGCAGATATGTGAATAAATTACTTTTGTTTGTCACGAGCACAAAAGCTTTCCACTCCTGGAAATATGACATAACTTCTCACAAAAAAACATAATGCACAACAATGCACAATTGAAATTTCGCAATAAGATTGAGACTTGCTAATTTCCCGAGATCTTCTTTTATTTATACACCCTGTATATTGCTTATGATCAAGACTGCGCTGTTCCATTGACTTGTTGCCAGCAAATTCATTTACACGAAATGTATGTTATGCAATGGCAATCCTCTAAACACTTCATCTGTTTGAGCACAAGTTGTTTGTCATGTGACAGGAACGGCAACTAATACATGTTTTGTTGCAAATATTCAACAACCATTGTATAAGTTTCTTATTATGATTTTATACTGAGATTGACTGTCCGTTACTTATTTTGATTATAGTGGCGAAGGCTAAAAAGAGGGTGCAAATCAACGCCATTTCGTTTGCTGTGAGGAGATTGCTATAGAAGAATGAATAGAGAATGTGCGTTGAGTTGTAGAATCGTGGAAGTTTCTAGTGATCTCTAATTCGAGTCCAAAAAGATTAAAGACTATGAGGAAAACGAAAAACATCTTTGAAACTGCATAAAGGTATGATTGAACAGAACAAAATGAATGATTTCTCAGCTCGTTTTATCATATCTAAGTTTTTGTGCATAAAACTTTTTTATGTATCAAAGTGTTGCTATATGTGAATGGAAAATTATCTGGACATTACCTGCATCATAAGGAGTCAATTGTATGGTTATGTTGGTCTTCCATTTGCAAGTACTGGCGTTGCACAAATCAAAGCGGTCGATTCCCACAAACCAGTCAGGACTTGGCTTTATCTTTGATATCATTGATAGATAATGATTATGTTTATCAGCTCGAAATCGATCCGAGATTGGTTTGTTTATCTTCGCAATTGGACCAATTCTTATAATTCTGAATATACAAGAAGCATATGAGTTACAAAACTGCACTTTCTTCACAGGATTATTCCAATAAATCTAAACTCAAAATGTAATTGAAACATTCAGACCGAGTTTGACAAAGCTTGCAAACGATAGCACTGCAATAGACTAGTTAAACCCGATGCCAACAAAATTTTAAAGAAATTGTATTATAATCAACCCTTGTCAAAAATGACGTCCTGAACAGGCAAAGGGTTCAATGTAATTTATTTGTTAAGTTAATTAGCTAATACACACAAAAATTACATCTTTTTCGTTCAATTCATAGGGAGAGCACATGTGCAAAAGAGCAAAGATAAATGAAGACGTACCCGAGATAATTTCTGCGGCTGGATTTGTTCATCAAGCTTCTAGTGTCGCCCCATTCTGTAAATCTCTTTACTGCTTGGGAAGCTTTGGAGCCCAGCTCCCATAATGAATGCCCGTCCGCATGCGTTCCACCAATCACGTTCGAGAAGGACGCTAGCCTCTCCGGGTAGTCATTTGGATGGCTTGTCTTGTTCCATTTGTCTTCAAGGTAAAGGTTGAGCATGGTTACTCAAACACACATGCATTAGTTATGACAAAGAAGAGAGCTATTTACAAACAATGATATCTTGCCACTGTTTAGCTAAATTATGACTTATTAAAAGAGTCTTTCTGTCATGACAAATTCGTGATTATATAAACGTGCAAAAAACCAATAAGTTTTCAAACAAAGCTCATAATTCTCAAATGAGTTTTTTTATACTTTTAGATTGTGGACTCTCGCATTCGCAAAATTTATGTCAACCATATATATGTTTGACTTCAGTTATCAGATAGCTAACTCTTGTTCGTGCTCAATGCTTTCTCACTTCGTTGCTTGCAATAAATTGGCGAAACAAAAATAAGACAAGCAGTTTGTTTTTGTACTCTAAAATAAAAATGACAGAAGTGTGCAATAGAACTTCTTCTTTAGAAGTTGCAGCATGTACTTACTGACGAAAGTCGCTCGGTAAATTGCAACACCACATACGCAACACGAACTGTGTATATTTTCGGTCATTCTTCGGTTATCCTTTTGTTTTCCATCTACCAAGCATAAAGTACAAAAATTAAACAACAAACAATTTTGCAGTGAGAGAAAGCATCCGTGTCAATAGACAATAGTGTACTGCCTATGGGAGCCATTGAGCTCTGGGTCAGATTAAGATGTATGGAGGCAATGGGCAGCCAAAATCTGTGAAGGCTCACTTCCTTACTCTAAAGGCTATGGGTGGTTCATTTTTTTAATAAGAAAATTTAATTGTAAATTTCGTAAAACATCTGGCTACTGGTAAAAACCTAAGCATTTAAATAAGTGGGCATGTAAAGTACTTGCATGTGATAATTGCTGCTTGAGATGGTGTAGTACATCGTGGGATTTTTCCCTGGCAAAGTCTTTCTTCAGTTCGTCAAAGTTAATTTCTAGTAGATTATCAAATTCAGTTTCTCATTATTATAATTCTGCTCTTAATTCATAAACTGAAATATACTTCAGTAATAAACAAAATATTTTTCTTTGTTGTTTATAAAAACAATGTTGAATTTCACTTTGAATAATGTGGAGGCCCTTGTTTGTGGAGGCCCTGGGCAGCTGCCCAGTGTTGCCCTTGAGTAAATCCGGCGCTGATTGAACCACAACCTATTAGTTCTGGGTTTGGCTTAATTGGTTCTTGAGTGGTTCCAATAAACATTTAACAAAAGGAAATTTATGTATGATTATATATCTCGCATAGAAAAAAAGTAATATTTTTCAATCTGAGGACACAGGAGATTAGCAACTAGCCCATGAAAACATTGGCTGGCATTATTTGTGTTCTGGACTATCGTGATGTCATAGAGGTTTTAAGAGCTTGAATCCAAGAACAGCCGTAAAATCTTTGAAATTTCTAAGTTCTTCGTTTTGTCATACATTGATTTGTCTTGTCCTCTTAAACTATGGTATTTTTCAGAAAATCACAAGATTGTTTTACAATGAAAACGGGCTATGGATAGAGGTCATTGACCTAAAAATTTGAAAAATTAGCGCCATATGATTGCTGTTCAAAATAACCAATGCACGAGGGAAAACTTAGCTCGAACCAAGAAATCTATGTTAGTGTTATTTATCATTTTTTGGCATATTTTCATTAACTTGATATTTGATAAATCTTACGATTGATCGACTTCTTCTACAAGTGGAATATAAGGAATGTTTTTGTGCAGTTTTCAGGTGTGTAGATGTGTTAGCACGCATAACAAATTTTTTTAATCTATTTTTCAATTACTCTTGATCGACGATTAAAAAGGAAACAATTATTTTAATGCTGCATGCCATTTTGTTTGTGTGTTGAGCTTTATCGTTGTATTAAGAGTAAAAACCGTCAACAAAATGCTCCCAAGAAAATGGTCGTCACAGAGAAGATGTTTTTTGATACTGAAAGCGTGTAGCTATCGTAATAAAGCCTTTTTAAAAGCTTTTTGGTTTACACAATTACACAAGTTTATGCTTAGACGGCACTTTCGGAATCAATATTGACGGAGCAAGGCATTATCCACTGGGCATTTTTGTCATTATATAATTATTGGAAAAAACTGGACATAAAAGTTTTTGCTTTCTTGCCTTATGGCAACTGGTCCTCGAGCAAATTCAATATGGCGCATTTACAAGGGCAATTTCAGTTTGATTTCCATTTTTATCGCCGGTCACATGACAAATAACGCCTTGTCTACAATTGTATAACGTAAATGAAACGGACCCTCTCAACATAAAAGAAAGAGTGATTACTATCTCTGCTGGTGCCCACCTAGTGGATCCAGAGATTCCTGACCATGGTCCGCTTTTGGCTATCTCCATAAGTGACAAATGAAAAATTTTGTTCGTGATAATTAAATCAGCTGATGATGATAGCCAATCGCGTGAAGGAATTTTAAATGGAAATTTTCATGTAAATGTGACCTTTATCATTTGCATGGCCACATGAAATGTCCGTAATCATTCGACTTGCAGGCGGATGTGGGAAAATGCTAAAACGTCAGACATCCAATAAACAAATTGCACACGTGTAGTGCATATGTCAACACGTCGGTAAAAATAAACTCAAGATATATACACACCAGACACACCGAAAGGAAAGAAAATGTTATTCGTACTTGTCAACATGCTGTGCCATACAAAGCTGACCATAACCACTCCCAGCAAGTCACTGTCAAAAAAATTTGTGTGTACGAACGTACGCTCAAAATGTCAGCTAAGTTCGCGCAAAAGCAACTGACACTTTGTGACAACAATTCCAAGGAAATTACCGTCTTCACTTTCAAGATACACTAGTGTAGTCTTAAATCCAGTCAATCTTAGAATATTTTGGCAATTTTGCCGAGTGAAATTTATTTTTCTTATACAATGTACTAATTGCCCGAGATTTTATGAGAGGAATAGTGTACTGGCTGCAAAAACGATAAGATTAGCTTGATTGTGCAGATGAAAATAATTGTATAATGAACACCAATTATTGGAACTTCGTCTGCCACAGTAGAATATACCTTGTGCTGATTTCATAGGGTGGTTTTCAATTGTTTCCGAATTCCATGTGATATAAATGCATACAAATAATAATCAATTCGAAAAAAGTAAACAATTGAATGAAATAAATGATCGCTATGATCGCATGCAGAGATGGCTGTCTGAACGTTCTCTGTGATGAACGACCTCAAATCGTAACGACACTACTTTCTTACAAGATTGCACAACTTTCTTTGAAGGAGAAAAGCAATTAATTAAGGAAAATCATGACATCCCATGTTAAAGTAGACTAATATTCATCGATAGATGTAGCGTTTATGTACACAAGGTATGATCAAAGCAATAAGCGTCAATTAATGAAAACCACGGGAATGATTCAAGTTCCTGATGGACAGTTAGTCCTGAAAATTTGATTTTAAAATCTTCTCCAGTGTGAAACTTCGACCTTAGTCTCAAATAATTAAAGTTGATGTCGAAAGTTTAGTTCGTTCGTATAGAAAGATAACATCGACGATAAATAAACGTTCATCCCTGGTTCAACCTTCTACACATGCTGAGGCGGCAAGCTCCGATCTTAATTGATTACATGTGCTTGAGTTTATTCGTTAAGTTGAGTTGACTGGGAGGGTTATAAAGAAGAAGATCTCCGAAAGAATTCGTGGTTTTCACATTGATGGCAGGCAGTTGGGGGAGCAGAGCAAATTCTTGGGTACAAAACATAGCAAATATGCTAGGAGAGAAACTTCATAATGTACCATAATCAACACTGGCTTATATATTCTGGGTTTGCGTGATGACAATTTGCTGTTGAAATTCTAGTCTTCTTTTTATTCATCATTTATTCTATTAAAACGTTAAGTTCATTAATGCGTTTGACTGCTAATTAAATCATCATTTTTAACTTATGACTCAAAGTTTTAATCGACTTAAATGTTCATATTCAATATCTTTTCACTCATGTTGACTGGTAAATGATGCTTTAATAGTGTATCTTTTAATGTTATAAATCATCTCAATGACATTTTTCTAAAGAAGGGCAAATAGTGCAGTCCTTGAATGAAGAGAGTCGCGTCGAATCAACGCAATGTGGAGAAACAAAACGTCTTTCATTCCGATGCGAGGCCAAAACCTTTGGGGGTTTGCAGAGTCCTTTATTCCACATCATCAAAGAAACACGAAAAACCTCAGAATGAAACATTAATTTCACCTGTACAAAACGCACGTGAAATTGCTTGTAACTTGGTTCAAAGTTTTTACCTCATTAACTGTCTACTAATAACAAATTAGGACAAAAATAGAAGGACTACCTGGGGGGAAATATTTGCTGACCAGCGAGGTGCAATCAATTGAACATCTTTAAAGCATTTGAAAAACAGTTTGCGACTATAATCTTTGTTTATATATGACGGTGCCAATATAAAAATTATATATTGACTGTATGACCCAGAAGTGAATTGACAGCATTGTGAATCTTGCAACCAGGTGATTATACCTGACTGAAATCAACAAAGGTGGAACATTTCAACTGACAAGCGGACAAATAATTGAAATTTCAACGAGCTTGTGTAATACTAACCTCCCCATTTAGACCCCCTTGGATGTTGAAGAACATTCGAGTGAAATAAAAATGCAAGGTTTTTGAAAAATTCGCCGGCTAACATAAACAATATGTTTCAATTTATTTGCATTCTAAAGTGAATGTCTTTTAATTGTGCCCAGGTTTTTGATTGATTATTAAAGTCCAAAGTAATATAACTTCACTCTAGAAACAACCAACGCGAAAACCACCAATAGTTTTGCATTATAGTGTAGGCCAAACTTCTGTTTTTTATTTCCCTGTCACTAGTGCGACTCACAAGTGCCTCGGGCTCGCGAAGATTTTGTTAGTGTGTACGGCTTTATCAAGAAGATATAGCTATATCCTCCGATACTATTGAGTATTGACAGACTATACCCTTACCAGTTTGTGAATGTAGATCGTCCTATTTAGTAGAGTCTTGGGAAAGACTGTAGGTGTTGTTGTTGACGACCTTAGCGGTAGATGAAACTATACCCTCCTGCGTGCAGGCATTTGCATTCCAAAAATTTTAATTTCTGACTGTTAAAGGTGTTGTCTGACTTACAATTTAACATATGAATAGCGTGCTTGATGGACAAATGTGAATAAAAACGAGAAAAATATCATAAATATTCCAAGCCATTTTTGGTTGATGAATCGAAAGCAATGTGGTAGAACTACTGATGTAGTATAGAACGTCCGTATAGGGCTGTTTTGGTGAAGCGTGGCACAAAATCTTCAATTAAGGGATAGTTACAGATGGGAATCTGAGTAGACTGGCTATAGAATTATAGTGGTAATATGAAGAAAGCGAAAATAACACGTGACAAAGACTTTCAAAAGATAAGCTAGAATATGGTGCAAAACGCTAGAGCAGTTATTTGTCTTGCAATCAATAATCGATAAACTTAATTTAGTATCGTAGAATGAAAAGCAAGAGGTTGCGAAATTTCGAGCATGATTTTCAGGAACAAACAATTTTAGCTTCTGTAAACAAATAGTTCGACACGAATTCGACGTCGGATTTTTTCATTTGCATTTAGTTGATGGCAACAAGCTTGGGTTATAAATGTATGCAGAATAATTCCTGGACACGTTAGTGTTTCACAAAAATGAATGCATCATTGCATCATGCAATTTCTAGGCAAATTTTTCAATCCTTTTTTTGTATGTTGCTCGAACGACATTATTTCCTTAGAGAGGTTCTGCTTTGTAACACAAGAAAAACAACGCTTAACACCAGGGGGAGGGGGCAAGAATAGAGGGAAGCATTTGTGCCATTGTAAATGAGAAAGGTGGCCTTGTAAACGAGAATTTAGAAAGAAGAATTGAAATATATTCCAATGTTGTATAACATGATGATATTAATGCTTTTGTATTTTGATTTTGGGCAAAAATCCCTCTGATTTGCAGCGATAACGAAGCGATTCTTAGGTTGGAAAAATTAAAAATCAAGTGTTCACAAGGAATGCTTACAAAAGCGGAAAGCTTAGGAAGGATGACTGCAAACGAGCTGCAAGTTACTGGTATGACGTTGATGTGACAAATGTGGAGCAGAAAATAAGTCAACTGAAACTCATTGGAAAAAATTTGGGGGTCAAAATGTGAGTCTGTAGAAAAATTTCTTATTTAATTTTTAACTGTCACCCATTACGCCCGTATTTTTTTATGATTATGTTTGTCCACGTGTGCAGTTTACAGTACAGTCTTTACACGTACAGTTAGTTTTTTTGTTGAAACAAGCCATACCTAAATAGATAAGACAATCTCTGATCAATTAGCTTTACTCAACAACAAGAAGTAAAGGTTCGCTCGACTATATACAAAGGGAAAGTCAAATATTCTGCAATTGTGTCTTTCACATAATAGCGAATGGATCAACGAAGTCTTATATGAGACTTTTTCCACGTAACAAGACGCTACTGGTTGTATTTGACTATTTTTTATTTATCACTTGATTTTCTTCTCCTTCTGTTGGACAAAAGTCTAACGAAGAATTTTTAACTTCGTAATTCTTATGAGGATCTCTAGAAAAATCTCGCACTTGCAATTTTTTTCCTGCGGTGTTTAAATAAGCTAAATAGTTGCCAATTAATTAGAGATGGATGTCGTTTTAGCAAATGAGCTTTGCATGCATGCCTCGTTTTGTCTTGATAAATTCTTTGCAATGCAAATGAAATAAAGAATTGTTTGAATGTGGTCGTTGGTGTCAATCATGTTTGGACCGATAAAGCTGATATTGATTTATAACGTTCTGATAAAATAGTGCACGCAATAATCTCGTTCAACTATTGATGTACCACTTTCCAATGTACCGCTTAACAATGTACCTCTTTCCTAACATTGCTATAGTTTTATGACCCTAGCATGAAAAAAAGGACAAGTTGTATAACTTTTACGAATTCTGCTGGATGAAAAGAAGTTTGGCGATGGATTCCATAGAGATATTGATTAAATTATAAGTAATTAAAGCATTCCTTGTGCAGACAGCACGTCAATGTTCATTATCAAAAGAGAACACTTTCTTAACACATACCTTTTGTGCGCAGTTTTATATTTATTAAATGGTGCCAGGTTTGTAAACATGGCATAGATGATTCCCAAATGGTATAATCTTTTTGACATATTCAAAACGCTGGTCCTAATTTTCTCGATTATTGGAAAATTGCGCTGAGTCAAGAAGCACCTGTGAACTTATGCGGGTTAAGAAAACGAAGCAATTACCTTGACATTGAAACGCGTTACAACTTTGCCGATCTTTTAAATTAGGACATTTACGGCCTCCCCTGGCTGCGGCCTGTATTATCTTACGAAAGCGTACTCTCCTTCCATGTCCACATGTTTTACTGCACAATCCCCATTCAGACCATTCAGATACTTTACAGTGAATGACTATGAAAAAGAGATTTCCATTTAGTTACGTATGCGGGAGAAAATAGAGAAAGAGTGATCTCTAAATATCACAGATCTTTGAATAATATGTGATTTAAATCAAAGGTTATGTTTGAGTTTATAATCTTCACTGCGTACTGAACGCAGGAGCCTGGAATTTTTCGTTGACATTAAAAAATGGGTAGAGTAGAAAATAAGGAAACTTCAATTATGTAAATAAAAAATTTACCAACAAAAATTTCCAGCCAAAAAAATCTCCAATTTATAACGCACTAAAATACGTCAAGACAGGGCGAACAAACGCGATGTACGATTGTGTTTTGCTTCATGCGAAAACTCTTCGAAGACAGTTGGTTGGAAATTTTAAGCTCCTGAAAACATTAGCAAAGATGTTTACCAAAAGCATTTGCTTCACCTATAGATCTCTGCCACTTCTTCATGCAGTCTTATTATTTAGTGTAAAGAAACTGTGCTTGTGACCGTTGTCATGAAACGATGAAGATGTCTTGGAGGGGAAGTCTGTGGAACTGCATGTAAGTAAAATAGTTGCATAGCCAAAAAACTAAACAAAGTTTTTTCCAAACACTCTAATATTTATAGCACTATACTTTAAGCCATATGATCTCCAAACGTTTTGGCAAACGTTGTTCTCAGATGTTGGGCATCTTAATATCAAAATCAAACCTTATGTGGGGGGCAGGTTTGAGGTCTGTGCAGTCTCGTGCATCTCAGACGCCAAATTCTTCTTAACATCACGCAATAATTAGTTGATAATCCACAAAGACCAATTACACACAAATGCATGCTTGTACAATGCAGTTCATTAGCATTTTTCTATTTATGTGGAATATCTCGACGTTATATACGACAAACCCTTTTTTTATTTCAACAGAGTTGAAAGAGTGATGCCTTTGCGCGAAACATTTTAACTCGGATAACTTATATTTAGACTATCAAAGGGAATTTGCAGCCTTAAATTTGACATGGTTCGACTTATGTAAACAGATTCCTTCAATGTAAAACAAAAAAAAAAGTTAGAGGATATTTATAGATGAACATTAGTATCAAGATACTTGTTGTTTTATTTAGCTTAAAGTGTTTATATTACGAATTTTAGCCCCCCTTTTTTTATTAGCTAAATTGAAAGACCTTGTTTCAGTGATTTTAAATCTGCAATTATAATTGAAATTGGATTGGTGAAAGTGATTTTACGGACGTTCAAAGTCACGATTTTCAGCATTTTTTTTGCGAACTTTTTGATCGGTAAGCTGATGACTTGTGACGTACAAAGTTGAACACATATATCAACATGGCGTATTCTACTAGTTATCTTAATAAGAAACGCGGAGGAAAACGCTGTGTTGCTGGCGGACCTAATCAAATTAGTAGCGCCAATGATTCAAAAACCGAAGGAATGTCGATGCATCTGTTTCCTAAAAAAGAAACAGAGCCGCAAAGACATAGAAAATGGGTAAATTTTGTGCGTAAACATAGACCGGGTTTTGAGGCTTCCTCTACCTCGTGTCTGTGTTCTGCGCATTTTGAAGATTCTTGTTATGACCTTAATTTGAGCGTGCAAGTCAAGCTCAAAAGAAGGTTGAAGAAAGATGCTATCCCAACCGTTGACGTGGCTGGGATTCCTGAACCATTACAGGACGAAATAACCGATCGAAAGCGAAGACAAGTAAGTTTACGCTTGTTTATGTAAATTTTTCTTCTGTCATATGTAAATTCGATATAAGTTTTGTAGATTATTTGACATACTCTCCATAAGCCATCGCTGAAGGAAACATGTTGTCTCGATGAGGAAGTACCATCTACTAGTGATGGAGCTGAGCATGTTGAAGTATACACTGGGGAAGCAAACGATTCGCCATTTGAACGGCTTGCTATTTTCCATTTTTACATTTATGCTATAATTTAATTTCATATATTTTTTCTTTTGTCTTTTTCCCCAGACTGACATTGTAGAAAAGATTTTCTTTCATTTAATTCTTTCAGCTTAACCTCTCAGTAGTTGCACCAATTTGTTTTTATTGTTTACTCTTGTTTCAAACCATTAAACTGCATGTCAACTTATATAGTGCATCCATGTATCTCCTATTTGGTTTTCATCTAGGCATATTTCCTGACCATTCTAAACTCAGCAAAGAAGGTCAACAGTTTCTACAGTGCACAAGTTAAAAGACTATTCCATCATCGCCCCTCTGATGGTATGTAACCTTTTGTGTTACCACTTGGATATGCTTTCCGAATAAAGTGGTGAACACAAGCAGGTAAAGGCCGAGTATTCTCCCATCCCATAGACCCACAAAACCATCGCATCAACCATCTGTATGCCACGGTTAGCACTATTTTCCACCCAGCAAACCGCCCTTTACTTTACACAATCGGAAATAAATTAAAGATGGCGGCTAATGGGAAAGAACCAAAAGCTAAAAGGAAACCATGCATGCACTGGTGCTAGGTCGTTTTGAGATGGCGAGTAATTTTATATTTTTATAATACAGTTTTTAATATCAACATATGAAAATATTTACAGATAAATGTTGCAGTATAAATTTTCATGCAACCACCTTAAGTTATAAACTTATAATCCAGGCTGGAAAATATGTCGTTTTTCGACGATTGTGTAAAATATTATATAAAATATTATATTGTATAAAATATTGGATTGTGTAAAATATTATATTGTGTAAAATATTATATTTCAAAGTAAAGGGCGGTTTGCTGGGTGGAAAATAGTGCTAACCGTATGCCACAGCTCTAAAGTACCTGAAGTAAATAAAAAGGTTGGACTAATTATTGTTGATGAAGCAATGTTGATGATAATATTGTTTCTCATACAATTTACAATCTTACATATTTCATGATTGTGATGCTTGGCGGCGATAAGCACGTCCATTCCTATCTCTCAATAGTGGCCCGACGTTTTCAAGTACAGCTTCATGAACTAAAGGCCCAAATTTGGCATGCTGTGTTATGCATGATATTTTCTCAATGCTGCCATCGAATGTCATTTTCTGCAAAGCTGGTCCTATTTCCTAACAGCATCTGTACTCTAATGCGCCTTCAACAAATTGGTATGACAGCATTAACAATTACACCTGAAACGTGGGAGCATTGTGGTTTATAAAGTAACTTTATGTATATTACAAACAGAAGAAAACAATAACTTACCATTCACTGAGTGGACTTACTCCATCACTTCGTTGTTCTAATGTCGCAGGGACAATTCCATCGGGATCATCTGGAGAATGCACTTCATCACAATCTCCTGCGAGCGGTTCATCGTCATATGCGAAGTCGTTTAAATGCTCGACATAACCCACGGATTCCGAGCTCGAATCAGATACGTATTCAGACATCGAATTCGAATTATCTGAGCACTGATTTGAGGCCATACTTTCCGGAAAACTTGTTTTTTAATATTTTATTGAAAATACTGTCATTATTTGTTTTTTAAGACAAGAAAAACGACAACAAAATCACCTCCTATAATATAATATTATATTGACGGAAACAGATGTGTTCAACTATCTACGTCACAAGTATCAATATGGCGTCGTAAAAAATACGCAAATAGTACCCGAATTTGGAGGCAAAATTAAGGAACTTATATTTATCTGTTTAAGTCCAGCGACATGTCATAGTTCTTCAAATAATCCAAATTTCCAATTAAGCTCATAAAAAAGGGGGGCTAAAATTCGTAATATAAGCACTTTAACTTAACAATATCTCCGTTAATCGTATCTTGCAATCAAGTACAACAGAAGTGCTTGGGAACTGTAATAAAATAGTACGCAGTGCGTACATTTATTACTTTGATCACTGAAAGTCGAACTCCCAAGTAACTTTCTAACCTAAACCCTTTTATCAAACGCCCTCCCTTAGATAGCATGTGACGTGACAGTACTCACATTGAGAAAAGTGCATGAATCCCCAAGACTTTTTAAAATTTGAATGATGAATTTATTATCATTTAATTTCACCAAAAACCATTTTTGGGATGAATACTTTATCGTCATCGACTTTTTTAAAAGCCCGTTCACACGATCCGATTTGCTGGATCTGATTGTCTCGGTTCCGACTTTTGGTTGATTTTTTAGACGGTCCGATAATTTTGTTGATATTTATATTGGTTTACTTACTTATAGTCGTGTAAACAGCCATTTGTGGTATCCAGTACATTTATCGATACAATTTCCCTATTTTTTTTCCTGCTTCAAAGTCTTTTTAAAATCTATGTTATTTGGCTAGTTGGCTGCCTTTGATCTTGTCGGATGAAAAAGAAAGTTCTAATTCGAACCGATTATTTAGATTGACGGACAGGCTGTCGGAGGCTCACTTTATACGAGTTCAAATCGGATCGTGTGAATGGGCCTTAAAACAGTTTTCTGACGTGTATGCCTTACACTTAACCGATAATCCGACACGCCTGTGATTTTTTTGTTAACAAATATAGGATAGGTATGGTTCCGAAAATACCGCTGCCATTATAAGCAATGTTGCAATAGTTGAAAAGTATAATAATGCTTCGCAGTTCGCACATTTGTAATTGATCGTACGTACTTAAAATGTATTTCCTGCTCATAGTTTGACTGTTGGTACGCGTCATATTCCATAATTTCCATAGTGAACTAACGTTATGTAAATCCCAAACAAATAATAATTGTAATTCGTGCAAAACTCGAAGGCAAAATAAATTTATTTGCTTTGCGTCTACAATTTAACTTGCCCAAAGACTACGGTGATATGTGAACTGAGCAATACCTAAACAATGCAAGAAAGTACTAAATTGTACCATGGCCTACTCAAATTACACGGCCTGATATCTTGCCATAGCAAGGCCAAAAATGCAAGGCCATTGAATTTTGAAGATCAAGTGTAGCTTACATGACGTTTCCGGCGGTGCTCTTCGAAATTTTGATCTTCTTCCTTCAAAATTGTTCATTGGCCTTACTTTATGGTATAATCTTGTAGCTAAAAGTCTAGCGATC